AAAAAATACAAAAATACCAGTCTGTTCAGGCCAATCATACCTACGCCGAAGACTGGAGGATCCACTGGGCCAAACCCGAATACGATAGTATCATACAACCTGATATTAGATAAGGCGTCCTCCGCTGATACAACGTGAAGCTAAGTTCAAGTTACCAACACTTCAGGTGGATCTCATTTGCTGCGGACGGACTAAAACACTTCCCCATAGTACATAGACATTATCACATGCTCCATGGAGGTGGAAGCTTGCCAGAATACAATTGTGGAGGGGATGGGAGTTGTTCGATAGACAGATCTCCCTGTTTCCTCACACGATCAATTTCCCTATTCTGCTGAACAATTTCACGTTATCGTTCGAGGATTGTCTCCTGGCTAGTCTTACGGTTGGGTGGAACAGGACAGACGAGTCATTTACTCTGACATGCCTTGGGAAGTCAAGAAAGCCACACCGGCGTCTGTTCTTTCGGTAAAAAGCGGAGCCCACTTGCAGTCTCGCCCCTGTCGAAATGGTTGAGGGTTGCCAAGCCAGCTAAAAGCGCTTGCAACGCCCCAAAGCCGAACCAATTCTGGTGGTGAACACCGAGGCCTTGGCAGGCACAGCTCGCCGGATGCGTCGGGTTTCTTTTCTCCTTGGAATGTGCGAATCCAACGGTGAGGAGACACCCTCTCTGCCTAGGGTAGCAGAGGATCCAAGGGGAGAACAGCGGCTTAATATCTTCGCACTCAGGAGGTGACCGCTGATCGTGAAATGTACGCGCATACCCCTTCGCGGGAGACGCCATGAGGACAGTATCAGCCCTACGCCACGTAAAGCTCTGACCGGCTATTGGGCGCCACCACCATTTCTGGATCCTTGCTTTTCGGAGGTTTTGAATCATGAAAGTCTGCTTCAGGCCCGAGGGAGACACCATGGTTATTGGGTGCACTCGGCGTTTCGATTGAAGGTCATGACGACGCTTGGGCTCCACCTTGGCGGGAACGGCAGATATTGACTGGGGAACCGAAAGAAGATCGTTGCCTATACCGGCGCAAGTCTCTATCTTAGGCCTCGAGTAACCTTGGCTCCTTATGGCGAGGGGGTGTGAATTTTGCCGAGAAAAGCAGGCGAGAAAACTCATTCTGATCGATGAAAGGCCAAGTTTTTGGACAACGGTCGCAAACTGACCACCGAATCAAAGTCTGTATTATTATTAGGAACACGAAAAAGCCAAAAAAGAAAAGAAAACTGGCAGTACTGTGTGGCTGAAGGTGTGCCACCATGATCCACTTAGCCAAATACTCTCGGTGATTGGCCAAATTACGGGTCGCGAACAATTGTAGAGGGATCAGATTCCCCCATGGTCGCGTGCATATGGAGATCATAATTTCATAGGCAGAGAGCATATCTTACTCATCGGAGTTCAACAATCGGTTGTTCCATTTCTTGGCTTTATGGGGAGCCGATCCATATTTATTGACTGCATTCCCCCTTTCCCCCAGGCCCTGCCGGGCCCCTTCGTAGGGGAAATCACGAACCATTCAGACCATGGTGAGTAACATCTTCACTTGGTTCCTGTATGTCGTCAACCAGGTGTCCGACCTGTCCCTCCAGCCGATTCAACCTCAGGCGAGGTTGAGGCCGGGGAATCAACAGGTCTTGGCTCCACCCAGTACGACTGAGGCGCTCGATACTGGTCCGTCTATCATCCAAACACCGACGACTCAACCGAGTATCACACCGTCACCCACGAGCCCACCGCCAGCAGAGGCTACCGATGAATACTGGGATGACATTATCACTGGAGTGTATGGAATCCCACCGCTGCTCAAGATCCACGACCGAACTGGGATGGTGAAATGGAGTTGGGGTCGGGATGACGTTACCCAGGAACTTCCGCCTTATATTAGGCACTGTCTGTATAGCGACGCGAATGATGCCACTGAAGTCAAGTGGATTAAGAACGGGACCGCCATTGCGGCGATCTATAGCGATCTCGTGCTCATGATCAACCATACCCCTGACAACCCAGAGACAGACAAACTGATCACATTCGCTGTCTGCCGGCAAAATGAGTTTCTCTGGAATGCTCATACTCTTGAGCCGTTGCCTGGAGATCGAGTAGCAGTCGGCACCACGGGCTCCAACGCCTGGGACGGCATCCTCGTCTATAACTCCAGCGTTGATAACCCCCTGGTGGACGAGCCGCTGATCCTGCAGAATATTACCGGTCTGCGCGCCATACACGGCATGATTTGGGACGAGCAAGAGCAGATGCTGTGGGCCGCTGGTACGGACGCTGCAGCCGATGGATCTGACCCAATCCCAGCATACGGAACCATCCAGGGCTATCCCTACAATGCAACTACCGGCGAGCTGGAAGACACCGAGGAATTCATGTACCGACTCCCGGAGGCATGGGATCAGGAGACGGAATGGGGCCCAGGATACCCCTGGTGGTGTGGGCCACACGATCTCGTTCCCATTCCCAATGACCGAAAGTTTCTCATGTCGCAAGATCGAGGGCTACACGCTTTTGACCTGGACACCCGTGAATTCTTCCTCGATAGCAAAGGCGTGATTGATACGTATATGAGAGGGTTCGAGGTCACCACCAACGATCGCAAAGGCTTTGACAGGGCAGGAGAGTACCACGAGCTACCCGAATCAGACCTGAAGGGGTTCAGCATGGCGCCGGATGGAACCTTCGTCTACGTACAGTCCCTATGGCGATTGCTACGGGGGAACCACACAAATATTGTCGTCGATGGAGTCAGACAACAGATCAACCTGGGGGACGAGATTTACCGATCGCGTTGGTTTGCAGACATTCCCGGCTGGCCGAAACCAGCTGCATAAGAAACCCAGCGAGACTGCAATTCAACATTTCTTTTCTCGGCAACCCGCCTGCTGTCATCCCAGAGGGCACCGCCATGGCACCGCTCTGTGGAGTTGGCTGCAACCGTGGTGATAGATGACGACACGTTTGTGCCGCCATATCACCTCCGGAATCTGCTGAAGCATGCTATCATGCTGGTCATGATGCGCGAGCATCGTTTCGCATATACGTTTAATCGAAACCTACTCCAAAAGCCGGAGGAGCCACAACTAGACGACGACCCACGAATATCAGATCACATCCGTTTGGGAAACGGATAACACCATCAGCTCAACGCCACTGCGTGGTCGCCTTACCTCATCCGTCGCCTCGGGTCTTATGCTCATAGATTCGTTAGGGGCAAGAAGATATGGAGGGAGATCATGTTGATCTCCCGGCCTAGATATACCATCAACGCGAATCGCGTGAAGTATGTACATAGTATTATTTTGCATATGAATACCATAATTACGGACATAATTTCATACATCTATCCAGTTGCACTGCTCTCAGAACTCTCTTAGCAGCTTCCTGTAATCTGCCTTAGCTACCGGACACTCCACTTTTCGGATGCAGTGGGTTGAGTCTTTACATGACCACTTTACCACGATAGATGCCACATCGTCTGGCGACGGGCTTGTGCTTACATGCTATCCTGTAGCTGTGGCTTGCATACCAATGAGACTTCGATAGACTATGTATACTTTCGCGACAACTACGCCATTCACTTACGCGGGTTGCTGTTATCATGTAGCCGACCAGTATCTATAACCGACCCTACACCATACGCGACCCCGGAACGCTAGAGTAGGGGTTCAGTTAGAGTATGGATCCGGGGTGGTCAAGCATTCATCTCGTGTCACGCCCTGTATTACACAAGTCAAGCAGATGTTACCCCAGTCGTCCTTTGTCGGTATCCTGAAAAATTGTGGCGACATGTCTACTACTTACTGATGAGAATCGAAAGAAGTGCATAGCTCATGTGAGAATCACTCGTGTTTTAAGGAACATTACAGAACTTAAGATGTAAAAATTCAATCACAATCAAAGCATTGTCCGGTACACATGAGGTCTGCACCCCATTTACCTCGGATGAAAAGCATTCATGACAAACGAATATACGAGCACTCCGTCAGTTGACTCACTCCCATCACGCCGGCAAGGACATCTCAGGGGAAATGAACGAAAGGCAGAGAGTGGGGGGAGCATCCGACACGAGGCGGAAGATTCAATGCGTCCCAGCACTAATTCCCCAGCTTGGACAGGAGAAATTCGCTAGCGTCACCAGTGTCAGAAAGATATGTGAAATGTGGCGGTGCCACAATCAAAGTCCCAAGGCAGACTAAATCTCCCACTGCGCAATAGACCTTGACTTTATCTTTGGGAAAGTTTGCAATCTGGCCCCCCTCTTGGGCATTGCGTGTGTACCCGAAAAGAACAACGCCCTTGACCTTGTCCTGCACATCTGCGGAAAGGCGCCTAATGGCACCGTTCATGACAGCTGTTCCTTGGCTAGAGATGCCATCAGTATGAATGGAACACGTAGGGGACAGCCTAGACACACCTGTAGCCACCGGCAACAATCTGAGTGTCAGGGCACTTGGAAACAGCTTGCTCAAACAGTCCTTGTGCCTCTGCAATTGCAACTTGAGAGGTTCCCTCTGGCAGAGCATTTGATGGGAGATCCGCAGTGTATCTGGGTCCGACACCCTGGCAGGCGACATCATCTGGTCTAGCTGACTTCAACAGGTTGCAGACCGCAGGGCCAGTTGAAACGCCCTGCATTGATTAGTATCATCACGTAGAACAGGATGAACTTAAGCTTACCAGAAGGCCTGGCTCCGTGGAAGCTCGGGCGAAGATAAAGGTAATGGGCTTGCAAGGGCCATCCCGCAACTCGTTCCCACCAGACACTGCTCCAGATTGTCAGTAATCACTCACGCCACGGAAGGGTCCATTCCCTAACATACATTGCCGTTCCTGGAGATCCACCGGGCTTGCCACTGCAGTCGCAGCCAGTGCAATCACGATGTTGCGGAAATGCATAATGAGAAACTTCTTTAGAAAGTGGATTGTGTCTGTGCGATGCGAGTGCGATGCAGTCTGGATAGAAGTTCTTCCTCGGACGAAGCAGCCATCTTTATAGTATTTGTGTTGTAGAAGCGTCCAGCACATATGCCTCGGTATGTTGTCCCGTCTGTCATAGATATAGTGCCTAGCCTTGCCTGGCAGACACCGTGCGCAGGAATTTGCGGCTTGGATAGGCCAACTGCGACTACAAGTTGGAATGCCAGTCAGCCAGATGATTCTCATCCAGCTGCCGAGTATTGTATGGTCGAATTCTGACCTATGATATCCATTATCGGGAACAGAGTACCGAGGATGGCGTATTTAAGTTTCTTGGTTTGGGTCTCTTAATTAACCTGATCCTCATCGATAGGCGGAGATCTGGGGTTCCCGGGGGATCTATCAATCTAAATTAATCTAACCCGCTATGAAGAACTGTCCCGCGATACTCCAGCACGCTTATCCTAACTTCAACTTCGGATGGTGGTCCGTACTTCAATGAGAATAGTGAGTTCCTAGGGTTTCCGATGTTGTTGGAAGCGGGGTCTCGTATTTTGACCAGCGTCGGCATGCGCCCCCAAAGAAGATGATGTCTCCTTAGCCCTGCCGATGCCACATTCATGAAGAGAAATAGTGTATTTAGATCACATCACAGATTGTGGGGAAGTTCAACATTCCATGTTCATTTCAGAACCTCCTTTGCCGTGAAGAACAAGGGCCATGGGTCAGAATATCTGGCGTCAGTATACTGCGGGGTGGCAGTCGATGGAGGATGCACAGACGACTAGCGCATACTGGACCCTGGACAATTTCCCTCATATATTGCGGGGCAATGGTACGCAGTCTAAGCCTGCCTTGTGTCCCAGGGCCTGGAAGAAAGTTGATCAATCAGAGAAGCCGAGAAGAGAGAGATCGACCTGGGTGGTCTCCTAGTAGCCATACAGGTCACATTAGTTTGCATTGAAACAGTCAGACGACCATTCCATTGTAGGAAATATCCTATTAGACAATAGTCGATTTTACCTGAGATCCTTCAAGTAACTATCACTATTAACTACCAGCCCAAATAGGTAATGACCTAATCAAGCCTAGGGCACTGTATTGCAATATATATTTTCATCAGGTTCCTAGACTCTGTCTGTGCATTATAGATTATATTGATATCAAAGATGTATAGTCAAGACTTTTGTATATAATGTACTATATTATAGCAATATATTTATATGAGTTGATGTGAATTTATATCCAATTATATTTAGCCATCGCATCTAAAGCCTTAAAGCCCGTAGCCGGTGACCGAAGGCTGAAGTTCAGATAGAAACCTCAGAAAATATTCAAGAGAAATTTCACCAGAAGTGATTGGTGATATTTACTTGTTCATGTTGCAGAAGCTTCCCAGCTGGCTTTTTGTCTTGTTTCTTGGACTTTGTTCCTGCTGCCAGCACACCACTACCGATAACCGCGGCCTCAGGCTGCAAGGCGTTGTTAAATACCTTAGGCTCTGAATACGGACCATCTTTGTTCCGCATCCGTCTCCATCTATGGATTCTGAGGTCACTCACCTTCTCCAGAGCATCGAGTCAATACTGTATAGCCGGCCAACGTGAGAAGAATCCATATGCAATTGATCGCGCCATTCCCTCTCTGCCGTTCTTCTTCTAAGCAAGCCATAAAAAGATGACCCCTAACTGCTGAAGTCTTGACATGATACTAGAATCCGGTTTGCAACTTCACACAAATATATGTAATATCCGTTCATAACCTCCAACAAACATAAAGCGTCGTAGCTCGAGTCAAGCCAAATATATCCACTTGGTGTATACTTGGGGTTACCCGGTTGGTACAACTGAGGCGTGAATTCACTGCCGGAGAAGACCGGTCATTGAGCACTCGAGCTACCACAAGATGCGTCTAAAACGCTGTGAGTATTCAGCCCACGTGCTAGTAATTCGCAGGTACCGGCATAATGTAATTGGTTAATTTTGGAAGATGAGGCTATATGATATTATGAAACTACAATGGCATTGTAAGGGTATTAAGATTAAGGAACACAAGATCCGGATACATATGAGGACACCTCATGTAGAAACTGTGCAAATGTGCAGTTGATAGTAAAGCAAGTCAAGCAATAGTGGTTATAAGACAATGATCTTATGTCAACCTATGTTTTGGCACTGGTGTGGAAGCAGGTATCACGAGGAGATTTGCATATTCGAAGTTCAACAAGGCATGCAGCTTCTATATTGCCTACATGTATCTTGGCTGAAGTAAGGCGGTACAAAAACAGAATCATACATGCATGTCATATTATCCGTGTTGGCCCATCGCGTTAACGTGCCCATCCCATCAGAACCAGCACTCAAGTCGAACAATCCTTGGCAACCGCGAGATCGAACCGGGAATCAGAGGCAGGGAGGAAGGCGAGCCGGGTATAGGACAAGTGCGCGACAGCACATTGAGAGTGGTTCCTTAATGCTGTGGAGATGTGTAAGTCTGGCTGTGTTGCAAGCATGAAAGGTCTCAGGATATGGTCACTTACGCTGCAGGAAGAGCAGGAGCAGCTAGCGCAGTTACCGCTGCAGCAGTTGCAAGAGCAGGGAGACATTTTGATGGAAGTGGAAAGCTTTGAGAGGTTTCTCGAAGGGGTTTTGTAACTTGAATTAAAGGCTTGGATGCTTGTGTGCGACGAGTGAATATGATGATGGAAGAAACTGGACTTTGCCTGCCAGAAACGTCCTATTTATACCTTTGACGGGCTTGATTTAGTGGCCAGTGCAAAGCAAAATAAATGGGATTTACCCGCCAGAACCGCAGAAAAGGCATTGGGCATCGGCATAGCGCATCAGCCCACGGAAGCGCTAGGCTTTCATGGCGGCGTGGGGGGAGAGGCAGCTTTCCAAGCCTCATTCTCCGCGATCCCATCATACAATAACATGTTGTGGAGTTGGATCAGGTAGACTGTGACAGGGATGGTATAGCCCGACGTTGCCAGCCGACATACGTGAGTTTCAAGGCACCATGACTGCCCCACTCCGCGTAGATAGTATACATGAGTAGTGCGCTTTCCAGTGTCAACGAGGTCTGAAGACCGGCATCGCTTATACTGGGATCCTACCGTGCATCCTAGACTACTCAAAGGAAATACGGAGCCAAAACCAAAAGAAAAGATCCAACTGAGCTGGGTCAAATTCTCGAGATGGCGCTCTTATACGCAAATACAGATGAGGACCTTGGGAACTTGAGCACCTTGGTAGCACTCCCGTGGGTCGTCAGGACCCCCTATCTCCTATATTTCACTTCCCTGCGTGCGGCGTCTAATGCAATATTATCTTTTCCTGCCAGCTAGCCTATAATCCACAAAGGAACGCACTAAAGAGGGCAAAAAAAATAAATCTTTTCCTGTGAGATTATATGGGTTGCCCCGGTTCAGGGAGATTAGCAGCACCCACAACAGAGTACTAATCTCCCACCCAGGAAACTGCTAAAATCGCGCATCTCATGATTCAGCTAACAAGAGGAATAAGGTCCAATAAGATAGGTCATCGTCGTCTTCAATCTGCCCCCACCAGCAGGTCAAAGCAACAGGACTTCTAAAATCCTCCACTCAACAGGGAAAGAATAGGAGCCTAGGAGCTGCTTACGCTCTTGCCTGATCAGGACCTGCATTGCTGATAGAAATGACAAATATACCACCGGTGTGATGCTCTCTGTGACAAAACCCTGATCATTCTATGATCCACCAGCAGATTGGTATTGGCCCAAGCAAGCCATGGCTGACTGCGGCAGCGTCGGTAAGGTTCCCTAAGAAGGTATCCGGTTCGCTACGAGCCGATAAATTTCGTGTAGCCAAGCATGGAAGATAGTCTAGTCGCGTTATTATACATAATTTGTTCTCAGGTTTCTTACGGACAAAGGATTCCCGTCATCTGCGCAAGCAAGTTTTTACCACTTCAAGCTGGGTCCCACCCCAGAACGTACGCCTAGACATGACATTGAATACGGTTGCCTGTAGCTCGTGCGAAGTGCCGAACTTTTCACGCGCAGTCGTGATCTAGTGAAACCTGGAGTATGCACATGCCTCCGTGCCAAGTATATGAAGTTACGGCACCTCCGAGCAAGCAAAGAGTGATTGGTGATGTTTAGCGTAGCCCCCACGCCCTATGAATAAGGATACGCAAGGATATTATACGTTTATGGAATAGGGAAGGCAATTCCGCTTAGTTGTAATAATGAGTATGGTATTTGACTCATTGCTGCCTTGTAGCAGCCTATGTATATGACCACCCCAATGGATACCTTCACGGTGAAGGTTTCCCTCCTGCATTTTACAGCACTTTTGGGTGGCGAACCTCGTGTGAGGCGTGAGGATAAGGGACTCATGCCTCTATATGCCTGCTCGGATTAGCTTGTCCATACCTTTCGCTACTGAGTTCAATAAATGCTTCGCATTCGAGTGCCTTTTCACGTTTCTGTTTCCCTATTAGGATATTTGCCTACATGAACCCTTGAATATTACGCTGACGGCTCTGAGGTTCGTAGACTGCGTCATGTGAAAGTACCTCTTACTTCGATTTCTTCCCTTACAATCCTTGGCTTATGTTATCAACGCTTCTCGTGATTAAGATGTAACTATTAATCGAAGCCTGTTACCGAGTCTAATGTCTATAGAAATGCCTCGCAAGAATATAGTGTGCAAGATGATCGATATTGATTAAGTCAATGTAGCTATACACAGAATTGCTTCCATAGACTGGGCGCGACGTTTGCTCACCACGCCAAGGCAAGTAAAGGCAAAGCGAGACAATTAGAACGAATAAGTGAGACTATAAAGCACGATAACCTGGTGGAAAGTGCAAGGTAACTGTACAGCCACAGATTGGAGACATCGAGACTGGGCATTTGGATAACGCAGAACCTATTTCCTGCTCCACCCTGCGAAACATTTTCTAGGCCCACTTGCCAAGAAGTGCCATCAAACCAACTCCCCAAAGCATTGAAATCACCATGAATGCCAGTCGTTTGTTGTCTTGAGTACGATGGGGATCGAAGAGGAAATCGCGAGCCAGCAACTCGACCAATCCGGTGTAGATCAGAATACCAGCAGAGATCGCATCCAGAACACCTGAGACGACATTCGCGGTGAATGAGCCTGAATTGTAGGTGGTTCTGACTCCGAGTCCGATTGCGATAGATATCGGTGTGGTCAAGCCATACAGCGTGCACAGAACCCAGGGCAACCAGCTGCCTTTGCGGAAGGGAATCGCTGACATCCGGGCGCCAATACCCAATCCCTCAAATGACTGGTGGAAGACGAGGACCGGGTATAGAGTGGAAAATTCTTCACCAGTAACACCGAGGTTCAAGCCAATAATGACTGAGTGGAAGATGACGCCGAACTCTAGGATTAGGAAGGCGGCAATCTGCTGCTTGAAAGACCTCTCCGACAACGAGTCATTGATGGATTGAGATTCAAGCTGTGCTTCCTTCTCAACAGGGGCTTGGTTAGCCACTGTAGTAGTATGCAAGCTGTTGTCCGTTGCGCTGGTCATGATAGGCTCCGGGTCCTCTCGGCAGATTCCGTACTTGACCTCAACATATCGCTCTGCGCCAAAGTCGAGAAGGAAGATTCCAATGAGAGAAGCAAGGACAATGGCTGGGCACCAAGAATAGTCCCCCCAGTGCCCGGTCATACCAACGCAAGACGCCGGTCCAATTTCATCGTATGCGGGATCCAAGAGATGGATAAACGCTGTGGCCACAATGACACCTGCACCGAAGTATCGCGCGAAGAGATAGACGTAAAGTGGGATATGAAGGCGAGGAGCACGCTTAGCTATTACAGGGAAGAATGTAACAGCGGTGGAGATAATCAGGATCACAAAGATCGCGGATACACGCGCACCTAAGCGTCCATCGTAGTCGTTTTCCGAGGCGTTGAGGTAACAGATGATTTCTGCCGGGTCCGCGGTGTCGAGATCGACATTGTTGGGATTAAACGACATCGTGAAAGAAATGGAGGTTGAGAAAAAAATTCCAAAGTGCTTGGTCTGGTTCGACTCGCGCTGGGACGTCGCGTTTTATAGAGTAAATCAGGGGCTCTTTGTGCGATACCTTGTGAGAAAATGACTCCCATGGCCAGGCATTTGAACGACTGACAAGGACCATGGAAGCCGAAATTACCACTATCTAGTCACCACATGGTGGCAAGCGATCTATAAGCGAGAATGGAATGGTGGGAGTGTCTGAACTGGCGCGCGCAACCGTTAACATAATTTGATGACGGGCCGTATTGGGCTGGCAACTAGAGGCAGCTAAAGTTCATACTACCACTCAATTCGTTCCTAACAGGTCGATAGCATAGTGATCCCGAAATTGCATGGCATCTGAGTGGAGTTGTCTGATGCTGCATGTCCATGCCATGGTCCACCCTGGGAGTAAAGTGGATCATGCGGGTAGTATCCGGACTGTCTGCTCGAATCGAAGTCCAGGCGATATCAACATTTCCCCAGGGTCCCCAAAGTTGTTTCAGCTTCTCCACCCATCTTTCGACGTTGGATCTCGATTCGCGGATTCTCTGTCTTTGCTTCTACCAAGCAACTCTGGGCAAAAACAAGCAAAAAGGCCAAGTCAAGGAAATGAGTGTGTGGCAGTGCTGCTGGAGACTTCAAGCAGGTCTCTAACCAAGGCCTGCCATCCGCAACATATGGCTGTCGAGAGGGGCACTGAGGATGTCTGCTTCAAAAGCCCTGTTGAAAGGTTTAGATAGCAGACGCCATAGCGGACCACACAGGACTTCGGATTTCATTTATTTTGTTTCCCAGACTGGTTCAGGCTAGTCGAAATACTCATGGACATATCCCGGGAGATCTCTCGGCCGGGATTTTATGAGCAAAGTTGCGACAACCGCGACTAACATTTTATTTATCAAAAGCGAGAACGGAGCATACTCCGTAGTGGTATTAGTCCATGCGGTTACATGCTGCAATTGTCAGGTTATATTGCGCATTCCCTGGTCGACCAGCACAAGCTTCCCACACGGTACTGTTAGTTGCAGTGGAATCTGAGTAATTTGAAGTGGAATTGGGTAGACACTGTTTGCCAGTGGCAACCAAGAGGGAAATCAATACGCCATAAGGGCAAAAGAAAGAAGGGGAGGAAGTGCTTTGTTCTTCTAGTGTGCTTGGCTGTCAGCCTTTAGGGCTGGAGTTGTAAGTCATTGATGTCACATGACACACGGTATTCCATGACAGCCTGACAGCCTGGACGGCCAGGTTGTCCACTGCAGTCGAGATTCTCATTTCAATGCTTTCTTCCTTCTCTCGCAGTTCAAGATCCATGGGAGGACCGACAGATCCCCAATATCACGACCCTATGGCCACTACCTTCCACCTTTTCCCGCTATTGCCACCGGAAATTCGACACTACATCTGGCACCTCTCTCTCCCCCATGAGCGAGTGATCCATATCTCGTGCGACCGGGGTATCCTTCGCACGTCACGGCGATATGCTCGCTGCTTTCGCGCCGACTGCGGCAATCCGCCGCAGCTACAAGTAAATACGGAGGCCCGCCATGTGACCCTACGGTTGTATGCGCCTTACTTTCGGACGGAATATAAGCCTCATGGCTGCATTTATTTAGCCCCCGAGCAGGATGTTGTACATCTGCACGAGGCAGTGTTAGCATACCTCAGCACCGCGGAGAGGGCGGCTCTCCAACGGCTGATGATTGATGTCCATGACTATGCGTCCTTTGGCGCGTATTGGATGGACAGTATATGTAGGATGAAACAATTGAAAGAAATTGTGTTGGTGGTGTTTCCGCTCACCTCTTCTCCATATCGATCTGATCAGTTGCCGATGGGGGACGGTGAGATTGTTGGTATGCTGAAAGCTGCCTTTGTGGAGGGAGCCCAGACGAGCCCAGACTGGGCCATGCCACGCGTCAAAGTCATATCGCATGAAGGGTCAGCAATGGGAGATATCGTCGTTACGTCGGATGATCTGAAGACCGATTGAGGCCATGGCCCTTTCGGGAGAGCCGAATGCGACCATCCAGCTGAAACGTGACGAAACAATCTGACACCTGGTCCTGTCGGATGGTGGGGAATCCCTGCTCGATGCGGAATACGAACACACGGGGCGTTGGAATTCCCTCCGATTGCCAGCGTCCGTCTGGAATGTGGGGATCGGATGCGTAACACTTATGAGACACCTCCTGCCTCCAGTGCCTGGATCATCGATCGATCTTCACGTCTGGATTAACCAGTATCTCGGCCATACCCGATCGATAACAATGAAAGTGATCATTGTCGGAGGTGGTATTGGTGGCCTCGCGACTGCGATTGGTTTGCGTCGTGCTGGTCACCAGGTACAGGTAAGAGGAACGCAGTTCGTGCCGATCATTTAAAACACAGGCTAACAACCGGCCACGGGCCTGGCAGATATTTGAACGGTCGTCGTTTCTCCACGAAATTGGTGCAGCTATCAATATCTGCCCAAATGCCGCTCGGGTTCTCTCGCACTGGGGATTCAATGTGGAACTAGCGCGCATGGTGGCCGCACGCCAGTCAATTGTAGCACTCGGCAGCTCGCTCAAACCATTGGCGGAAGTAGACTGCTCCAAGTGTGATGAGGTTTATGGTGCACCGTGGTTCCTGGCCCATCGAGTCGACCTGCATTCGGAGCTACGACGTCTAGCTACCGCCCAGGAGGGACCTGGATCGCCTGCAGATATCGTCTTGAACGCAAAGGTCGTTGGATATGACGCTTCTGGGGGCTATGTAACGCTGGCTGATGGGTCGGTGCACGGCGCGGATCTCATTGTCGCAGCGGACGGAATACATACGTCCGCGATCCATCATGTTCATGGCCGCGCAACACCACCCGTTTCTACCGGCTCAGCAGTGTTTCGCTTCCTCCTCTCAACCGAGGACTTGCCAGACGACCCGAGTCTAGAGCCACACTTCGGTGATGGCCTGATGAGGGTGATGGCCGCAGAGGGCGTGAGGCGGCTGGTTTGGTATCCATGTGCGAAGTAAGACTGCCTTTGCTTGCCGTTTGGCATCATTTCATGCATTGACTGATAGTTTTGCGCAGTAACACGGTGCAAAACTTTGTGGGAATACACCCCGATAAACATAATGGTCACGAACAAGAATGTCAGTCTCTCATGTTTACACTCTCTGTCCATTGTGGCTGACAACCAATGTCATAGCCTGGGATCGGTCCGCCGATGTCAATGATGTTTTGGCGCAATACCATGACTTCCACCCCAGCATATTAAACATTATCAGGTATTGCTGGGGCGATCGCCTTCTTGTTTCAAAAGCTAACCTACGCTCAGAAAAGCCACGAATATCAAGCGGTGGCCCCTTCTGTACCGGGAACCCGTACCAACTTGGAGCTGTGACCGTCTAGTTCTCATTGGGGACGCAGCGCATCCTATGCTACCTCGTATGTTCTTTTGAGTCAGGCCTGCAATGCAACATCATTTCTAACACCCATACTATAGACCAAGGCCAAGGTGGTGCCCAGGCTATCGAGGATGCAGGTGCATTGAGTGAGATCTTCACTCGGTTGCCGGCCAACCCCACGGCAGATGAGATCCGCGACCGTCTAGCAGTATTTGAAAGGGTTCGGATCAAGCGTGCATCAGCGATACAGGTCTGCTCAAATGTTGGACAGGATGAAGCTTGGAAAATCCGGGAACACGCACAGAAGTACATGCCGGAAGGGGTTAATGTGCCCACGTCGCCATCAGAGTTTATGGAGCATAACTTCCGTTACGACGTGCTCAAGGATAGTCGGCAGCATCTCGAGGACTTCTTGGAGAAGAATTAGAATCAGGAAGCTTCACTTTCGTATTGACTGGATAGATTTTACCGCAATCTACCATATTCTACGTTGGCTCATGGTATCTACTACGATTTTCTATGGCGACACTCCTTATTGTGGCATAAAGTTTGAAGTAGGCAAGAACAAAAAGTTCCGATGGCATAGGCTTGTGTAGGCTGGTAGAATAGAACATCAATGGCTACGACGCGGTGGGCATTTTTATACTACTATATGTTAGACTTATAAGACGACTACAAACTCCAATGGCCCTAAAGCTTTGTAGGGGCAGGGATGCAGACACTTACGACCCAGCAGCTGCGGCGATGGATTCCTTCGCACAACCGAAATCACAGGTATTTTTCTACTGATCTACATCGCTGTGTAAAAGAGAAAACGTTCAAGTTCAATGCGATATGGGTATTTGTCAGGCTTTTGTCTCCGTATGCTCTACTGCAACGGCTCTGTCGAACTAATACATGGCGGATCGCCGTTCTAAATTACATATGATACATGATTCATTTCCATTTCCACTCGGAGTTTCGATGGATGAAATAGTCCTTGCTCTGAATCGCCTTGCGAATGCCCCAAAGCCCACCAAGGGGCCAGATGTCGCGCAGTTTGCGACTCCACGACTCGCTGCGCTCTTTCCGATCCGCCTCGACATCGATGCGCACTTTATCATACACGCTGGGCAGGGTCTCCGCCGTGTACTTCCGTCGCAAGCCATCATACCAGTCGCGATCGTACATCTTCCAAAACTCCTCCTGGCTATAGTATGTGTGGGCATAGAACCACTTCATGCCGCCCAACTCTCGTAGTCGTCGTTCCAGGTCTCTATTCGCGGCGACAAACGTGTCCGGATCCTTGGGTCCGAATCCCCACACGCCAATATTCAACATCTGGCCGGGCGTGAAGCCCTCACTCTTCACCGTGGTCTCATGCGGGTGGAAGGTCGGCGCTGGGCTTTGCTTCAGCGGGCACAGCCACAACGGCCAAATGCCCAACTTCTCACTGGTATAATCAATAAATGACTCGGCCGTAGCGTACGGCAGCGCCAGATCCTGGATCATGTACCGACTTGACTCCCCACTGGCATGCAGCGCCTTGTACAGCATCCGGGTGTGTAAGAAGTCATCCAGCCACCAGCGCGTGAGTCGGTTGAAGGGGAAATGGAAGTACTGGAATGCCGACCGTCCGACCCAGAAGCCGGCACGGTCGTAACGGAAGAGATACTCGGCCAGCGGGATGTAATCCGAGACGGGGCCCTGTGCCGCTCGCGTCTTCTCCTGCACATGGAGATAGTACCATGGGTCCCAGGCATGGCTGAACGTCTGCACCTGCGCCGCAGAGGGCATCTCGTCCGTCATCTCGCCCGCGACGACCACCCCGTGTTCCGGCCCGTAGACGATCCCATCGACATAGTCATTCCGGTCGTTCAATGTGTGTTCGTGCACCGAGTGGACCGAATCCTTTACACTCCGCTGTGGATGATACGTCGCCTTGACGAACTTCTTCGCCTCGATCAACTGCAGCTCGATCAGGGTGGTGACGCCTAAACTGCCCACCGCACCGGCAGCGCCGTGGAAGAGATCCGCGTTCTCACTCTCCGACGCCTTGACCACGCTGCCATCTGCCAGGACCATCTCGACCGAATGGATCGTCTTGTCAAAAAACCCGTATTTGAAGCTGGAACTTTCCCCGGCCGTGCCCGCGAAGCCGCCGCCTGCGGTGATGCCCGGGAACTCCATCACGACCGGCGGCACCAGTCCGTATTTCATGGTGGCCTCGACCAGGCGGTCCATGGGGACATTGGGCTCGACGAGGGCCCTTCTCGTGGTGGGATCGACGTGTAACACATTGCGGAGGTCGCCAATGTCGACTTCGCGGTCTCGGCGGATCGGTCGCGTGCTGTTGGTCGAGCCATGGTTGATTCGGAAGGGCTCCTTGCGCTCGTAGAAACCCCGAATGCTGTTCGCAATGCGGGAGACCGCCGTCTTATGGCGTGCCAGCCCCATGCCGGGCAGAATTGTGCTAGTGGTGGTGGGTAGTGGTCGCGCCGGATGTGGTTAAAGACGCTCGCCGTTTTCTGGTCGGTCGCTTTCGTGGCGGTCGGGCAAAGCCGGAAGTGTTTGGATAAGGTCGGGTCCACCCGGAAGGGAAGACGGAGAGATCACAGCCAAGTCTATACATACATACATCCGTACACCTCTCTATATCCTTGGGTTCTGTCTAGTGTTTCCACGTTATATTCTCTTAATAGTGAGTTTCTGTGTCTGCCCAGAGTACAGACTACTCCATTATCTACAAGGCAGCCTTCCAGCACAAAAGTAACATCCTCGGTAGGGTTATGCCTCTCAGGCCCAAGAGATGATGTTTGATGATCTTATGAAATGCTCAAATACCCCATCGAGCAACAGTTCGGTGGCTTCAGAAGGGGTTTGGTCTACGGAACAGTGAATAGAAGTCCGGTATAGTGTGACTGTCATTGGATAAAACTGAACATTTTGATTCTCGATAATCAACAGGGCCTAGCTGGGACGTGAGGAAAGCTCAAGGCCCATTCCGTAGCCACACGATGCAACTCAAAAGGCTTACATCCTAGACATCAACCGGCTCTGCTTGCGGGCGTTTGAACCGGAACATTTGAAACATTTCGGCCCAGAACCCAGGCGCAGGACTGGTGAAGGTAGCTTCGTAGGAGTCTACGATCGGTCGGTCCCAAACCAAGTCGACTTCCTGCGGCTTGAGGATCTTCGTTCGGTGAGCGAACTTCCATCCAAAATACAAAATGGGGGCGATGATTTGCATGGTGTAATTCTGGAAGAAAGTCTCCACACTCCACGGCGCGAATGCGGTATACCCGTAGAAGAGTAAGACCAGGACCATGCACACCGCACCGAGGTAGGAGCAGTACGGCTGGAAATAACCGTAGTATGGAAATTGCTGTCGGCCGATGCCCTGCGCTTTGCATGCCCGATGGAACTGGATGTACGTGATACAGATGACCAGATAGTCAATGAGTGCACCGGCCGTAACCAAGTTGACTAACCACGTCAAGACTTGGGACGAGTTGTCGGAGAGCTGTAGGAAAGACAGGAACGGAAAACACATGACGACGCCAAACGCATAGAGAGGGACTCCGTTCTTCGTCTTGCTCAGGATTTTCGGTGCCCGACCGTCGAGGGCCAAGCCGTAGAGGGATCGAGTGGCACAGTAGGTGAGGGTGTTGCCCGCCGAGAAGACGGACGTTATGAGCAGGGCATTGACGATGTCAGGCAGGATGCGGATCTGCATATTCGACATTGCGATGACATAGGGAGACGCACCACCTCCTTTCTCATTGCTCTCCCCGGCAAGAATGGCTTGTAGAGTCGGGTCATTCCACGGAATGACGATGCCGACACACAGGGCACCTAGGGCAAAGAATAAGACAAACCGCCAGTAAATGGTTTTAAAGGCAGCCTTGACAAAGGTCCGGGGCCGTTTAGACTCGGCAGCGGCCATCGCGATATATTCGGGTCCCACAATGCAGAAAGCAGCAGACCAGACGGCAGCCAGGAAACCCTCAAACCGACCCAGGCTATCGGTCGTGCGATGCGTGGCAAAGGGGCCGGGATCGTTCCAATAGCGAAACCCGTATGCATCGTGAGCTGGGTTACCGCCAACCATGGTAATGAAGGTGAAGAAAAAGAGCATGAAGATCAGGATGACCTTCCCGGAGGAGAGCCAGAACTCAGCCTCCCCGTACGCCGCGACGGCGAGAGCATTGATCGCACTATTGAATGTTCAGCTTGGGTTCTCAATGGGACTAACCACTGTCTAATCTGCACAAATAGGATTCATCTTGGCAGAGTACGTTACAACGTCGCTTTGGGAAAATGTGGAAAGGCCGGGCAGGAAAGGGATTGTTGCTCTGGGGTCATACGCAAAAAGAACGATACATGCCACACACACTGCGGCGACGGGGATATCGTCTCTCCAGTAGCCAAGGATCAGGTTGATGGCGGTGATCTCGAAGGGGATCATGAGAGCTTCGTAGAGAAAGAAATTCCAGCCGACCATGAAACCGAGGGCGTCGTCCACCCACTTGCCCGCGATACGGATGAACCCACCGGACACCGGATGCAGGACAATCATTTCCGAGAGACAATTGTTGATACAAGCTAGCACCCCACAGTACAGGACGTATGCAATCAGCAGACTGGCCGGGCCCCCTGCGGCGAGGCCATTGCCGATGGTGACGAACAGCGCCGTCCCAATGGAGCCTCCAATGGCGATCAGTTGAACATGTCGGTTCTCGAGTCGCCGTTGCAGACCCTCCGCACTATTGATTTGGCCTTCTTGGACATTGGCCTCTACCAGCTGTGGATCCTCCTTTATCTTCAAGTCAGGCCCCATAATGTACACAGGTTGTCGCACTGGGCAGGGGCAGATCGGGTAGAAGACGGCTTAGTAGTACAGCGATAGGCTGCATATCAAAGATTTGAATCTGTTTTCTAGGAGGACAGTTTGTCAGAACCTGGGGATTATATACTCTTGGTCTGGTCTCCCCTTATGCTCTCTATCGCTCCATACTTCTTAATCTCGGGAAGCCTCCCGGGACGTCATGACCGCAGATCTATCTCTATACTTCTCAGGCTTCAATCAATTGCCTCCGGGCCAGATTGCGCTAAATCTAAATCCCTTGGCACTTCTCCCCCGCAACTCTAATGACCAACACTTCCCCGCTTGATACGTTGAGCAACCAGACGCATGGCCAATGTTAGGGCTACGGTGTGGAGGCATAGACCGATGACCCCGCGTTGGAATTACTGCGCCACTTCATGATTGACCGGTCCTTATCTTCTTCGACGCTTTCCAACCCACTTGTTGTTCGCCTTCACACTAATTCGTCCCAAATGGGAAACAGAAATGAGAGCACATTCACACGGCCCATGGTTGTCCCGGGGAATGCCTTCCTCGGTGTGTAGAGAAGGGTTTGGAACGAGAATGACCAACAATCCAATCATTGATTCATACGTTGACCCATTACAATTCTCAACGTCTCCGGTGGGATCGTACACTGCTATGGTTTCGGGGATAGTGTCTGACCTTCGCAAGGTCTTTTCCACAATGTGCCTCTCTCGGAGCTAGGAACCTCATTTCTCTCTGTCGCTGGTCTGTCCACCACGTGACTATGTCTACAGACGAAGCCGAAGATACCACGACCCGCACTGGAGCCTGCATTTGCAAAGGAGTAGGGTTCACTGTCACAGGTCCTCCCGAGGATGTATTCTGTTGCTATTGCAGTGACTGCGCGATTGGAGCTGGGGGACCCTGTCAGATTGTGAGTCACGGATATGGCTGTTACATCTTTTGATCGATCGCAAGCTCCAGCCTGATGTTGCGTACCCTAAGCTGACGGCTCCAGACGGCCAGCTACGCTTCATCCAGCGTCACTATTCGCGATCCGGACGCTCTCCTTACCTGCTACACGATCACGAAGGGTACTGTCAGCGGCCGTGCGAAAGAAAAGCATTTCTGCAAACGATGTGGATGCACAGTTTTCACAGTTCCTTTCAGCCTTGGACGCCAGTACATCGTGATACGACCAGTGCTGATCGAAAACGGGTAAGAAGTAAAGGCTTGTCTGGGTTCAATGCATTAATGACATTTGCACAGGCTCGAAATCTACAAACCCGGACTCGAATGCTTCGTAAAGCGACGTCCTAGCTACTTTTCCGGGTGCCAATCAGCCAAGGAGTACGATATAATGCCAACCGATGCTAAGAGCTCGGGCACGCAAGCCTAATGTATGGTAGATCATTCTTTTTCCCCTGTCATTGGATAGAGAACTGATATCTTATATCTGACAAGAGTATGCTCATGGAATCTACCTGAGTGTTTGAACGGTGCGAATTCTCAACGAACCCGAAGCCTAGTGCCGAATGATATTTCAAAGGAGCAAGACATACAAAGGTACAGATAAAAGTCCAGTATTCACAGAGAGCACCCAAAGGCCTGAGACCGTAATCCACCACCAGCATATCACCGGACTCCTTACACTGCCGCTCTTACATCCTCTACCTCCTCCACTTGTTTGATATCCTTTCCATCAGCATGCGTCGCCTCTCCAGAATATGGTACCTCGTTCCATGTATCGCTAGTGCATGGAATGGGGAAAGCCTTTGCCAAGGCCCAGTATATAGCGGCAGCCACCAAGAAGCCGGACAAATAATTGATGTTGTAGATGTATTCCGCCGCCACCGGTACATCCGCACCAACGGCGCCAGCAAAGCCCACAACATTGATCAGTATGCCACATATGTAAGCCGTATAGCCCCTCCAGGAAACACCCCACGTGCCATAGTACGGGCCGTTCTTTTCAGCACTATACAGAGCCGGGATTTCCAGGTAGCCGCGACGGACCAAATAGTAGTCGCTGACCATGACCCCGGCGATCGAAGATAGAAATACCGAATAGGATGACAGATAGACCGTGAATTTTGCAGAAGATGCCACCAGGTTCCACTACGAGGTCTGTCAGTAATTGTAGTGTAGTATCCAGGGAGGGGCGAATGGGATGTCAAATGATTCTATCGGTCATGAGAGATGGGGAGGATGCTTACCGGGCACATAGCCAGACCAATAGCTGCACACACGTACGCTCCTCGGCGAATGGTGCAAAATCTAGGGAGCAAGGCCGAGAGATTTGTTCCAGCGGATACAGAGTTGGCTGCAATATTGGTTCCTAGCTGAGCCAACGCAAAGCCAGCGGCGATCACAAACACCCCGAACCGTTCCGCCGAACTGGCGTCTTGCAAGAACATTCCTAGCAAAGTGAGAGGATTCCAAACCGCCTCGCCGAAGATCACCGATGAAGATGAAGTTACCACGATTCCGATAAACGACGTGACGGCAAAGCCCACTGGGATCGTGATCAACTGTGGCCATATCGCATCTTTTGGATGACGTGCGTATCGGCTAAAGTCAGGGTTATTGATGATCAAAGCGGCGAAATTGGCAATGCAGTTCATAATGCTTTTCACCACAGCCCATGCTAAGTCGCTTCCTTGCGCAGTATTGGGCTGATGGATGATAGGGCCCAATCCATGGGCGCGAACAATCGCCCAGATGAAGAAAGCAATTGCGCAGGCAGGTGAAAAGTATGCTTTCGCCGTAAAGAGGTGTCGGATCTTATAGATAGGAAACCATAGGGCGGGGAGCGACCCTAGCCAGAACAAAAAGAAGCTGGTGAACTCCATGGTGGTGACGCCTGAACTGGCTGGGATGTTATTGGGGATATTCACGTAGCTGGGCCAAATGGCTGGATCATCAGAGTCACACATTGCCCTGACACAGAATTAGTCTTCCTCTAGCAAAGGAAAGTGATGACATAATATACCTCCAAGATAAGTCTGTTGGGCCGAGTGGGTTAGAGGAGTACTAGTACTTTGGCGATTGGCGAATAAGCACATACCTGAACTCCATACCAAATGACAGCCATTGCCGCGCGATTGATAATCGGCCAGAATGAACCCCATATGCCAAAGGATGCTCGGTTGGCCACTGCGAACGGAATGTAATAGATGGTTGCAATGCGGCCCATGGCTACGACAAAGATACCTGATATTGTATAACCGGCCCAGACGCAGAGCCAGGACTGCCACCAGGAGAGCCCATCCACAATCATGGACGAGGTAATCATCCATGTATTCTAGTAAATTCCAGAGTGATTTAGGAACAATGCATTAGGGCAAAGATTGGGCTGGTTATGGGGTAGCAACATACGACATTCAGCGAATCTGCAATCCAGAAAGCTACAAAGTTAAGCCATCTCCATTGGCGACGCTCCGGCTCGACTGGACGCAATCATCTTGATGTATCAGTGCTCAATTGACGAAACATCCGTGCACTCCATGAAAACATGTATCAGAATCCATGGATTGTGCTCACCTGGCTTTAGATCTTCATTCGTTAACATTAACTCCGCCGTCGTCAGACCAGGTTCTGTCGGCACCTGTAGGGCCTTGATGGACCTCTTGAGTAATGACATTGTTGGATTTCATAGAACGTTGCCAAGCAAAGAGAAGAACAAGCAACGTGTATGATGCGAGCTGCTGACCATGAGACTCGGGGATGTCTGGTTAATATATACCCCGCATTATAGGCAGACAAAGATCAACATCTATACAGTTAGCTTCTCCCCGCAGACGGCCGACTCCGTAGTGGAAGCTAAATCAAACGCCTTAGAAGCCGAGGTTACTACAGTAAAGTCAATCAGGGACCACTCAAACAAGACACAGACCGCCATTGAGGGGGGTTTGCAGTGCGAGGCGAAGAAGGTCGAGTCCCTTTTCAACCCCAGTGTCGATCTCCCCACAGTGGTTTTGTGATCAGCGTTGGGGTTTGATCTGAGGTGACCAATAGAAGCAAGAACATGCTTCCAGAAGAGGGAGAACCCGCATATCAAGGTTTCGTTTCAACCGCTTCTCCTCATCCTTAGCGATGGCGGCATCAACAGGGTAGCTTTGAATTACTTCTAAATCCAATCCAGAATGCTCTTGGACCTTGGCTGATCGCCACAGTCGTCAAGGATCTAAGGCCATTCTATGTTGGTTCCACGTGTCGCAGATCCTCAATATGCACCAGGTCTGGCACCTCATTGTGTTTGGAATCCATGGGGTGCAGGTATCTTGTTCATGCAGACCTCCAGCAAGTGAATCAGTAAGCATCAAAAGGGAGATCTGGATCTCCTGAACCCTGTGAGAGACGTGCACCATCAATATACTAGGTATTCAGCTCACTAAACAGGACGATCAGTTCCGGATTGGGATAATGAAGAAACGGCAGGTAGCAAGCGATGAGGGGATTAATTGTAACAAGACTGGCTCTAGCACACCGGCCTCCTGGAATTTGACCTTCTAGCCATCGGGATTTGCAGGGAGCTGGAGATGATCTCATCCGGCACCCTTACATTAGGGTCGATCTTTCTCTGCTTCGCACGTGTCTTCCACCAACTCGTGTCGGCGTACTTCATAGGGTGCCTGCCCTTGGTATCCCTTTTTTCTAATGCCCGGGGGCAACCATAGATGCATCGAAGCTTGCAACCATGTCATGATTCCGGCGTTCTTCGTAGTTGCTCCCACAACTGATAATGGATTTGAATCTTCATGTCCCGATTTCGATCTCCACTTTTGATGAGATGATTCCCTGGCGATTACTGAAAATGGCAATTCATTCAGCTCTCCCGAAGGTTGTTTGCATTGTTTGATTGCATTAGGATAAACCGAAGTGCATTCACGAATCTCTCGAAATATCACAATTAGGTGGGTATTAATCCCTCCAGAAAAGACTGACGTATCCAGTAATGTAATGTAGAATACTATCGAAGGAACAATCGCCCAGAGGAACAGTGGTAGTGATTGTGCCAGCATGGGTCCAGATATATATACATGGACCCGAACTATATATTTATGTGCTTTATCCCGTATCCCCTATACACATAGTAGTGGATAAGACACCCACCCCGCACGAATATACCTAGAAGCAAAACCAAGATTTCGATTCTACTATATTACGATTAATGCTATATCAACAGGTAGTTTTGGCTATCTACGCTGGTTCAAGGCCTTGCAATGGCCAACGTTCTCTCGAATCTCAAGATTCCGGACATTGTCCGCCGTGGCAAACTCTCGGGGATATTACCAAATGATGGCAAGATGCGCTAGGATCATCACGGTTAGATCAAGAAGAGACAAGTACGGCGGACTCCGTAATATCAACCAGATTCGACTTGTCCAGTGGATTTCCAATGCTTTGCTGGCCACCAGCCCCAAAGCTAAACCCAATCCAGAGCTAACCGTGGTGCAAACCCGTCAAACCGCCGCGGGAAAATTGGAACGGCGAAGTCTATTCAACATTCGATTCTTTTTTCTCTCTAGCATGGCGACAAAAGTCCAGAAGCGAGGTCACGCTAAGGGATAGTTCGAGCGGCCATACCGGCCTCGAACCACTACCTAGGCTCGTACCATTTCCTACCTCCATGTCACACGGACCTGAATGGCGAGATAGGAGAAATGCGACCTAAAAAAGAAGAGCCACTAGCCCACTTGAGAGTAGTTCGTCCATGCTGTCTAGTACGGGGCAAGTCTAGCCCTAGATAAGGAAAAGAAGAGTATCGTAGCGCGCGAGCTAAAGCTTCATCGAGACTACTAGACCCTGCGGGATTGAAACCCTGCCAATCACCATGAGGCTCCAGCAAGTTCTCAATGGGATACTACCATGCTGCATGAAGCAATTTTAACATCGCTTGGCGAGGTCATGAGGCTCGAGTTGCCTCTGGCCAGGGATTGTTTGAGTAGTATTAAAGCCATGGGTGCTACCATGACTGCGTCCCAGAGAGGGACGGAGATTTTTGCGCTACCATTGCCGGCGGCCATCCATGATGGTGCCCCCACACTCGTTTATGTTCTTTTTGTCGGTCGTTTTTACCCACCTGTGTTCATTCGTTTTTGCCGTCCCGTGGGTTGTCACAGATTACTACGAACAGGCTGTCGTCACTGAAGACTACTACTACACCAGCAGGGTCATCACTACGATCCAGCAAATTTCCCCGACTGCCACTTCCCTGCCCGAGGCAGCATCGACCATCACCTCCATCGGGACCGGATATTACGGAGGAGATGCTACCGTCATCCAGAAGCTCTATCCCACCGGCGTAGGGAAGCCTGCCGATGTTTACGATTATCCCTCCTACTACGACGATGAGTACCATTACACCATCTTCAAGGTGTACTTGACCTACTCAGCCCCAACGGGCTGCGCAACTCAATGGACGCAGACCACTGCTGTCCCAGTAAGTCCGCCCCGTGTGGTGGAGGACTTGCTGCCTCGGACTGCCATGGAGACTTCAGTTTCGGTCGACTCCAGCCAACCCTTCCAGCCGACCACTTACACGTATGATGTGGTCTATGTCGACCCAACTCAGGTCCCTAGTAGTTCTCTGGAGTCACTCAGTTACTACAACCGACCCACCTCCCTCTACACTGGTGCACAGTGCTATTATACGAGTACAGACAGTCCCTCCTACAACGGCGGTTACTACGGCTACGACGACGACTACAACTGGTTCCTCGATGACTACTGGATGGGTATCTCACCGTTGGCCCTTACCCTGATTCTCACCCTAGGCTGGATTGGCCTGTTTCTGATCCTAGGATTCATCGAGGCCTTCGTTCGATTCCGCCGCCTAATGACTGGCTGGCAAACCCGGCGCGGTCTGCCCGTCTGCTGGTCTCTCACTGTCATCCCAATTAGCCTTCTCCTTCTTTGTTTCTTCCGTAAGGGCTATCGCGCCCGCTCACAGGCTGACTCGGAGATTCTGAAGAAGAGATGGAATGCCATGGGTTTCTGGACCAAGCTGCGCCTGTTCTTCGTGTGGGGATTTCGGTTCAAATACCCACCGATGCTGGGCCCGGCGCCAGCCGCGTGAAGACAAGCAAGCAGCCGGGCAAGAACCCTGGGCCACGTCTCCTGACCCCGAGTCCATCGCAGAGCGTGGCGCCGGACTCGCGTCAGGGATCCACCGCTGCACATAGTACTGCGGATCTTGAAATGGCGGAAGTATCTCCGGAACCTTCGCAGCATCCATCCCAGCCCGCGGCTCTGCCGTCGACCGCATCCGGGGCGCTTCCACCTCATCAGGATGACCAGATTGGTCGAGCGCATTGAGCGACATGTTGGTGCTGTGATGGGATTGTTGGCTAGCTACCACGTCAGGGTGGAACGCAAAGCGGAGGTGGCACGGGGACAACTCGAAGTCGCAGTGGCCACCTGTCATTCCTTTCTGCATGTCATATAATTCTTCTATAAGGGGCCGTCTGACTATGTACCACCTATTACTTACTCTGCTCGCCTCCCCTTGTGCCTTTTAGCGATAGACCTTCGTTGGGCCGTACATAATGTCTTAATGTCTATGTTAAATTAACCTCAAGTAGCATATACCATAGACTCATTGCCACATTCAACATATCAGTAGCAACAGTGGACATAGTTACCGGGGAACCAGACTGATGGGGTCCCCATTAATAGGAATATCCGTATCAGCAACGCAGGGTCAAACTCTGGTATTGAGGACTGTTTCTTCATTGAGCAAACAAACACAGGAGCAGGGTACAAATTTATATTGACTGTATAAAAAGAAAAATACCCTACCCTTTCAACAAGGGCAAATAGTGAACACATAAATTGATAAGTCAGGGTTGAACCCCAAAGCTACACAATCCTCAACAGGAAGAGAGCAAACAAATATTCACATAGGTATGCCTTTGTTTCTCTCTCTCCTCATAACACTCTGCTCCGTAGACTCACCATCTGTCTTTGTTCTGTGCTAGTCCTAATCCATGCATCGGTGTCTCACGTCAACTGTAATACCGGAGCCAGAGTCAAGTACCTGCATTTAAACACGCTGCAAGGCAATCTGCTACCCTTTATCCAGGAACCCATAGACAGAAAGCTCGTATCCGGATGGCCTGGACGAATACATCTCACGTGATTGATTCCAAGAGGATAACGCTGACATGCCCTCACACTCCAGAGGTGAGGATGGTGGGCTAATCTTCCTCAAAGCACTGTACATCCGTCCCGACATTGCCGTTATGTGACTCTCCATCGTCGAGGAGACAAGCGTCAAAAGGAGACGTATCTGCGTCGACGTTGTGAAGTAGGCTTAAATACCATGTATCGTTGAGAGATGTACTCCCTTGTTGACCTTTCAGCCGGTGTTGTTCCTTCTGCACGCTGTCTGCAGCAGGCACGGTTGTTGGGCTCGTGGGGGATGTTATTGCCCACGGAAGCTTTGGCAGGCCCAAGACCAAGTACGTTGTGTCTCTGATTATCGGCGGAAGCGATTCATTTCGCGGAAGACGGCCAGTGGCCAGACTCGAGTCAATACACGTTGAAATCAAGAGATATGCACGAGGATACTTCAGGAACACTTCGGCCCAGCCTCTTATTCGCAGTCTTTTAAACGCAGGGGATAACAGTTTATCACGCCCCTTGCTCTCTGAATCAGTATCTTCGAGGTAGTTTTGGCGTTCGATCAGTGATAAACCATCCTGCGGTATGTTGCTTTCTAGAAGCAGGTTTTTAGTAATGGCGTATGCTAGGTGCAGAATCTGATTTGTGCCTTGCGAGAATAGCTCTGTGACATCGTACACCCTTCGTGACTGGTCAATAACCTCAGAGCACTTAGCAAGAGAACGCTTTCGTTCAACCATGTCCGAATACGACACAGAGAGCTTGACATCTATCGCAGCGAGGACCATTGGAGTACCGCAATAGGCAAGTCTTGAGGCTTGGTCAGTAAAAGTAAACAAGGAAAGCAAAACAGAACAAAACAAACAAAAGCCCAGTGTGAGCGCCAGTCTAGCCTCAATTTGGATCTTGAAATAAGCAAGTAGGGGCTTAGGGTGTATTGCTAAGGGCGAGGGAAAATTTGTCAGAACTTACACACTCAATGGGATATGCTCCGTTAGGTTCCTTGCACTAAAATAACCAAGCTTTTGCGTGATCTGATATACAGATTCTTTCAAGTCCTTCGCCAAAGGCAACAGGATCGATGCCGAGCGGTCCTGAATCATATCACGATGACTTTCCACAAGGAGTGTCTCATAATGGCCCAGGACCATGCGAGCGGTACTATAAATTTCATGAGCGAGAATATAATCGTATACTCACAGGGCCAAAACTCACTGGTAGTGCATGGCAGTTAGATTGATCATAATTCCAACACTCTCCGGCTCGGCACTGCAAGTATCATGCAGGGGAGAGTAAACCGTTTCTTCCCATTGAGTGAGCTCCGCTCGCACCTCCCTGATCTTTGCGAGATATAAATCAAGCTCATGAAGGGATAGATGTGGAGCATCTCCGTCCGAAGCTGAGAAGGAGATAGTTATGACATCCGTTAAAATCACGGCCAGCCGGCATTGGGCCTGGAACACTTTCAGCAGCAGGCGCTTGACATTTGGCTCATAAAATGGGGACATGATGATTTCGTTGGCCATCTCTTCCTCGTCTAGATAGTCAATGTTCATGTTGAAATTCGCGGACGTGAACTGAGGGCGACGGTGACGGCCAAGCCATAGGAAGCGGTCGCGAACAAAAATAGACCACCACAGCCGTTTTTTGACACATATGTTGGGTTCCTGGACTGAAAGATGGAGATCGAGGCCTATAGCGATTGCATTGTGAATTGCGCACATATTCCAGGTCATCGTTGCCTCGGGGTCTTCGGCTGTGGTATGGAATGTCAGCAGTAGGGCGCCCTGGGCTCGTGCTAAGGGGTTACTCTCGGCGTTAGTATCATACAACATCTACTTGACCGGGTGCAAATTAGCAGACAGATCATCCTTTTTCCAGCATAGACGAAGATCCACAAGAACAAATACCTTGGCGCGGTGATAAAACGCTCTTCTTGCTTCGCATGTATCGTTGAAGCCACATTGTTGGATAATCTCGATGGGCACAAACTGCACCGTTTAGTTCATGGTTAACCTGAGGTCAAATGGCCGCCTGATAGGAGAACGATACATACCGCACAACTCGAAAGCAACATAGCCTGAAATAGGAAGAGGGAAAGTTTGGGCGCGTACTCGGCGTCTTCCAGTTGGAGATACGTGTTCCAAAACTCTACTTCATCCAAAATGGGAACGGAAGGATGCACGAGCAGGAAGTATTTCATGATGAAGACATCCAACGCAGCTTTGGGGGGCATGTCCAGACAGCCGCCTGTTACCAGAATATGTACAACGCTCATCGGAAGGGGAGATAGGGCATTGAAGTCTAGGAATTGTTGCCCTGAAAAGCTAGGGCCGACACTGTCCAGCCTCATCGGAGGAGAGACAACAGGCTGGGGATCTAATATCTGGCTCGAAGCATCAGATTCAGTCTCAAATATCGTTTCGGTATGATTGGGCGAGTCCAACAGTTCGGGGAACCCAGAGGCTGCTGGCAGTGTGGAGGGCTGAGGAGTAGTCTTGCCGGGCTTCTCGCTGGCATTGACGGTGTTTTGTTCGTCCCCATTTGGCTTCGCTGATCTCTGGGCAGTGCTTCGACGCTGGCTCTGTTTCAGACTCTTGAATCGTGCTGTAGCATTGGGACGCAGAGTACAGTCCGTTCTGCCATCGAGCACGCAGTTTGTGCAAGGGTAGCCGAGAATCGATGCATCGCAGCGCACCTTGCGTCCATGGCACCGGTAGCAGGCCGCCGCCGCCCGTCGGATGCGCTTTTCCACTGGCAGAGGGCCTGTAGTCTGGTACATGGTGCCCCAGGAAGCTAGTGGGACCAATCAGTGTAAGAAAGTCTGACTATGTAATATCTCGATCTCCAGCAATCATGGAACAGCAGGAATATGTAGAATCTATAGTAGCGGTGGGAACTCCAGGTCTCTAGTGCCTTCAAACGGCTGTGTAGACTTTAGATATCAATGCCATCCTGAAAACTTGCGACTCTCACTATGAACCGCCATAGCTGACTACCGCATGACACGCAACTCTCTTCCCCAGAATATGCAGTCTCGAGGAACTTCAAACTGGTCACACCCCGTTCAACATGCGTCTGATCCTGAGCGAATTAGAGCCCAATGCAGCCTCACGGGCCGCGGTATGCTCTCTTCCCCCGCGGGGAAATCTTAGTTCGCAAAGGATGGCCATGATCGACTTGCGGGGTATCCCTCGGACCATTCTGCCCATCAGGCGAATCGGATTACATTCATTGTGCTAGTCTCGTGTGAAGGCTCATTGGTGTTGTGTGTTAGTGCCTCTTGATCTACCTATTGACTGCATCTATTGGGGGATGGGCGATAAGAGTAGGTGGAGGGGCGATGTCTTTTCTGTCCTTACATCTGACTCCTTAAAGGGATAGCCGATTGTTATTAATTTAATCCCGAGTATGGTGCCCGTCTTTAAGGAAGAAATCACGTCTTGTTTCTCACTTCCCCTCCCCACGACAAGAGTCTGATACCATATTATGGGACAACTGAAATCGGATATTATGGGTATACCCCATGCCAAAGAGGAGGTGGATGCCGACCTTGAAGCCGCCCATGCTCCTGGCAGGCTCGGTTGGTATGAGCAATCATATGCATGGCCACAACTCAGGAGTCATCTGGAGCGAGTCCTGTGCTGGACCCTTTCGTGGATTGTCTTTCTGGCTGTCGTCTACTTGTATCGTGGGTCATTCTATGCCCAATAGATTGAATTAAACTAACTCATGACAGTGGCTTCCTGAGGGTTGATGTTGGCTGCTGCTTTTCAAGGATGTGATTCTTATTCTCGATGTTTAGCTAGGCTCATCGTTTTCGCGAGTTTAGCATACTGTGTCCATGGCTATTTAAAACTCTTAAACCAAGGTTCATGTATATATAGCAGTCTTCCGGGAAGATTAATTTGACCCAGTGGGATATTCCATATGTTTATAATCATCCAAAATGCCACCACGAAGCTATTGAATGTGAGTTAACTTGCAGTCGATTCACATTCCAGTCTGGTCAAATACGCATAAATACATAAGATACTGAACAATCCATCTGGTTCATGACTATGCATGGGAATAATAGAGAGCGACTCAATACACTGGCAGAGTTGAACGAGAGAGTCAATAAAGTTAACGAAGGGTTATAGTAACACACTGCAGACTGAAGCAATAATCATCAAACGTAACAAAAGTACTCCTAATGCATTAGGCCATCCTTCTCAGCCGACGACGCATGTCCCTCATGTAGTATTTCATGGGAATGGTCCGGATAAAGCGCGGGATAATCGGGTAGGCGATCTTGGCTCCTAGGATCACGGATTTATAGATTGAACGCCGCAGACGACCATCGCTCATACCATACTCCATGCGCAGACGCTGGGGCAGCATCTGAGCTGTCATCAATCGCACGAAGGGCAGGCCCATACGCAGTGGGAGGAACAACTCCTTGTTGTACAGCAGGTCCTGGGCGATGTTGCGGGCGTGGTCGGTAACTTCTAGGTTGGCCACCGTCTTGTCCCAGTAGCGCCAGAAGGCCTTCCGGTCCTTGGGCCAGATCTCGAGCGGCACACGCAGCGACCGCGCCAGGACTGAGTATTCTCGATAGATCAGATCAGCCTTACGAGGCTCCATGGCGCCGTAGACTTCCTCGTACATGAAGATGCCGCTGGCATACAAGGTGGCTGCCACCCACATCTGAAGCTCCGGGTCATCCGCCGAATATCCTGGCCCATTGACCTCGGCGTGGGCACGATTGACCAGGGAGATAATCGCGCGCTTTTCGTCCTTCGTGCCGAACGCCATGCAGTAGACGAAGGTCAACGTGGTCCGCAGACGGTGTAGTGGGCGGTACGCAAAGCTGCTGTGATTGTCGACGCCCTTGGCAACACCGGGCATGGCAACTTGCAGGAGGATGGCTGCAGCCCCGGTGGCGAGCAACACCCCTTCTCGTACGATCTTCTGCACATTCTCTGTACCCTGGAGTGAGTCGAGCAAACTGTCATCCGGTACCATGTTCAGAGTGTGCTTTTCCGAGATACTCGATTGCCATGGCTCCGGGGTGTCGTCTCGCTTGGACTCGTCCGAGTCAGACGTGGTCACTGATAGTTTCGCCTTTTGTTCCATTGTGAAACTCTTTGGGGATGTATATAAGACGTGCCAGTAGAACCTTGGCCCACAGCATATCACTCCACCCTTCGAGTGAAAAGATCGCACCGTGGCTTTCGTATATATAACCTGCTATCTTACATACTGGGCTATGGACCGACTCCACAACTACCACTGCACGAATTTAATTCCACGGCCGCAGTTGGCAGTCCGAGGTGGTGTAGATCTTCCGTGGGGCGAGACGGATAAATTCACCAAGCTTAATTAAATTAAATTGTCGCTGGAAGGTTTCTGTTCCGCGGCAAACGGTCCGAGGAGCAGGAACGCACAGCCTCCAATATACCTTGAACGAAGCGAAAATATGAATATCGACAGGGTAAATGGGCAAGATGTAAAAATTTAATTGATGGGAATGAATAGAGTGCCAACCTTAAAAACTCAAGCTCGAAGATGCCAACCTAGGTAACACCATCACGAGGCATGAATCCAACCCCCACCTTTTTGGTGGCCAGAATAACCCAAGGTAAGCCGTTCCTAGGAATTGTTATACTTGTTACTAGTGCGAATTGACCGCCTGCCACGGTGCGAGGATGGAGAGAGCCTGACTTCTCCACCCGATCTAAGACAGACTACCCCAGTTGGACACCAAGCTTGTCTCTACTGAGTGACGATCAGAGGGATCGTGAGTAGTCAGGATGCTTAAGATAGTAACGATCTGGAGCGCTAGTCGTCCCCAGATCCCCGCTTTGATTGATAAAGTGTTTATTCCCCGCACCCCAGGGTGCCACATATGCTAGATGCATTCGCTGTTGTGTGCACTGGTAGCTTCCTTTTCTTCTTCTTGGAAAGACACCGGAGTGCGTTTCGCAATTGCTGATCCTCCATGGCTATCGGTGAGTCGGACAGGCCCTTCGACAGCTCCAGTGCCTGGAGAGAGTCTATAGATTCCGACTCTCCGGGCAAGGAGAAGCAGCGTGCAGGAGAGCCATCAGGGCCTCGTGGTGGCAGTGGTGTTGGAGCCAGGTCCAGAGACCCAAGATATAATAAGCCCAGAGGCTTTTGGACGCGTATCCTGAAGCACTTCAAGCGGTATTGGCTGTGTTATGGCCTCCTGGGCATCATATTTCTGGCAATCTTCCTGCCCGTGTTGTATGATCGTTGCCTTTCTGTGGATTCGTTCGTTGTTGACAAGATGGAACATTACTAAGTCTGGGCTTAGTTTCCTGGTAATCATACCGGCAATTGCGCAGAGGCTAGTCAATGATGCTAGCATTCCAATCCACTCTGCAGCTATCATGCAACCAACCCCGGATAGCTTAATGTTCTCGCTGTCTGCATCTCTAAATGTTCCCCTCGGGCTCAGTGTGCGGATAGATCCACTCAACTTGAGTCTATTCAATCGAGATGTGAAGCCGAGAAAACCATACGTGACGGCTCCGCTCAATGGACTTCGCCTGAAAGGCAAATCCGACATCACGATTACCAACCAGACGACCAAGATCCTGGACGAGGAGCAGTTCACTAAATTTTTGAGCAATGCGGTTTACTCGAAGAGGTTTATCTTATCGGCTTATGGTAAGACAACAGCCCACTTGGGAAAGATCAAAGTTTCCCTCACCCTGGATAAAGATATAGAGCTAAATGGTAAGCGTTGCTGCTGCACCGCAGTTGATCGATCTAGTACCATTGACCTCCGGTGTTGCAGGACTCGATATGTTGAACGGGTTCTCTATTGACGCCGCCAGACTGGCCCTCCCACCAGAGGATGACGGTTCCAACCTGGTTGGAAAAGCAACACTGCCAAATTACTCTGTCGTGACATTTGCTCTGGTAAGCTAGATCATCGGTCTACGGGAACTCAGTAACTGACTTTTCGCACAGGGGAATGTCACTCTCAATCTTAAGGTCGATGACCTGATTCTAGGAAACGGTACTATCAACAATGTACTGCTGAAGCCTGGAAACAACTCAGTTCCGTTGCGTGGAGTGGTGGATATCCCAAATGCGATCAGGAATATTGGGCCTATTTTAGCTGCAGAGACAGAGGCTCTGAGCCAGGGAAATGTGATGATCTCAGCATCCGGGAATTCGACTATCTACGACGGGGAGCATATATCATACTATGAGAAGGTGTTGAATAACCTGACCATCAGCGCGAACGTGCCCATTCTCAAGGTGCTGTTTGGTTCCATCTCCGGATTGGTGTCATCGAATCCCGACGTGATGCAGAACGTGACCGACGCGTTGCGGCAGGCGAACTTGTCGTCCAGCCAAGATATGTGACTAGTGATGATGAATGAATAATGACATAGTGTTAATGACACAAGATGAGCATGTACCTTTTGCCGCGGTAGTATAACAACGGGCGTAAATCAACCGTAAGGGCAAAGCGAAGAAGCCCTAGCCCTAGCTAGTGTCCCAGCGGCCGCCAATCTCGAACCTCGTGGAAGTAAGCTAGCGACAACTACCACCAACCACAAGCGCAAGTGGCTTGAGAGACAGTCTGAGACAGGCGTACTTGTCTCATTTCCCCGCAATCCCAAGGAATCCTCAACATCGCTTCCCTAGTTCCCCGCATTTTATATGAGATCTCCACTCTATAGACTTTCGGTCCGCGGCAGTAGGACCGGCAGCGTGAAAGAGAGAACCCTGACATATGTAGAAAGCGAAAAAAAAAGCCATCAGCCCCTCTCACACGCGCTGTTGTGATAGCTCGGCCGCGGTCACAGAGCGAGAGGGTCCAGTCGGACCCTTATACTGTCTAGCATTATCATGGGACCCCGCACGAGAATACGGCAGCGCTGTTTGTGGTCAACCTAGGCGAGGGCAGGGCTTGTCCGAAAGGAATTTTCTTACCGCCACGATGCGCAACGAGGAAAGGCTCGTTTCGACAGGGTAGCAACTAGCAGACTACGGTGCGATGGCGCACCTGGTCCTCGGTAATCACTGGCAGTGATGGAATACTAATAAGAGTCATCGGCTCCTGCTTGCATCCAGAGTGTCTGTGGCATCCATCGACATCAGTCAGAGTCCGCAACCCTACACAGGATGAGGGCTATTTCTCTACTGTCCCCAGTGCTGCTAGCTGCCCTCGCAGTCGCAGCTTCAGAATCGGACCACAATGCAACCGTGGGATCGACTGCGGTGAGCGTAGCCAACGTCCTAGCTGCTAGCATAGCGCAGGAATCGGCTGCAACAGGTGACAGCAGCAACAGTGCGACACAGGAGCAGGGTGCGGTGAGCGCAGCCAACATCGCGCCTGTCAGCGCAGCGCAGGAACCAGCTGTAACTAGCGACCGCGGTAACAGTGCACAACTCACAGTAGCAGAAAGTGAACAAAATACTGATGGATTCAACATTCCAGGTCCGACGAATCTTCCCTTATCTGTGGGTGATATTCCTGTCCCGACCGTTTCACTTCCCATCACTGTCAAGGTTCCCACACCCTCGATAGCCACCGAAGAGATTACAGTATCAAAAACCACAGTATCAAAAAGCACAGTAACTGAAAAGACAACGGAGTCGACGCCCAGACCGTCTGCGAGCAACCCGGGTGTTGACTCCATTGAAGACCTCCTAGCAGGTGTGCTGGGTGGCGACGGACTCTCGGAGATCGAGGAGGGCCTCAAGAATGTTCTGAGCCTATTTACGCCATCGTTTGTCAAGGATGCCACTTCTCTGGTTAGCCAGGCCTCTGGGTTCTTTGACCAGGACACGATGCAAGATACAAAGGCCATGATCAGCACCTTGGGCAGTATCAAACCATTGCTCTCATCTCTCTCATCGGGCAATAGTAGTGAAGTTAGTGTTCAGGGGCTCACATCGCTGCTTGGTAACGGGTCAATTTTCAAAGACATTGACAATATCCTGAAGAGCATCGCTGCCCTGCCGGCCATAATTAAGGAGATCCTCGATATACTAACGAGCGATGAAGTCCGCGAATTCCTGCAAGCGTTCCCAGAAATCATGGATAAGCTCTTGCCGATCCTGAACCCGGAGCTAATCAAGGCTCTGGAGTCGTTGATCACGGAGAACCTGACACCAGAGCTGGTGAATGACTTGTCATCAACTCTGTCTGCCCTGCGTCCGCTACTCCATGATATTCAACCTATCCTGTCGAACCAGACCATGGAGCCACTCCTGAATCTTGTGAAGACCATCATCTCACCCACGTTCATTAATGAGATCGAAGAGGTGCTGAAGGCTTTGCCGCCACTCATCAAGGACATCTTGCCTCTCCTTGGGTCTGATATTATCACCCCACTAGTGAACCTTCTCAAAGAGATCCTCACTCCTGAGTTCATCAAACAGATCTCATCCCTGCTTAGCGACCTTCCTGATCTATTCAATACTCTTGTGCCGTTGATCAAACCCATACAGGAACTTATTACGGAGATCGTGACACCAGAATTTATCAAGGAGATCGGGTCATTGATTAAGGCTGCGCCACCGATCATTAAGGAGCTTATACCTCTCCTCGAGCCTCTCGGCAATCTGATCAAGGAAGTCCTGACGCCAGAGTTTGTGAATGACATCAAATCATTAATCCAGGCAGTGCCAGGCCTTTTGGACACGATTCTACCGCTGGTGCCCAAGGTTGAGGAGCTACTCAACAAGGTTCTAACACCGGAGCTCCTTAATGCGCTCGAATCGCTTCTTGACGCCGCACCCGAGTTGTTAAACAGTCTACTACCGCTTGTGCCGGACTTGATAAACCTGATTAAGAAGATTCTGACACCGGAGCTCATAAAGACCCTTGAATCGGTCTTGGATGCGGTGCCAGGGCTCTTAAATAGTTTGCTACCGCTGGTGCCAGAGTTGGTCAACCTGGTCCAGAAGGTTCTGACACCGGAGCTCATTCAGGCGCTTGAGTCGCTTCTCGATGCCGTACCAGGGTTATTGAATACTCTATTACCGCTCGTGCCAAAGCTTGGGGATCTTCTTAAGAAGATTCTGACACCGGAGCTTCTAAATGCGCTTGAATCAGTTATTGATGCTGTACCAGGGCTCCTAAATAAAATATTACCTCTTGTACCAGAGTTGGTCAACCTGGTCCAGAAGGTTCTCACACCGGAGCTCATAAAGACACTTGAGTCGCTTCTCGATGCCGTACCAGGGTTATTGAATACCCTGCTACCGCTCCTGCCAACGCTTGAGGACTTACTTAAGAAGGTTTTAACACCGGAGCTTTTGAACGCCCTTGAATCAGTTCTTGATGCTATACCAGGCCTGTTAAATAAAATATTACCGCTTGTGCCGGACTTGATGGACCTGCTCAATAAGGTTCTCACACCGGAGCTTCTGCAGGTCGTTGGCTCGCTTCTCGACGCAGTTCCCGGATTATTGAATAGTCTATTACCTCTGTTGCCTACGCTGGAGGAGATGCTGAAGCAGATCTTGACTCCCGAGTTATTAGCGGCCGTCCAATCGCTCCTTGCGAAGGTCCCTGGCATTATCAACGCGATACTGCCATTGATACCATCGCTTGAGGACATGATCGTCAACATTCTCACACCGGAATTCATCAGCGTGATTCAGAAGATTTTGGCGGCAGTTCCTGGATTACTCAACGCCGTTCTACCCCTGCTTCCACCCCTTGAAGAGCTTATTCCGAAGATCCTAACCCCCGACTTCATTGCTTCCATCGAGTCTGTGCTCGCTGCTCTCCCGTCGATAATACAGGACATACTGCCTTTGCTACAGGGCGATATAATCAAGTCACTAGTACAGATTGTGACTGACATCCTCACTCCTGAGTTCATCAACGATATCAGCGGTATTGCAGGCCTGATCCCGCCATTGGTGCACGACCTGGTTCCAATCTTCAACAAAGACCTCATGACGGCGATCGTGAATTTGCTGGCGAGCGTTGTAACCCCAACGTTCATCAACGATCTTACCGCGCTGATCAACGCAATAATCCCAGTGGTGAAGGATATCATTCCGATCATTGGAAGCGATGTTGTGAAGGATCTGGTTGCAGGACTGCCAGATATTATCAACGGTCTATTGCCAATTCTGAATATCGACATTATCCTGGGGATCGAAAGGGCCCTTGCTGGGCTTGTCACTAAGCAATTTGTCACCGATGTCGGCGTCGTGCTGGCAGCGGTACCACCACTGCTGCACAGCTTGGTCCCCATTTTTGGCACAGAGCTTCTTGGGCCTGTGGAGAATGTCTTATCCACATTGTTGACACGAGATTTCCTGGAAGACGTTGGAGGGCTGGTTGACACGGTGCCACCCCTTCTCAACGAAACGATGCCGTTGTTCCACCAAGACATTATCGTTCCAGGAGAAAATGTTCTTAAGGAACTCATTACCCCCGCGTTTATGAATGACATTGGGTCTGTGCTCAATGAAACCCCTGCCATTGTCGAGAGCTTGATTGCCGTCGTTGGCAGTGATGCAGTGAGCTCGCTGCTAGACGCTGTGCCGAAGGTTCTGAACAGCCTTTTGCCACTTCTGAATGGAGAGCTCATATCGAACATCGTGAACGATCTGACTAGTCTTCTAACTACCGACTTCATGAATGATATTGGCACAATTCTCGGTTCAATACCGGGTCTTGTACACTCCATCCTACCAATCTTCACTGGAGATACACTCACGGACCTGGTTCAAAGCCTCGTCCCATTGATCAAGGCAGTGGCAGCTGTATGTTTTCCCCTACGGACTTCTACGAAGAATTGTTGCTAACTTCTGCCTTCTAGTTGCTGCCGCTGCTGACCAATATTTTGGCATCTGTATGAGCTGGGATTCGTTGAGGAGCGTGTTCGGACCATGGCGACACTAAAGCAACATTTTTGGCGTGTTTCTGGAAGATATATATGTGGAGATTTCGGATGGTAGTGTAGTAATCTGGCAAAGAAGAGTGTTGACCTGGACGACGTGTCTGCTGATCATTGCTCAGTGGCTCGGATCATATGAATACTGTATCTAATTTTCTGATTAATAATATCATGATTGATGTTCTCTATGGGCACCATTTTGTGTCTCCAAGTTATCTGGAGTCCGCTTGAAGGTCCCCAAAAGTGGAGGTCATATACAAAACTTGGCTTCGCTGCCGAACAGCGCCTTCGGTGTCTATATCAGTCACCTTTCTAATGACGTACAGTGGCCCCCTTCTGAGGATTGATCATTGTATACAGAGAGCTTCAGGGGTCCTTGGCTATAAATTAGTACTGTAGTCAGTAGTGGGAAAAATCAAGAATCAGTCTTCTGTCGATAGACTATCTACTGTTGTTTTGCCTACGTATCCTTACCTAGTTGACAGGTCCTCTACCCTGAATCTTTAAACAGTGCCCAGTTACACTTTGTAGCAAGCGAATATTTCAATGTTTTCAAAAATATGTGATGCATTTCTATCTTAGCGCCGATAGATATACGATACATAACAAATATCACTCCACAGCGCTTGCATCCACGGCTGCGGGCCGACATTTCTTGTTTCGTAGCATATTACAAGGAAACACTACTTTATCTAAGGTATCGTGGGCCAACTGTTACAGTCAGCCAAATGGCTAAACAAGAACGAAGCGGAGGACGGAATGAATAAAATGACAAGAAAAGAGTCAGTCCACTAATTTACAAACAAATATTCACATTAATTTCTCCTAGCTCCTGCCTACAAAGTTCCTCCCTGCAGATGAATGGGTACTCGGGATGTCATAGTCGTTGATACAACATTCATAGAACGTCATTGAGGAAGAACACCGAAGTTGAGATTACAAGTAGTGGTATGCTATGAGAGGTAGCTCTAGGCAGCCTCGCATCGCAATTGCTCGTTACCATATTCCTTATCGGCTGATCAACAGTTGCTTTCAGCATCCGCAGCATTGGTTGAATTAAGGGTCGACCCATTGCTTGGTAAGTGTGGTGACTTTGGCTCACTATCGTGTCGATCCATCACTTCATGCCACGGACCGGGGCCTGCAGCGGCCTCCCACTGGTTAAAATCCTGGCCCGGGTTAACCGTCTCATAGTGGAATATGCTGAGGAAACCATAAAATCCACATGCAAGGAGAGACCCTAGCAATGGTCCTACCCAGTAGATCCAGTGGTATCCTGGGAAGCTGCGGTTGATCACATCAGGGCCAAGGGCACGGGCAGGGTTAAGAGCACAGCCGGTATAGTAGGTCCCTAGTTTTATAATCAGCATATGCGTATGCTTATTTGCATGATTCAGGCGCACAAACCGACTAATTGGTTTACAAAGAGGACGAGGCCAATTCCAACAGGAGCCAGAAATGTTGACTTTTGCTTGACCACAGCCAACATAATAACGACAAATACCAGATGAGCCGTTAGGAACATTTCAATAAAAAGGCCCTGGGAGATCGAGGTGCCACCGCCCAGCCTGGTCTGAACGGCCAGAGGACCTGGGAATAAGCAACTGACGACACCTGCTGATGCAATCCCCGCCACTATTTGAGAACCGAAGACCAATACACCCCGAACAGGATGCATGCCTCCACAGAGGCAGAGAGCCAATGTGACCTATGTGGGATTAATATTAGTATCAATGTCATTTTACTAGCCAGGGGTCTTAGTCAGAACATACCACTGGATTGAATAAACCACCCGTGACGCGGTAAAACGTCCAAACATTTACAAGGAGGGAAAACCCGAAAGACAGTGACAGATAGAGTAGATTCGAGGTATTTGGTGGCGCTCCTTCAGCCGGCTTAGGAGTATTAGAGACCTGACCACCAGCAAATGCGAAGAAGAGGAACATAAAAGTTCCGACAAATTCTCCCACTACCGCAACAAAGTTATTTTGGAATGTATGAGGTACGTGTAGCATGGGCAATTGGCCCTTCTCTGAGCGGACAATGGGCGCCGTATTCCCCCCAGGCTGGTGCCGTATACGAGCTGCTAAGCTCTGCATCAGTGGGGTGTTCGGCATAGTCGAATGGCTTGTTGATGCTGTGTTATTGGCCGTCTCATTTCGTCTCTGATGAATCCAGTTTGGCATTTTCCCGTACGTGGAGTAATGTGTCTGTAAAACAGTGAGATAACAAGTTGAAAAACGACTTCTAAATGGTTTACCAAACACGATTTGGCAACTTATAGGGCCAAATATTCGCTATTTATGTTGAGCGCTCTACCAGGAAGCTACGGCTCGTGGATATAGATGATATCATGGTTGCTCTATGTGGGACAATGTTCTAATCGGTTGAAAAAATATATGGAGCCTGGTATGTCATAAGGTGTAATAGTGGCAAGGTGAACGGTTGCTAAACGTCGGAGAGCCAATGGATGGACGAATATGGCATTCAAGTACTGTACTCAATATATCACATCAGCCGTTTGATCGAGGCTATAACTAAATCTCGAAATTATGCTTTAGGAAAGACTAACTGGCCAATCACCCCACGTGCAGCTTAGACCCACAACGGGACCCATGGCTGCGGAGGTTCTCAACGATCCCCGTCGTTCCGAAGCCTTACCGAATTGCACCTAGTGGGGAAAACTCCTAGATAGCACCGAAAAGAAGAAAAAAAAAGCTACTATTTTATTTTATAATCAAGGTGTCATCTGAGTATCGGTCTAGACATGGCCCATGATGTCAATGAAATATGCTTGCATGCAATAGTAGAATGACGCATTCCCCGAATGCAATAATAAACATACTTGTATAATTGGCCGATGAGCATTGTGTCTGGAGCATGAATAGGAAGCATTTCTGTTGCCGAAGAGCTCCATTAGCTTTGGGTACTAGCGCTAGTTTTAGACTTATAACTTCAACATGGATCAATGTTATTACACCCTTGCCGAAGGTGTTGATGCTGAATCGTGACATTTGGTGCTTATACATACTCTTGGGTAATTCTTTTGAAGGTTGTCCTTATGCTAGTAACGCCACCTTAGTTCAATTGCGTAACAGAAGTGCAGGTGGGGGTGGTCTAGTACTTCTTCAGGACACTCAGCTTATTGAAACATCAGCCCACGTCTCCAGAGAAAGAATTCCAGAAAGGTAAGTTCAAACAGCGAATCAAAAGTTATTTATTCTGACAGTATTAGGCCTTGGGCTTTAGGGTGGTTCATGCGAAAGCTGCTGGGTAGGTCAACTGCTGTTCAAGCGTGATACCTCTTAGGGATTCTGACTGACACTCACCAGGGCTTATGGTGGATTTACTGTCACCGATGATTGCTCAGATATTACCTCGGCCAGTTTCCTCAATCAAGTGGGCAAGAAAACTCCAGTCTTATGGCCCGTATCCACAGTTGGGCCTGAAGCTGGTTCAGCTGACACTTCACGCGATGTGCATGGATGGGCAATGAAGCTGTATACTGACGAAGGAAATCTCGATTGGGTGTTCAATAACACCGTATATTAGTATTCTAGCTCGGTGGGCCATGCATACTATCGGAAATACTAGCCTGTGTTTTTCGTTCGCGACCCGATCAAATTCCCTTCCATGAACCGATCCCACAAGAGGCGTCCGCAGACTGACCTTCCGGATCCAAATATGGTAAGTAAATGCTCTTGAGATCCCCTCAGCGTGCATGAACCTATGTAGCTGACTGTAACTAGTTCTGGGAGTAGGTGATCTTGTAATGCCATGTTTTCATGCCGAACACTAACTCCAACACAGCTTCCATGTTGGCAATCCTGAGGGCGTCCACGAGTTGCTCCATGTTTTCAGCGATCGGGGAACACCCGCGTCCCTCCGTCACATGAATACTTACAGTGGACACACATACAAATTTACAAGAGAGGTACGGGGATCCTGTTCCCACTGGTGTAAGGGTACTAAACATCGTGTTCCTCAGGATGGCTCTTTTAAATATGTGAATATCCACATTAAAATAAACTAGGGAGTTTAGTACTGAACCAAAGAGGAAGCCGTGCGAATTGCAGGGGAGAATCCTGATTTTCTCATCAAGGATATGTTCGAGGCGATTGAAAAAGGGGATTACCCAACCTGGAATGTTTACGGGCAAGTAATGGATCCTACACAGGCGGAGAATTATCGGTGGAATATATTCGACATGACTAAAGTTTGGCCACATCATGACTTTCCTCTTAGACAGATTGGAAGGCTGACCCTGAATCGTAACGTGAGTGGAGTATCATTTATACCGGGACATGGACAGAGGCTAATTTTACAAAGCCCAATAACTATTTCACTGATATTGAACAGGTAGCATTCTCACCGTCTAATATGGTCCCAGGGTCTGCACCATCTGCTGATCCAAGTACGTATCTCTTTGATTACTTTTAAATGCTGGCACAATTATCTACCTGGTGAGGGAACGCTAATCTGTTGATTTCTATATAGGATCACAATTGAAGCCGTTTCTTGTGAACGAGCATTTTGGAGGGAAAAGAAAGTGATGGAAAACCAGGTTGAGTGCCCCTATTTAACTTCACAAAATTCCTACTAGGTTGTCTAGCTCACCAACTTGTTCACCCCACTTGCTCACCCAGCTCTCACAGCGCACCCAGCTCAACCGCACTCACCCTGCGACTTGGCGGCGCTCACCCCTAAAGCAGCAACTCCTAAAGGGCTCATTTTCCAGTCGGCCGCGTTCACCATGTGCTTAAGCACGGCTGAGCGGACGGGAAGCCCTGTTCTCCACACCCTTTGGTCGTATGTACTAATATGCTGAATGGATAGGTAGATATACTAGCATGAGAATTAAAATATAACACTCGGGCAATATGAGAAGATGTGAAGTGTGATCAGCTAAGGATTTGGGGAAAAAGGCAGTACATATTCATATTAAGAGGATTCCACTAACGGACACTGCTGATATTCCTCAAAGCTGAACTATTGAATCATACAAAACTGCCCACCAATCATGGCTTGACCAACTGCCCACCCCGTCTTTTGATCCGCCTTCTCATCTGACCCATCATATAAGTCTTCGTAAACTGTCGTAGGAATAGTGGCATGAAAGGATAGACACCAGACATTCCACTGATGAAGAGACCAGAAATGGCCCGTGAAGACTTTGTTGATTTCAGGAGGAATTGATCACGCACGCGGGGAGGCAACTGCTCGATAGTGAGCCGTTTAACAAATGGCATGGCTATAACAGCCAGTGGCCGGGCCCACAGTGGCAAACCTTTGGCCGGGTGGAAGATATCATGCAACACTGCACGGGCATTCGGCGTCACACATAGTCTTTTATTCACCATATCGTCCCAGTAGAACTGAAACTCTGTGAGATTCTCTGGCCACATCCCGGGTGGTACTTGAAGTGACGTCCCCATGATCGAGAATGCCCGATAGACTCTTTCGGCCCTCGTAGAATTGAGGGGTCCATAGATCAACTCGTACATATTGACCATAGTGGCATATATTGTGGCCGCCACCCACACCTGCAGCTCAGGGTCCTTTGCATCATAGGTCTGTTTGTTATGTTGTCCGACGACCCGAGAGTGAGCTTTATCGACGTATGCCTTCATGGCCGCCTTTTCCGAGGTAGAGCCAAAGATCATACAGTAGATGTACATCTGGGTATACTCTGCCCGACTGATAGCCCGGGTTCGGAAGGTGCTGTGATCTGCGACGCCAGCCCCTACCAAAGGGTGTGCGATTTGGAGCAGGATTGCCGCAGGGCCGCCGACAAAAGTGATGCTTTCCCGAGCCACCATTTGCAGCTCCATCATTGCCAGATCAGAGATTTCAGGCACGGAGTATCCCTTCTCCACATCCACGGGAAAATCGTCATCCTCCTGGGTAATGTACACGGCACCTTTTGCTTTCATAATTGGGACTGTCTTGAGTACAAACTGAGAATATATTTCAAGGATACAGTAAAGGACTCAACGAGGTAAACATTTCCGCAGAGCATCATAGGAGGAAATATCGCCAGCTTTATAACAGAGATATCACAAAGGCCTGGTATGTCCATCTTGCGCAGCCTTTTTGCGCTCCCCTCATCACGGCTCAGCGACACCGGTCCGTGGAACCTGTATAGCGTATCCCCGTATACTTCCAGGTATAAAGCGCGGTACCGGGTTGTTAACGCTGATCCCATGATGATGACGGTGAGCATGACATCTTCATGCGGGACGAAAGAGGGTTCACGAAATCACAGTCAGTAGCCACCCACCAGTACAAGAAGACCATCGACAACAAACTCAGAACTGGCTCAATCAGACTGGATTGTACGTTGGGCTCCGAAGAAAGGGATTGCTTGCCTCGGACCGTTTGTGTATTCGTCATCATCGTGCAAACTTATGGAGATGGCCGTGGTCTCAGTCCTGTTTATTTGGTTACGAAACGTCAGGATGGGCTGGCATAGTTGACGGCAGTAACGGTTATCGGCATCATTACGTTAGCTTTGGCTCCTTGATATGTTCCATCCCACTTGCTATGAGCCAGAAGTTCACTGTATAGATTTAGGGTGGGCCTATCTCTGTGGTTCGCACGCAGCCTGATGTGCGACGTGATAATCCAACAAGCTCCAGCTTGGAGCTTATCTTTGGCTGTACATCTGGGTCCCCTACCGAGGATCATCATATCAAGCCATTAGATACTCGGCTAGCCAAGACCTTGATGCTGGGATCATCCATAATTCTATCACCTTGGTAAATGTCTGATTCACTTTGGCGGTCTGCGTGCATGTATGCTCTGGACAGGCTGAATAGCCCCCACAGTTGCTGAGTCCATACGGCGGAATGGGTGAGTGATAATCGAGTCAGATAGTCACGAGGGCAACGGGTTGCATAGGCGATCGAGCATTAATCAGAGCAAAGATATTTCTGCGTATCCAATTGAGCTTCGCCCTTCGTGATTGGCCTTGTTCTGTGCAATGCAGCCAGTACCCCGCGAGGTCATTCCATACGGATCCGGGACGAACTGGCCGTCCGAGGCTACTCACTGTTTCTTGTGGCTTGAGCTGTCGTGTAGGTTACCGTTTACCTCATAAGTTGTAGTGCTAGCAATGAAGGCCTTCTCATGTGCATAGGTGGAGGCTTGCGGTGTCCACTATATCTAACTTTCCCAGGATCAGGATCACTGCAAGCTAAAACCTCTCAGTTTCGTGGAAGAGACAGGCTTAAGCCTATAGGGTTGGGAAGCGAAACCGCGGGATCACCTCCCGGGCCGCGGCTGCACCAGTAGCCCTCGGGACCGGACTGCCATAGCGTCGACCAGCGCTACTTTTGGTTTCTTTCGTTTACACCGTAGGTATGTAGATCACATGAGCTGTTACTATAGTTATTCATGAAGGACGTGGGTCTGTGGCATTCAGGGAGAGAAACTGAGCCCTTGTCGCCGTTCAGTAATTAGTATATTGATATCCGCCTTGGATAGACATCAGATAAAGCTTGCTGCTTGGACAGGTTTCGATACGCACTTTGAGCTGTTAGGTCTGGCATTTCTTTTGCGTATTGACAGCAATTAAGCACAATGCGACACTTACGGTACGTTCCTCTGCTCGCTACCAGTATTGCTATGGGAACAGAGGTCATTGCCTTGAGAGGCCCACCAGCCAATATCCGAGGTTTACGGGAGCAGAGGTGGGTGTCATGGCCCTTCGCAAAGGTGACTATAGTTGCTAAAATACTCACCCCAAGGTCCACAATGAATCACCCAAGTATCATATTCGAGGGGACGGCCTCCCCGAACAGCTTGGCCTTTCATCCACCACTGGCCTCAGACCAGATACGCTCAATACTAGTGGCCAGAGCACTTGTCGGGTTGCTCAATTCCCCGTTATCCAGTATTCTGGCCAAACACTCGCAGAGTGCAAGCATTGCCACAGAGTCCTCGATTAGCCACAACAAAACCACGCACGGTTCATCGAATATGGAATTGTATTTGGGATCGCCAGGTGTAGCGTATCCCACGGGGCTACTGTCAGAAGGAAGCCAACGGATTACTAGCACTATCACTGCAAATGGTGCTGAGGCAACAGATAATGCTTATAGTTCAATGTCAACAGATATGACGCCCCAAGGAACAGAGGCCATGCTGGGACGCCTGCTGACAGCTTTGAGGACCCTAGGGGCGTTGATGCTCATGTAAGTATCTTTCGAGCTGATGGGATTGAGCCCAGAGAATAGAGTGGCTGAAGTGGAGTACGCAACAGAATGGTCCTTACGCTCGATTCTCGGTTTGGACGCAGATTCCTCAATGCATCAATAGACGGAATTTCGATCGTACAAATTCTGATACGAGCGTCGCTAACCTAAAAACAATGAAGGGGTCTGGAGAACCTCATGGTCGCCGCTATGCCGTCAAGGTCTACGACATTGCGTTTCATATTTCACCACCTTATGAACACCACTTGAACGCTATGCGGTTCCTAATACGACAGTTTCCCCTCCCCATCTAGAGGTCTTCTTGAACACAGCGGAAGAGTTTGCCGTATCTTGTCTAATAAGGTAATCAGATTCTCCACGCGCTTAGGACACCGTGGCTATCTCTAAAGCCAGCCTGCTCTTGCATGTCCATGCTCTCCGTCCCTGCTGCAAAGGATATCCCTGATGCATTCAGAGGGCCTTGCCAGGGTACAGGATACGCCATATCATTCATTCGCGGAAGGCAAAACTCTGCGTCAATAGGTGGCATTGACTGGAGAAATTCGAATGCTACTGCAGGTTCATCCCTGTCACCAGGGAGACCTTGGCCATTCCGAGTCACTTGACATGGCGAGAACAAGTGCTCAGGCGCCTGCTGTCTGGCGTACATTTGTGGTCCTGTCTGGGAAGTGGTTCTCGGGCCCAGCTGTGCACTAGGACCTATAAAGTCTACTTCGGTAATATCTCGCGGCCTGACGCTCGACTCTTGCGCCTTCCGTTCAGTTTCACCCAAGGACACCTTAGTCACCCATGGCAGCTGAAACCCTAAGAAGCCGGAGGCCACTGACCGTAGGACCTCCGGTAAACCGTTTTCATGTGGTAGTCGGCCCGACGAAAGAGAGTAGTCTGTAGAGGTTGAGATGAGAAGGTATATACGGGGATAGCGGATAAACAAATCAAACCACCCCGAGGCATGCTTTGCCTCGACGGCCTTCCATGTCCTAGTCGGATATGTCGCTCTTTGTCGGTACGCCTCAGATGCCCGCGCGGGTCGACGTCCTCGAATACCCAGCTCCCCTGACATTTTCGTTACGAGGCGGAGGATCTCCTTTGTACCCACAGCAACAAACTTTGTTACATCATAGAGTTCTATAAGGGCATGATAAATTGTCCCTAGAACGTTTAGCCGTTGCTGCCGTTGCACGGCTTCGCTGTCGTTTCGTGCCAGGCCAGCATCAATCGCCGCCACCACTATCGGCCATCCAATGAATGCCAATCTGTTTAACGAGCGGCGAGTCAGTGTTGTCTGTGGGTAGTAATGGCGCAGCCAGGGTACCTACATGGAAAGCGGAATAACTTCAATATCCTTCATATTACTGAAGTATTTCAGAACATCATGCAATTCATTTACAGCCTCTTGGAGGCAGTCACCAGTCTGCTGGAGCTGCATGGTGTACGAGTGTCCGACAAACATCAGGTTGGCTTCGAGGAGAAGGGCTTCGTAATGGGCCAGATGAATATGGGCTGTGCTGTATCGTGGGGTTAGCTGGGGATATAAGAAGGTCTAGGGATGTGCTACCTACTAGTAATAGACATATGTCATCTTGATAAAAGACGTCACTGAATGCAAGACATTAGAAGGAGTCGACGACAGAGAATACCGCGATTCCGTGTCCCATTGACGTAATCTATTTCTTGTCTTCAGAACATTACCCATGCATGTCGGGAACTCCTTTGAGGGAAATCCCATTCCAGAGCTTTCCCAAGATGAAAAGATGAAGGAATTCATGTCAGTAAGGACAACCGCTAGACGGCACTGCTGCTGTAGCACCTTGAAAAGAATGCGCTTGGTTTGCACGTCATACACCTTAGATTCCTGGATCTCCTCTGTGAAGTCTCCCTCCTCCAAGATATTGTTCTCAGCATCGAAATCCTTTGTTGTAAGCTGGCTGCGTCGGCGGAGGGCGAGGGAAATCCATCGGTCGCGCAGCAGAATTGACCACCATAGACGTTTAATGGTGGATTTCTTAACACTGTCCGATGGCTTCGGTGGCTTTCCTAGGATGATGGCATTCTGTATAGCATTGGCTAGAAGTAAGCTACCAATTTGAGGATCATCTGGGGAGGCTTGGTACGAGAGCAACAATGCTCCCTGAGCGCGTTCTAATGGTTGGTCTTCGGCTTTCAGATCTAGTAGCAGCTAGAAGGTGTGTCAGTGTCGCAGAATCCAAACTCATGCCGCATAGGTACGGTGCTAACCTTGGCTCTGTTGAAGAAGGCATCGCTCGCTGTGGGCCGGTCCTTAAACCCACATTCACGCAGTGCCTCTAATGACACATACTAGAAGGGTTAGCTTGCCTCTTCATGAAATCAAACAGAAGCGGCGTACCGGACAGCTTCTGAACAACATGGCCTGTAGCACTAAGACAGAGAGATTGCGACCGTGTGATGATACGCGATTCCCTTGCTGGCAGTACAATTGCCAGAACTCTGCCTGGTCTAGTATAGGGGCGCCGACGTGGATATGCAAGAAGTACTTTTTCACAAATTCATCGAGAATCCGTCGAACGGGTATTGTAAAACATCCTTTTGAGCCTAGGTATGATATATCCCATTTGTCCAAACAAGACAACGAGCGAAGCTCGAGGAATGGATAGGAAGAGAATTCAACATTAGAGCTCGACATGGGCACACCAGCTGGACTACCTGACATCTCGAGCGACGGCGGTCTGCCGCCACTGTCAGGTCTTATTTCGTGGCTCTGCTGTGTTTGCGGTGATGGATCTAGGGGACTCTCGGGACTCTCGGTTTCCTTCAGCTTGTACGATGCCGGGTTTCTTCTTTTCAAGACAAGGCCCTTCGATCTGGCAATTGATTAGTTCAGGCGCCTAGTCCTAATGCTGTCCAAAAAGCGATGGAATACGAGACAAGATACATACGCGCGTGGAGCTCGCTCCCGGAAGGTGCATAGCTGGCCATCCTGGAGGCACCTGGAGCAAGGGCATCCGCCAAACGATGCGTCACAGCGCACCTTGCGCTGTTGACACCAGATACAGGCGCGAGTGGCCCTTCTGGATCGTGAGATAAACATGTGTACGTTGGCGCTTCAACCCCAACAATACGCCGCCGACTTGATCTTGCCACCTGGTGCAAGAATATCAATGACTGGAGCCGAAAACATTAGATAGGAGAGAGTAAAGGCTAGTATTGAGGGGCGCTATTGTAAAGGAGAGCCGACCTTTGCGGGGAGGCGGCTAGGATCCTGACCACGATGTGCTTATTCAGGGTGAGATCTTCATCGTCCAGTACTTGGCTTTATTCTCTTGAATCAGCATTGGGGCGCGATTATGCTGTCCCTGAATCAGATTCATAACTATCACTAGTCCGATCCTGGGGTCAAAAGCTGCTGTGAAGATCATTGGGCAAGAGTATTGTCCTCGGCTCATGCGCACGGACGCATTCTTGTTGTGATAAACGCTGATGCATACCTGTACGCGTGTCCACCTTTCATGCAGAAGCCCCATTGCAGCTGTCTATTCGAAGGGTTATCAGATACGCTGGCGTGCGGCGTACCCCGCAATCGTCGATGATCAGCATGGACGAAGTTGCATGTGGAAGCCCTCGGTCCGCGGGCATCGTCGTATTCGATACGACCCAAACTTCAGTCCATTCTGGGCGATCGGGGCGCATTGATGGCATGGCTATCTCCTGGTCCACATACTTCACAGCCAATGTAGTGGTCAGCGGGTAAATTAAGGTGAGGGAAAGTGTTCCACAGGGAGGAAGTAGCTCGATTCGACGGATGCAGATCCTAAGGTCAGCGTTCGGAATTAACAGTGGATTAAGGCGGATATTGGCAATTTTGAGACCAATAATAGTATAGTGAAACTAGGAGATGCTTTACTATGGAGTGAAGCTTTCTTTGGAAACGGCTGGTTCAACATCGGACCAAGATAGTGTACATGCCTCTGCAGATCAGCGCTGGCTTTCGCATAGTCGAAGTAACAATCCGAATGAATTATGGAAACTACCCATTTCACCAAAAATTGAGACCATGGGTAATAATGGCCAAAGTGATTATCCGCGATAAAAACAAATAACAATAACGGCCTTCTTCACAGATGCTTGTAGCTCTCATGAAGGTTCATGATCTGAGAGAGCTAAACTGGCTAAGGCAACATCCAAGAAGGCAACCAAGATTCCCTCACCATCAATAGGAACCTTCCGCAAAGAACCAGATACCAGATTTATTAGTCACCTGAACGGCTAGTAAGAGTGATCTCCAGATCGCACTTCACTGTTCAAGATCTGAACCGGATATCCCTTTTGTCCCGCCAGCAGAGACAAAGGCTCATGGCTCACAGTATAGCCTTTGTCTAGTCCAAGTCTCCTGGATTTTCAAGGTAAGATTGAGACCACTGGGTGTCTTAGTTCCAGGCACGGGTAGTGACCTATGTATTCTTTAGGTGTATCTGCCAAAGCCGATCGACTAGCCAACGCACAGGAAAAGTCAAAGGTGAGATGCTGTCTGGCAGATAAAGGTACCAGTCATCCTCATCTATCAGACTCAGAGCACGTGTCAACACAGTGCACTCGTAGTAGAAGGGATAGAAACCACTATCCCCCCAGTCGATAATCCCAGTCACAACATATTGGCCGCTTGAACCAAGGTCCTGCTTCACCATAACATTGCTAGTTCTAACATCGCCATAGGTGAACACTGATCCATCCGCCAATGTCGAAGTATCGTGCTCCAAAAGGGAGCGGAGAAGCCTAACATAAGTAGCACTACCATAGTGACGAGCGGAAAACTGTAAGTCGTCGAATCCTTTTGTTGTCGTAATGCCTTTGAATAGGCTGCACTCGTCAACACCAAGTTCCTTGACTCCCTCTCCATAAACTCCACCAAGCGCATGACCAACTTCATCAATTACGGAGTTGAGGTTTGTGATGATCAATCTCTTGCTTATGATCCTTATGAGCATGGACCTAAGGTTATGGACTTACTGTAGAATATGGAGTTTCCAAAGCTCAATAGCAATCCACTTATTGACAATATCGTCGATAAATGCTGGCATAATCAATACCGCACGCTTGAGGATATGGCCACACCGACAAAAACGTTGCTTAAGGAACCACGAAGCGAAGAACTGAACCACGAAGCAGCCTCCCGTCAGACATGGCGCATAGCTACAGAAAAAACACCACGCCCGTTATGGTCCATCCTCGGGGCCCAACGGCGGAACAACGCGGAGGTAAACAATGGTGACGACTATTACAATACGGATCAGAAGCGCTCTGGTCAGCGTAGACATTCGAAAGAGAAATTCTGCCAGGACTTGGAGAAGCGTGGACTTCTTCGCCTACTTACTTCGAGTAGGTCCATGGAGCTTGGATTCAGCATGGAGCACAGGCATGCGTCACGAACTACTCCCGCAAACTGGGGAGGAGACCACTATAGGGGGAGGTCGGAGACTTCGGACCATTTCTTTAGCTACGGCTGGTTGATGGTAATTTTAATTTATACGATCAGATTACTCGAAACAATGCCATGATACAATGAACTGACCTGAAGCAGTAGAAGATGGCAACGACTACGGTTCGATAACGTAGGGAAAGCGGACACAACTCGGCACCCAAGGCATTCGTGGCTAGTGACTGATCAAGCCTACTAGGTGGAGATATATATCGTTACGGTGGGGTGACTCTGGATTAGCCCCAGATTCCTATAGCGTGCAGAGTTATAAGAGAACACCATCATTGGGCACCCAGTGCCCGCAGGAGGTACACAGAATCGGGCCCTTGTAAAATGGGGTTGTCCGACAAGAAGCCATATATATACTGGAAACTCCGACTATATTGCAGGAGTGGTAGTAATCGATCTAGCTAAACATATTATCTATAGACATCGGGTGGACAGGTTTGAAGTTGCCGTGTTTTCTTTTGTTTTTCTTTCCCTTTCCTTTCGCCGTGACCGTGTCATTTTTGATATTGGCCCCAATTGGAAGTTAGACTCTCGAATCCAACCTTAGTTGTCCCATCGACCAAAGGCCAAATAGCCATCTGGCCGGATCAGCATCTCTCGGACTCCACACATATACAGGCTCGTCCTCTCTTCATCATCTGGCATGTCAACAACATCCACCACCGTCGTCCAGTCCTCGAATGCCGGAGGAGGTCGGACTTCAACGCTATGCTTCCCAGGAAGGTGCAGCTGGATCCAATTTCCGTCCTCGGTATAATCACGGAGTTCAGTCAGCACCCCATCAGGTAGTCTGATCTTGACATTCAATGCACGCCTTCCCTGAATGTTCTTGGGTAGGGCCTGCCATCCGTTGGGAAGTATCATGTCGAGCAACTTAGGGTAGGTGACTGAAAACCCGCTAATTTCCCTGGCCAAAGCCTTGTTAGCCTCTGGTACACACAAAAGCTTCTCCATCGCGTCGCGGACCGCCCATTCTGGGCCCGAAGAGGCAAAGAATAAGAGTGACTGTGAAGTGGTGTTTTGAACCACCGCTTTGGCAATCGGCCGCCGTTCTTCTTCGTACGTATCGAGCAACGAAACCGGGGCGGACTTGGAGATGACTGCCGCAATCTTCCATCCTAGATTCAGAGCTTCTTGGAGGCCGACATTTAAACCTTGGCCGCCGGCTGGGAGGTGTTTATGGCATGCATCTCCGACAATGAAAACACGACCTTGGCGATATCTTGTCGCTAGCCGTTGTTCATTACTGAAACGCTTCAGCATACAAGGGTTCGAAAGATTATAGTCAACTCCGGTGATTTTGTGCAGGCTCTGATTCATCTCGTCGAGAGTCACTTCAACTGACTCCGGAACTGTGCCGCGATCACTCGCGAACACATTGAGCCTGGTCCTTCCGCTGGGGACCTTCAGGTCAGCAGCGATAACTAATCCGTGCTCATTGTGAACAATGTAAGGATTCGGCATGGCCGCGCCCAGTGTCGCTTCACCACTCATGACTGTATTGACAGGTGCATTGCCCGTGAACTCAATGTCGGCGAGTCTGCGGATCGTGCTGCGAACACCGTCTGCACCGACAAGGTACTTCGCGCTGGCGATGAACGGCCGGTTGTCGGTGTAGGCACCCTTCACCATGACAGCAGGCCCAGATTGGTTGACTGAATCGACCTGGACACCCTGGATGATCACTGCACCCAGCTCCACGGCTCGCTGGAATAATATCATCTCGGTTTTATACTGAGGCACGAGTAGCACGTGGTTCTGGTCCGTTTCACGGCCGAAAACACTGTAATCGAGACGAGTGTCCAGAACGCCGTAATGCCACCAATCGGTTTTTGGCCAGCTTGAACAAAAGAGTCCAGAAGGCCTCGACAGGCGAAGATTTCCAAAGTACGACCATGCATCACAAACGCACGTGTTTCAGCCACACCATCAGAATTCGTTCGTTTTTCGACCACCAGAACGGAGAGACCGGCAAGGCGTAGTTCACAGGCGAGAAAGAGTCCAACTGGACCAGCTCCCACGATCACCACGTCATGAGTATTGTTTGTCATCTTGAATCGGTAGGAGAGGAGAACAGGGTGTGGAATAGTTGAAGCGTTCAAAGCGATGCTGGATGATGTTCTTGCTTCCAAAACTTTGACAATCCGACGGCGTTCATCCAGCTTTATAGACGCCCAGACATCCGCCATGCCAAAAGTCATACATGTCTTGCCCTAACGAACAGTAGGTTTTCGCGGATGCCCTCGAGCCCGGAGTTACCTCATTCTGTACTTATTCCCGGTTTCATCTTGTCGTTTTCCTCAGCCAGGTATCGGGCTTTGGATGCTATCGGCAATCGAACATTTGATCTATATCGCCTCCTGCTATACTTCAGATACGCCACAAAGCTCGAAAAAGTATGACTAACTTGATCGGCTTTATATACCTTCTTCAGACACTCGGGCAACTAGCTCCGACAAGGTCGGCTTCAAGGGTCTCGGGGTGAAGACTCGAGGTGGGTTCTGCCCTAGTCGGGCCTAGATTGTGGCGCCACCCCACCCTAATCCCGAGCCATTTAGTCCGCCGTACCTGACCCCGTCGGAGCTAAAGCAGTCCATACAGTCCTGTGTTTATTAAAGGTGATAACAGAACACACTTGGGCCTATTCATTACCACACTTTACAGTAACCCGCTTGACCATTTGGCCGTCGACATGCAATCCGCAGAGCCCTCTCCGCGAATTGGTTCCATAAAGAACGCCATCGATGCATTCCGTAAGTGAACCCTATTTAGCTTTCCTTTGCGCGACTGACAATTCCCTCTTCCTTGGACTAATCTTGTTGCAGGGCAAGGGAAGTTCATAATCGTACTTGATGCGGCAGACCGTGAGAATGAGGGTGATTTGATTATTGCCGGCGAGTCGGTCACAGATGCGCAGATGGCGTTTTTGGTGCGTTATACAAGGTAAGAAAGTTCACGAAGCCCAAAGAATACATGTTTCCAGCCTACTGGTTCTATTCGACTAACCCCCGGTCATAGTGGCTTAGTTTGCGCTACTGTCACCCCTGAAATTGCCCGTCGTGCTGGTCTGCCTCAGATGGTAACCAATAACACCGATCCAAAGGGGACTGCCTACACAGTGTCGATTGATTCCAATGACCCTTCGATCACAACCGGTATATCAGCCCGGGATCGGGCTATGACCTGCCGTGCCCTCGCATCTGTCTCTGTCCGCGCAGATGACTTCCGAAGGCCAGGTCACATCATGCCTCTCCAGGCTAGAGAAGGCGGCGTGCGTGAGAGGATGGGCCATACGGAAGCTGCGATTGAATTTTGCCTTTTGACGGGGAAGCAGCCTGTGGGTATCCTTGCAGAATTGGTCAAGGATGGGGAGTCTATTGAAGGCGAGCCAAATATCCACGATAGTGGTATGATGAGGAGAGATGAATGCCTAGAGTTTGGAAAGCGATGGGGAATCACCGTGTGCACAATTCAAGACCTGGTGGCTTACCTCAACGAAGGGGGTATTGGGAACATTTAGTAGGTAGTCACGCTCGTGTTTACCAAATTGTATACTACTGTAATTATACGGGTCTGCTCCTCGGTATCTCTTTCAGAATCTTTCTCCGTTCACCAGCAATTAACTATATGCACGCCCATGGTCGGAGCCGCGGCTCAGGTGTTCGAGTCGCAAGCTGGCCCTTTTATGTGAAATATATCTCATGTGTTTTATGTACACATAAAGATATGAAAGAATGTTGGCTAATGGGGTTTCCCTATGAAACATTGATCAACAGGCACATCGTCAAGGAATCAAGAATTCCTTATGTTAACAGAAGGACGGAGCATTTATTAGCTCCTGGAGAATACAACTACTAGTAGTAGGCACTTTGAATGAGATGAAGTAGAGACTTAGAAATTAGAATAACGTACGAATCCAGGGATAATTTATATCGTCCACTTCAACTACCGTGTCAAACGTAGTAGAAAGGTGTCCATGTTTGTTGAGCAGGTCAAGGTGAAGTCTATGAAGGCAATTATATATCGCAGTAGCAAATGCTGATCGTCCTTTGAGGGCGCAGCGTACCACGCCCTTCGATCGTCTCGGACATGAATGAGGGCTGTTCGGAATTTAGCCCAATCAGGAAATTCCCGATGACGAGGCTCGGACTGACGGTCATGTGCTCTGTTGCAACAGAGTCAACAATGTGACCCCGCACTCTTAGTAAAAGAAGTTGCTCTAATGTTCAAATGTTCCAATGTGCTCATCACAGCCATGGCAAAAGCACCGGCAATTTACCCCAGCCTTGATGGCAAGACGGTCGTCATTTCAGGCGGCGCAGAAGGAATTGGGGCTGCCACTGTCGAGCTTTTTGCATTGCAAGGCAGCCAAGTCATTTTCTTAGACATCTCTGAAGATGCAGCGCAGAAGACCATCGCTCATGCTTCTTCACGTAATCAAGAAGCTGATGCACGCAGGGGTCCTTTGATCAAGGCTCCCATCTTCTACCCGTGCGACCTGACGGACCTCCCTGCGTTGCAGGCAACTGCAGCCAAGATTTTGGAAGAGCATGGACCAGTACATGTGTTGATCAACAACGCCGCAGCTACTGGCAGTGTCGCACGGCTTGATACTGAACATGTCACACCGGAAGCCTGGGACTTTAATATCAATACCAACCTGCGGCATGTATTCTTTCTTTCCCAGGCTTTTATTCCAGGGATGAAGGAGGCGGGGGCCGGTAGCATTGTCAACCTAGGATCCATCACCTGGCGCATTCCTGAAGCCGGCCAACCTGTGTATGCCGCGTGCAAAGCAGCAATCACAGGCCTCACGCGTGTACAGAGCAAGGAAGTCGGCGCCTCGAACATCCGAATCAACAGCGTCATGCCCGGAGCTATCGCGACAGAGAGGCAAAAGAGGGACGTTCTCACGCCTGAATATCGCGCCAAGGTCTTTCGGGGTCAGAGCTTGCAACGTGATCTGGTTCCCGAGGATGTTGCGAAGGTGATCGTTTTCCTGGCAAGTGATGAAGCCAGCGGAGTCACAGGAAGCACATATGTTGTTGATGGTGGTTGGGTTAGTGACCCTTGAGCTACTGAAGGAAGTGTAAAAGGCTGGCACCGACACATATACCTGAAGGAGTACCATTTTACTAGTCGAATTTTGTTGGAATTATAGTCATGTACAGTACAAAGAGGCAGATGCGGTCAACATTCAAACATAACTGACCACGGTCACTCTTTTGATGAAAATTGGAAAACGGCTATATTTCCATCAAATTGGATGATACTCAAATACGATTTTCAGATGACGAAATATTTATTCCTCGTTGAGTGTCCTGGGCTTTATGCTGAAACTTGTTGGCGATGGCTTTTCTGCCTTGGCTGAAGAGCGTGGCTAACAAGTTCGGCGATTGTAGCACTTCAAGTACTATTCCTTACCCCCGATGGATTATAGAATTCATAGGATAAGTGTGCGAGTGGCTGGCTTAGCCTATCTGATTATCCTAGTTGATTCTAAAGGCATTGAGTATCTCAGCAACGAAAATATATATCGTGCTTCTAGTCAACATACTTTGCGTGACTTACTATAAAAGGTTCTATGAGGAGTTCTGACACCGAACCTAAGAGATCAAACGTGCAGGTTGTTCATACAGCTCAGTAGACAGCTGGGATGGGGTCCAATCTTAATAGTGCTCGGCAGCTGTACACTAGGAGAGGGCGGAAGCTCTGAGTGCTGGGTGGGGCTTTGGGGCTTGCCGTTTTGCGCTTTGATTCCCCGGTTCGTGGGGCAATGAATTTGCGGGATTGACTTTAATGCAGGCAAAGAAGCCGGCAGTTTTGCTAGACGCAAGGATTTCCGAGGTTATATGGTTCCAATATGCCTACTCCGTTCTCTGTGTGGGGAGGCTCATACCGGCTACTCCGCAGGAACAGTTCTCCTCCGGGTTTGTGACAGGTTACTCCATATAGGGCATGGTTTGGGGGGTTCTACCAATCATTAATCATGTAGCCAGTCGCAGAGTCGAGATATACAATATGAGCTCTACCAAAAAGGATTGCTAAATGTATCTCAGACCCGAATTCTGCTATACTAGACATGGTACAGCCTACCCACTTATCTATCTCCCTTTGATTTTGTTTCTAACTGTCCGGTATACGTGTGTGGAGGAATGTAATAACCGGGCAGGATGTTCCATAAAGGCGTCTTAGGTAGTCGTGACTATATATAGTGGCTAGTGTGACAGCAGACGTTTTGCTGCAGGATAGAATTGCTATGTTGGTGAAGTAGGCGGGCGCCTTGAGGTTCCGGGTTCGGACTCAATGGCTCGGACGCGCATTTTAGGGTTTCTGGGCAGATTATAACTCTGGTAATGATGGGAAAAAAGAGCAAATGAGAGAGGGAGGAGTGGTGGTTAAAACTTGGCATATTTGATACCTGCTGTGATTGGGTGGGCACTTGAGCTGCCACTCGAGATATCTCGATAGATTCCTCACCGAAGGATGCTCTTCTTCTCGACTGCTTGAGCTACCGAAATAGTTGAGGCTGTATCCGTAGGCCCTCATGTAAAGGGTAGTGAGAAACGAGAGCCAATCGTAGCTTGGTAAGTGCTAAAAGAGATTACAGGAGATTCACCAATTTGATTTATCTGAACCGGACTCGATGGAAGGAACGGGGATCTGAGAGTACTTGGCGAACAGTAATCCACTTTAAGGGCCTAGGTGCGTTGTGTATGTAATCCAAGGGGCCTCTGACCCTACCCCGCAATGTCCATGACATTGAGCCTGCAGGGTTTGACTTTCAACTCCGAAAAGGATTGATCTGTTTGGGTCGTAGAAACATGCTGACCCTACTGTGGAGAACGTCAAGACCTCAATGCTTGGCACTGCTAATTTACCTTTGCACGCGTATTTCTATACCGGGCTTGCATCCCAGATATGCCGTGCGGGGTTCCCTTGGCGAGATCGTCAGGAAGAGCTAGGCCTGGGCAATGTATTGATTGGCACTAGAAGACTCGCAATACGGAGCCCCACAAATTCGGTTATCTACCCCGTGGGGTAAACCAGGTCGACTCGAACCAGAAGGCAGTACAAGCAAGCTCTTCGATTCTGGCAGCTACTATGTGTCCTAAGCCAAGCAACAATGAGGAGATATAACCGCGCAGCCGAGGGTACCTATGCAGGCGTTCAATACTATGGGGGGAAAGCAAGACTACTTGAAGCGCCGGCCAACATTAAAAGGAAAAGAAACTGGTGTTCTTTGACATAAAATCTGTGACAGGCGCCTGCATGTTTCTCTGCCAGAATGAACAACAAACACAACAAAGCAGAAGAGATTGAGGAAGCCGGTTCTTATCCGCTTCAAGCCTTAGGTTCAATCAATGACGGAGAGGCTGGTAGTCCGCAGTGGACAGATGAGGAGGAAAAGAAGCTGGTGTACGTACGTTACTGCTTCTGCTCATAGATGGACTAACAATCGCCCAGTCGAACGATTGACTGGCGCGTGTTCCCAATGCTATGCACCATCTTCGGGCTCTCACTATTAGACCGAACTAATATATCCTCTGCCTACATTGCTGGCCTCAAAGAGGACATTCACCTTTCGGAAGGGTGGGTTATACTGATGGCCCACACCATTGTTCAATCCTAACATTCACAGATCACGATATAACATCGCTCTGCTTGTCTTTTTCATTGGTAGGTTCAACACGCTTCTGTGGGTGGCCAGATACATCTAACTGAAGTCAGGATATGGGTTATTCGAACTCCCATCGAACCTCGTCATCCGCCGGATCGGCGCCAGGGTGTGGCTGAGCTTCCTGATTGTATCATGGGGCGCCTGCGTTCTCGGGATGGGTTTCGTTCAGAGCTGGCAGTCCTTGACCGTGTGCCGTGCGTTGCTCGGAATCTTCGAGGCTGGACGTATGATTCTATACCCAGTGATATCACCTTCATACATTAATATATGGCCCAGTCTTCCCCGGTGCAGTCTTCATCATCGCATCGTGGTACCGGCAGTATGAGACAGCGACGAGGGTCTCGCTTTTCTATATGGCCGCACTGATCGCCTCTGGATTCGGGCCGATCCTTGCTTACGTGTTTTCCTTGATTCGAGTTGGTGATGGAATATACAGACAGGGCTGGCGGTGGATTTTTATCATCGAGGGGATTGCGACCATTGTGGCCGGGATTGCTGCCGCGTTTTTCCTCGTGGAGTGTACGCTTTACCTGCCCCGCTGAGCCCGCTCAGAGTTAAGGCTGACAGAATAAAGTCCCTGATAAAGCACGTTGGTTGACGCCGCGACAGAAACAGATTGCGATCGCCCGGCTATCGGCTGATAAGCGGGAGAGAGAGTATAAACACCCCAGTCTTAAGGAGGCGATGGTAATGATTGGGGATTGGAAGATTATTGTCTAGTAATACACTCCCAGCCCTACCCCGTGCCTAGTCGACATACAATTATCTGAACTAATGGACCTAGTTCTATTCAGTACTTCATCGCCGCCTCGAGCGTCTACTCAATTGCCTACTTCAAGACCATCATTCTCCGAGAAGGATGGGCTTCAGCTACGCCCTGGCCCAAATCCTCTCATCACCACCGTATGTATTCGCTGTGATCATGTCTCTGGTTATGGCCTGGCTGTCCGATAAGTATAAAATCCGCTGGGCCATCCTCGTGGTCCAATCGCTGTCCGCAGTCGTTGGGCTCCTCATCACGCTGTACTGTAAACCACCAGGCGTTCGTTACTTTGGCCTGTTCATCGCCGTATTCGGGACGCAGGCGAATATACCAGGGACACTATCATATGGCCAAAGCCAGATCCCAACAGTGGAGAAACGCGGTGTGGTCGCGGCAGCTATGATATCTGTCGGTGCGGCTGGGGGCATTGCGGGGTCCACCATTTTTAGAACGCAGGATGCGCCTGTGAGTACCCTCCTGGGACTTTATTTCGTGCTCTTCTTTCCCGTGATGGTACTGATTTGTGTCTGTAGAGATATCTCCCTGGAATGTGGGCCACGATCGCGATGCAAATGCTATATACCGTTGTGACGTTGGTCTTTTCGTTTTACCTCAAGCGACAGAACCGCCTTGTGGACGAAAAGAAGCGAGGTGACCTGGAGGGCGTGTCCGGGTTTCGATATGCCCCTTGATTCGGGTTGGGACTATATTATGAAGCGTCAAAACACTGGGTTCCGTTTTATGGAACTTTAGTGACCGCACAAAATCAGTTTCCAGGCCCCAAGTTACCGTCAGTTCACACCCGCTCGGTCATACTTCGTGTCCTTCCTGTTGCCTTGTTGTAGTAGTTAGTTGACCCGTATTATTGTGTATTTAGTGCAGCGTAGTAGCTAGCTTTATGAATCAGGACTTAGTATTTTTGTGGCTGTGACCTCTACTCCGTATGCGATCTCCGGAATTCCCACTTCCAATAAAAACCTCAATTCTGGGCAGATCTCGTAGAATTTGGTGCATGTGCTTATTGAAGCGCATTAAAAGTAATATTTTTGACGTGCATCAGGGCTAAATGCCAACGCTTGTCGAAAAATAAATATCAAAAACGGACTTAAGAGATTTCTACAGCCAATCTATAGAAGACAAAAAGAACAAAGTTTCAACATAAAAAAAAGCCTACTCCCTCCCTGTCTTGTCCCACATGGCCACATCCGATCTCGAACGAGCGCATGCTTCCACAGCGCCATTATCTCATGCCTTGTGGAACAGTGGATAATTTGGTTCGCAGACAGTTCCTGGCGTGGGCAGTGTGCCATTCAGAAAGTATTGCTGGATATGACGGATTGTGCAGTTTGACGGTTGAGCGATAGATGTGTGCTATATAGATATGTTAGAATCACAATTGAAACAGCATAACACTTAAGGAACGTACCCCGTAGCTGTTCTGCTGTAACACAACACTACCCTCTAGTCCTGCGCTGACATTCCGAGCGGACACGAGAGGTGTGGCAGGATCATAGGTATTGCCAATCAATAAAACTGGGTTCTTGGTTTTCACATGGAAGTTGCCACTATATCGCTCTTTGGCCTCGCCTCCCCAGCGTATACACTGCATGGCGGTGGTAGATGCGACATCCCCGAACCACTTTATTGATTGTAGACTTTTGTTGATAAGAGGGGTAACATCGGATAGACTTGTGGCTCGTGTAGATTTGTCGCCGCATTTAATGCCAGCCAAAGCTTCGGAAAATCCTGGAGAAGAGTTCGATGAGTCCCCCGAGCCAGCACCCATGTCTGTGAGGTTCCCAGTCATTAGACCATCAAGTAGAGCGGCGAGCTGAGCCCATTGGCCTGGCCAGTAGAGAGTTGAGAAAATCTGGCTTTTGATGGTTGAGTAGTCGATAATAGACTGGCCAATTTGAATAGGCTGGTATTTGACGGTTTCCAAGAAATGGGACAGAGTTCTACCAAGGCTAGCAGCAGTCGTATTTCCACGAGCCAAGGGGCAGTTGTTGGGCGAATCGACACAGCCGGACAAGAAGCCCTCAAACGCTTTTCCGGCGTCGGTGAACATCTCAAAATCTCTGTATATCCCTGTTAACCACCCATTATAAACATATCACCTGAAGAAATTACTCACAGTCCATGGTAGTACTCATGAGGGTTCTGCACCCCATCCAAGATTACCTTGTCCATGCGATCTGGGAACATAGAAGCGACCGTTGCGCCCAGAACGGTTCCGTAGGAAATACCTGGTGATGATCAGCTGATTGCATCTAGTACAACTATCGAGTCTGAAGCATTCGTACCCCAGTATCGCAACTTTCCATCTTCGCCAAGAGCATCCACAATCTGCATCATATCTCTCGCCACGAATGCAGTACCGACAAGAGTGGCATTATCCTTTAGACGACCAAGGCAGGTGTCTGAGAAAACCTTCCCAGATGTCCATAGTCTTCCCAAGGCTGTATCGGAAGAATTGACCAGCTCCTGGTGAAGAGTCAACTGACTAACTGTTCTCTCGATGGCGTTATCATAGCAAGAGAAGTTGAGAGTATTGCCAGTGCCTCTATATATCTTCATCAGCCCACTGCAGCCCGAAACGTGATCTGTGTCGCTTACCTTGGATCAAAGCTTATCATGTCATGGTAGCCACCGGTCATCCTGTGGAAACTAGTGAGCATTGTCTGTGAGATAATATTTGGAAAAGCCATGCTTACGGCTGCATCACGTCCGCGATTGAAGCCAGATTTTGCAGGCCATCGCCGCCCGGACCACCGAAATTAAATAGAATGCTTCCTCTGGATGGTTTGTTCACGGCAGCAACTCTGATAAGGTCAAGACTAAGTGTCGCTGTCGAGTCCTTGTCTGTATAGTCCAGTGGAACGTCCAGCTTGCTGCATTCTATGGGGAGGGTGCCATTGAAACCACAAGGGCCCCATTTGAGCTTTGGCGATCGTGCCTCGGAGTTCCGGGCAGGAATAGCGCTGGCATAAGCCGTAGCGAGTAATGAGAGTGGAAATATAACTTGAGATAAGAGCATATCGAATGATGGTGATGGGATTTAATACCAGTATGGTGAGATGGGAGGTGCCTGTTTATATATTCAACCACGTCTGATCAAATAAGTTACGACATGATTCTCAGTGATGCCAGCACCAGAAATGGCCCCAACCATGGCTCGTAATCGTAGCCATTCAAAGGACTCTATCCACATTCATCACATCGTAGATTGATGTCCTGGTTGCCTGACCCAGAAAGGTACGTAGGCCAAGTATTCTGCAAAGGGTATGGCAAGGCTGGGCTGAATATCGTTTCATGGATATACTAGACAAGTCAGAAGAAAACTACCAAATGTGGTATAGTGAGAAAATTAAAAAAAATAAGGATCATCGCTCCTCGAAGATTCGAAGCTGTTGGGAGCGCCAGGTAGAACCAAAAGCGGTTAGCGCGTCTGTAGCACAGCCCTCGGCCATCACCGACAGTTGCTTTGCTCGAAGCAATAGGCTCCACGTTGTTCTCTTGGCTGTGGCCCAGCGCATGGCAGGCTCACGTCGAGTTCTTGGGCGAAAGTTTCTGGTGTATTTTACTGCGGCCAAAACGCCATTGAAGAACCTATGTCGGTATGAGTAGTTCATCGGTGCGCTCAGTTTTATAGACTTTATTCGCAATTTGGGTACATATCGAGGTCAGAATGGCAATCTGCCCGTGATTTCTAAGATATTCCATGGAGAGTCACTGTCTATATATAATACACTTTACCACGCAGAATGGCCAAGGGCCATCAACGACGTCGAACGTTAACATCGATAACCACCGGCTTATACAGCCAATACGATGTGGTCTACATCTCCTCGTCACACCCAAGTTCGAACGCAAAAGACTTTAGAAGCTCCGGGATGGCCTTGTAAATCTCGCACATTGATATCTAAACATGGGTTCTTCAGTAAGATCTCCCCCGGATAGATCGTACTAAGAGACGGAACGGAACTCACATTCTTCCCAAGACAAGTCCTAGCCCCCATCCCGAACTGCATAATATGCCGATCCATCCTACTGGCATTCCCGTCAATCCACCTCTCGGGTCGAAACCGATCCGCGTCTTCTCCGAAAATAGTTTTGCTGAAATGCATAACCCCCGGGTTCACCCCGATCCGCGCATTTCCGGGGATATAGTGCTCGCCAATCATGCAACCAGATGATGGCGCGTGACGGGGGAACGACACGCCAGTGATTGGGTGCATACGAATTCCTTCTTTAATGCAGGCGGCTAGGTAGGGAAGTTTAACGGCCTCATTGTAGGAAATACGCGGCGTGCTGAGTTGGTTGCACTTGGCGGCATCAATTTCGGCGGTCAGCTTTGCATATACGCGGGGGGTGCGAAAGATGTGATAGAGAATGCCAGAGAGCGTGAGAGCTGTTGTTTCGCTTCCGGCAAAGCTGCGTATATATCTGTCAGCATGGAAGCATTAGTGGGTTGAGGGAGCCTACAATGCACCAAACGACTCCATCTTGACATCATCAAGCACGAAATCAAGTTCCTCGCCTCTTTTGTGCGAGATTTCGAGCAGCTTGCTTAGGATGTCTTGTCGTTGAGATTCAGACTCCGAATCACTCTGCAGAGTAGCGAGGTGGTCTTTGAGCATTTTATTTGTCGCGTCAGTCAGATTTTCTAGGGCTCCCAGCGCTCGTCGGACCTTTGGGAACAAGAATCCGGTCAGCATGAATAGACCCCGGACGTAGGTGGGCATATTGGCGGCCAGGAACTGAACAGGGACCAAATCCTCCGTTGCATCTATGTACCCGAGGTGGTCACCGCCGGCTTGGAGGAAGCCGAACATTTTGCTGAAGTATAGCTCACCGATCACGTCGTATGCGTACCTATACACTTGTCAGCATTTAATTCTGAAGAGGTGGGAGTGACTACATTCGAGTCCATATCCACAAATCGAAAGACTTTTTGTTGTCCGCCATCTCCCCTAGCTTCTCAAGCCAAATGTCAATGCACTTTTCAATGTACTTTTCCGATTGGAGAATGCTTGTCATTGTGTAAACATGGCTGACGATGCGACGGCGCTCCCCGTGTTGCTTTCCGCCTTCTGACGAGAAGTGATCTGGGAATCGTGCTGCTTTTATCAGTTTTCTCTCTGCATAAGACTGGGCTCTGGCGTACCCCAGGGTGGTCTGAAAGCCAAATAGAAGTCGGTCTAGTTCGTTGGTCAGTGAAATTGTGCTCTGAACGAGGGCCATACCTTTGTTGTGAGAGATTTGGTTCCGTAGAGCGTTTGGATTGCCTCCGGGTCACTGGTGACCAGCTCGTTGGGGGCGATACGAACGACAGGTCCTATACTTCATAAGCATGGGTGAACTGCATCTGAGAAGAGACTCAAACCATATTTCGCATGTAGCTTCATCTGCCTCTTCTCAGCATTTCCAGGAAGCACATGAAGAAGCGTCCACACTCTCGTGATCGACGCCCAGAATGGTCCAGGAAACTTGGCGAGAGGGTGGAACCATCGTGTATAGATGATCCAAACGGCCCAATACGTAACAATCCCGACGAGGATGCCCTGGGCCAACACAGACCTATCTGGAAGTCTCAACAAGTCCATTGTTGGACTGATTACAATTCCACCGCTGTGTAGTGGCCGGAGAAAGACCCCTGCGGGCGCACAGCCCTCTTAATATAACGATTAACTAGTGCGGCAGACTTCGATGCGTATCTAGCGCTAGTCATGGTCGGCGCTCCAGCTCCACAGTCCAGGTCCAAAGAATTGACTAAAGGACGAACCAGTTAGCTTTGATTACAATCCAAGTCGGATTCAAATCAACGGTAAACTACCGTCTTGCACCGGCCCGGCACAGACAGAGTTAGTGCCACACTAAACAGTAGTCCTAGTCGGTTCGTGATATCTTATTCGAGGCCTGAGATTACTCCGCAGCGGCATGAGCTAACTAGAGCAGTGAAATTGTGCCAAGGAGATAGTCCAGAGGCAAGATCTGGACAAGCAAATGGGTGAAAAATTTTAAGAGGTGATGTCCTCCAGGCCTTCCCGAATCCGTGCTGGGCCACGCTTTTTATTTAACATGATATGGACTAGCTGTATGAACATCTGAGCTGTCGCTCTACTTGTAATTAGGGTTGCTTGTCAGCAAATGCCTCCATGCGCGGTAAGCCGAATTCACTCAAACCTGGTGGTATGAGCTAATATTATCCAGGCGACATGCATAGAGACAGGGCGCAATGGCTCATATTGTTCGCCCGTTGACATTCAGTGTGTTTGCGCAGATACAGTGCTGCAGTAGAATATGAGCAGTTGAATTATGATGACGTGTACAGTTAAAGAAGCATTGAGTATGTGCCTCTCGTAGAGCTCACTTTCTTCTCTGACTTGCATAGCCTCACACAATGAGTCTAACACAATGTGCGGGATTGAACCTCGCGATATTTCTCATATCACGACAACCGTTACAGGTGTTTTTATGGGTCTCGCGATACTGGTTACCTTCATGCGGTGATCTGAGTCACATGATCACTTTGGGCCGGAGGATGCCTTCGCCATCTTAGCCTTGGTATGCCTCTTCAGAAACACTAGTGAAAGAGTGAAGACTGAGGAAATGATAGATCTTTACCGTTCCAATGGGAGCACTCGAATAGCCAAGTATATTGGATTTCTTCTCTCGGGCTTGATTCAATGCTAATCTGACCAGTGGCAAAGGATGGCTATGGGAAACACATCTGGACCCTCCCCTTTGACAACATTACGCGCATTTTGAAGTTCACCTGGCTCGTACAACTGCTCTACATCCCTGCCCTAGCCACAACCAAAATGGCATTCCTATGTCTGTATCTCCGCATCTCCCCAAGTAGAGGCATCCGGCGAGCAACCTGGTTGCTCATAGCTATCAACGCCCTGTGCCTTTTGATCTATGCCTTTACAACTGCATTTAACTGTCTCCCCGTATCATATATCGGACAAAATGGCACGGGGAAACAGAATGTTCATGTCTCAATTTAATGCCCTTGGCATCGCGAATGCGACCAGCAATATTGCGTTCGACCGGGCAGTTATTGGGCTTCCGCTGCACAAGATAGCCGGTCTTTCTGTAAGCTTGTCACGGAAGATCATGTTGTTGTCCATGTTTGGGCTAGGATTCTTGTAGATGTACCTTTCGTCTCCAAAGCCCACTGATTGCTAACCTATATAGTGTAACAGTCGTCAGCATCCTCCGACTCAGAGTCGTGATCACCTACGCAACAAGCACAAGCGCTACATGTACATCCCCCCTTCTCCAACAGCAAAGTTCATCTTAACTAACATCTACCCCGCAGACGGCACAGTTCCCACCTCCTACTGGTCCATAATCGAACGCTTCAGCGGCATAGTCTGCATCAACCTACCTTCCACGCGTCGTCTCTACCGCAAAGTCACTCACCTCTGTTTCGGTACCCCTCAGACGGGGCAGGAGGAGGGCTATCAGAACGTCACGCCGGGCTACTCATCTGCGTCTAAGAAAAGGAAGCTGCCGATGGAACTCTTGATTTTGAAAACGGCTGAGACTGCGGTCCGGCGCGAGTAGATAGAGACGGAGACGGAGTCTTTGGTTCGAGTTTCCAAGAGCCGGTAGGGAGTTCATTTGATGTGTTGAACATGACTGGGTGATTTTGTTCTTCTGGGCTGGTTCAGTCTGCTGTCTGTGTTGCTTCTTTGGATTAGGTATACCATGCTACATTCGAACACGGGATGAATAACGCAAGGCCATGAAGTATACGGGGGACAGTGTTGAAATTGGTCATCTATCTTAGTTGGTAAGGAAGATTCTGTAAAGGACTACTAAGAATAGTACTATGTCGCTATGTTTAATCTTAAATTCCTTTTTGTAAGTCCGTATCGTGGTTATCGGATATCTCGTATAGGATGTTGTTCCATGCTACTAAATATATTATCAGCAGATAATGAATTATGGTATATAAGTGCTACTATTGTAAATATATTTGATGAGTTTAAAGTCAATATTGAAGGACTCATAGTCCTAGGATACGAAGACGTAAGAATGGCAATTGTGCTGGTAATCTTGGATTGAATAATTTTATTTAGTGCTTTGTTTTTTTGGTCGCGATTTGGCGCTGACTATATATTACCCTACGTACACTGTATGGCAATCGGCAATACATGTTTTCCAACAGATACAACATTTATGGTCTAAGCTGTCTATCATCCCCGAAATACTTGCTGTCTATACAAACAAAACATCCAAAACAATGGACGATACAAGATAAGATGAAAATAACTATTGATCATATCCCAGCATCTGCGCCAACGTGGTGCTATAATGAGCAGGCTTCCCACTCTCATCGGTAGGAACTCTCTGCGATGCAAACGCCAGAAAAACACCCTCCCAATGTCCATCCGGGAACCGGAAGAAGAGTCCACCATCTTCAAAAACACCGTTTTCAGACTGCGGTAGGTTTCCCTGGTTCAAATGAATGTCATGAATACCGTCGTCATATGGCTGACCAAAGATATACATGGTCGCTCTGTGACGAATTGCATCATTTAGGATGGGCTCCATCAGATCTAGCACATCATTCATTGGGCCGGGGATGTCATGAGGAAGCAGTCGACCTGCCTCCACGTCGACGAGACCCGGGGTGCGGAGATAGTCGATTCCTGGCACGGATCCGGTGTGGTGGTCGTGATTGTGAGATTTTATGGGGTGGAGGCCTGGATCGAGCTGCTCGAGATGACGAGCTACCGGGTTGTGCAGATCTCGATCCAGCCAAAAGACTAGTCGAGTATCTCTATTTGTGGATTTGACATTGATAGCTGCTTCATATTCTTTGTCCATATGCGAGCCGTCGGTGAAATGGAGGTAAATGTGGGGAGATCTGGAGTCCTGACGGGCAGTCTCAGCTCTGTATCTGGTGGGCTTGCCAACCCAGACGCCGTAATGGGGAATTGCCATGCTGACTGGTTTGAAGCTAGATGCGCAAGGAATAGACTTGCCCAGAAAGCGGGAGAGAGATGGCCAGTCCAAAACGTGGCGGACCGTTGACCATATTTATCCGCATCGCTCACTTAATCTCAGTACCGTGTCTACTGAAACAACCGGCATCGCCAGCGGTGAAGATCATCTCTGATCTACCATGAATTTAGGGGTATCGGCGCAGCTAAATGGGAAACAACTGAGGCGATTGGCTGTTTTGCCCCCGCTCTGGGCACTATTAAGCCGTGAGGGGCAAGGTAAACGACACCGCTGAATGCTATCAAAATCTATTACTTACCCGAATAGTCCTTGGGAATCGACGTTTTTTCACGGTTGAGATCACACGGAGTACTACTGCACGGGTTGAGCCTTGTGAGGCTGAGACATTGGCATCCAGTCCTCTGCCTCAGGCACCGACCGAGGCGAGAACTGGCCAGGTCACATGACCCAGCTGCTGCTTCGCTCCCATTGTTTACTATGATCACAGCAAAACTCCGCGCACTTCCTAAATTTGAAGCCATTCAACACACTACAAAGCCTGCATTTCGAGTCCTACCACATTCTGGACTAGGACCTAAGCCCCTTTAGGGATATAATATTTGACTGACCCAGAAGAGTACTAGTACTTCAATTGATACTTGGCGAACCATGGTCCTGTTCAACTAGGTTTTCAGCAAGAGGCCAAGCTCATCTCCCTGATATCAACCTTTTTGGACCCCATCCCCCACACATCAATCATCCCACCGAACGCCGCGTGGACCGGCTGATCCGTCGCAGTTGGACCCTCCAATCGCAGCACCAGCAAACACCGTTTCCCCCGCACATCTCCCTTCATGTCGACATTCCACAAAGGCAGCAACCAGGCATTCGCCAGAAGAGGATCCTCCGCCACAGTGACTGTCTGGGAAGACACGATCCGCAACCCATTCGAGTCCTGGCGATAGTGACGGAAATACGTGATATAGTCTTCTGAGACACGGAAGAGGCTCATTCTCTGACCGTCGCGTGCTTTTACACGGAGGTCCTCGGAGATGAAATCCTCGTCCGAGAAGTGGAGTGTTGGCTCCTTCTCAAGAGGCAATTCCGGGTCGGTATGTGATTCGACTAAGAAGAGACTGGCAGGTAGCAAGGCGCCATCCACGATGTCCGTCCACTGGAAGGGCCGTTTGACGGTCCCTGTCGCTCCCTCTTCGACTTGACACTCCAAAAATGGCAGAAAAAGCATCATCCATTGATACTTGGCCACGAGTGCGGAGAGAAACCTTCTCTTGATTTCTGGCATGGGGAAGTCGTAGCTGACTTCGATATCCTCCAGTTCCATTGCGCCAATCAACGCCCAACAGGAGTCCTGTATCATGCCGTACTTTCGGCTGTTCTTCCCACACAGAATAGATAGAGGACTAAAGGTGAAGAATCCGACCAGCCCGGCCTGAGCTAGAGTTTGTATTGATCGACGTAACCAAATAACCGACTCCGGTGATTTCGGCAGCAGATGCCCGAACTGACCGGCACCAGGTCTTGTAGTGTCCGGATCGTGACCTTCACTTTGTATAAAATAGGCCGAGGCTAGATTACGAGCTAGGACGGACACCGGGATTGACAGATCGCGAACGGTGGCCTGGCAGCCGTTGTAGAACCTGCTATCGGAGAAGGTATTCCCATGTCCATCAATCAGAACAGTGCTCCCTAGAAGGACGCCTTCCTGTAATGTCCAACCAGACTTCAACCAGTGCTCGTCCATTTGAGCAGTTCGAAGCCATTTCTCAACTCTCTCTGTATAATCCTGAACAAGCTTTGGTTCCTGGTAACCAGGTCGTGACATCTCCAGGAGCAGCAGGTCTTTCATTGCAGTATCCTCGTCCCATGAAGTCGAATGGAGCCAGACGATACTTTTAGCCGCGTTTTTGTAAATGTGCCTGGGAATGATTAGACTACGCACGCTGTGTAAAAAGACTCTTCTCGTTTCGCTCCAAGTAGGTGAAGCCAAACAAGGGCCAACCATAAAGCCAGGATTGTCTACTTACAATTGTTTTCCGATCTCCTCTCCTTTGGCCTTGAATAGCTCAGGGTCAAGCTGGTGCTTCAAACCCTGAGGAACACACATCCAATCCCACCAAACATACCGAGTTCCAATCTTCTCCATCACCTGTCTTGCCCTCACCAGGGGCCATTTTGACGTAGTAGGTACCGTCCACACAACCCCCTCGGGCGTATCCGATGCTGGTTTATCCCACTGCGCAATATACCCCCAGGTATAAGACACCACGCCGTAGCCTTCGTGGTCAAGGATCTCCCTGGGAACTTCCGTATATGGCTGGATTCTCCATTCCTGCAGGTTCAGCAGCCAACGTGGGGTCTTGGGGTCGTTGGGGGGTACGTTGATCCTGCCCATGTTGAGGATGATATCGATCTTGGAGAATGCGGTGGAATTGTGGGCTGTGTTGAATGGACGGTTCAGCTGGCTTTTATCGACGACATTCAGGCGCATATGGATGGTCTAATGAAACGCTCGGGGTCGAACGAAGGAGGGGCAATGACTGCACCAGTCCTTTCCAACCAGATCCAGAGAGGATCGCTGCTCACCGACTTTGCAGGCTTAGCTGAAGTCTGCCATTCTCCGCTGCAGGTCTTTCCCCGATTTGTGTGGAGGGGGCCATGACCCCCCACTGGAGCCCAAAATGCTAGCGAGGGTATGGAGGCGGCTACGAACTGATGTCAGCCTGCATGAGATGGACGCTGAGCTGTTCAGGGCTACAGTGGCATTACGCGAGACAACGCCTGATATGTGGTGCTGAAGAAAGTATGCGACGGCCCCGAATGGGCAGTTATTTCGGGACTATTGATTATGGCTACGAGGTATACCAATGAATAGCAACATTGTAGACTAAAGGCAAAGCTTCAACCCTCACTAGTCGACGAATGTAGTTGCTTCCCTCTTGCTAGTCAAGTCTATTATCTCCAGCGATCATGAGCAACCACCGCTTCAAGATTGCTCGCCTGCGGCCTTGACTATTTTCGAGCCAATTTGTTCGTACAGATCGATAGCACTCCTTCCGGGTGCCCATTGCGCCTCAATGTACACCGGTTTATTATTCCATCGAGCTTCAACTTTGAAAGTCAGTGGCTTCTTCTTCGCAAATACCTCGGTAGAACCAGTTACAACAATGCGTTTCACAGTGGGGGTGCCCTGCTCCAGAACGTGAACATATGCTCGCGCCAATTTCGTGGTTTTGTCGATGCCTGTTCGGACCTCTTGAAGCTTTTCCTTAATGTTCTGGATCTGAGCCGTGACACTTTCATGGTCTTGGAGCTTAGCCTTGTATGCATCCTCGAAAGGCCTCGTTTTGAGCTCGCCTCGAAGCTCCTCAATCTCCTTTTGTAACTTCTTCTCCTCCTTGGTGATCCGGCCTTTGTTCTTTTCGAGCTCCTGGCGGGCTCGCCGGAGCTTCCCCTCTATTTCTTTGCTTATTTCTTCGAGATTTTGGATGGCCGCAATCTCCCTGTTGAGTGTCTCTCTCTTATCCGTTTCCAGTACCCCGATGGCCGTGTAAAGCTGGCCATTCATGATATGGTGTAGGGCTCTGGCGTGTTTCTCAATCTGCCCTGTTGCTTCGGTGAGACCTTTCTCAATATCAATCCATAACTTATCGCTGAAGATCCACTCTGCTGCATGAAGGATCTCAGCTTCGGCAGCCTTTTTGGCGTGAATCCACTCCAGGTCGACCTTTTCTTTCGCGGCTCGCCCATTCTAAGAGGCAGGTTGATTAGCAATTTGTGGCTACTGAGTACCAAGGCGCCCTGTCTTACCCAGTATGTGGTTTCACCCCACTTCCACTTCTTCCATGCCTTCGACGCTTCGGCTTCGCATTTCGTGACCTCCTCCCACTTGCGCTTCTCCTTCGCTGTGGACAGACAATGGTGAGTACTTCTCGGGATTATACGCATCGTGAAATGAAGGGTAAATTAACTTACCCTCCCACGATGCCCAGTTGGCATCGGCCGCCTCTTTACTTCTCAATGCATCACCGAAAGACGCTTCTTTTTCTTTTTCTAGTCTCTGCCTTTCCATTTCCCATTCTTTTTGTTTCACACGCTCTGCTTCTTCCTCGCGCTGGTATTCAAGTCTTTTGTCACGTATCTTGTCATCGAATTCGCGCTCCGTCTTTTCTTTCTGAGCTTTTAACTTCTTGATCTCGCTCTTGTTATTGTTCTGCTCTTCCTCAGCTTGTTCGACGGCGAGCTGCAGCTTTTTGAGCTTCTGTTGTAACTTCTTCCTCTGCTGACTATCTTCGTCGATCTTCGCCTTCCGCTCCCGTACCTCCTTTTCCACGTCTTCCTTCAAACGTTGCAGATCCGTCTCCATTGTGTTGAGCTCAGAATCCTTCTGATCAATCTGTTTCTGGAGCTCTTTCTCGGCATTCTCAAGCTTTTCCGATGCCATCTTGCCAAGGGTAGCAATGGCCTGGTCGATTGCTTCAAAGATCGCTCCGATTACCTCGGGCCGGATCTCCGCCTCGAAGTTCAGAACCAGTCCGTCCAAGGATTGAGAGTCAGGAACGATCGTGTTCGCCTTCAGATGGAGGAGTATATGCTCGGTAAACTGGATCGAGACATCGGCCTCTAGGCGTTTCTCCGCCAGATACGCATCAATCAAGATACTCAGTTTGAAGTCATCAAAATGGATTGCCCCGTCTATCAGGACTTTTTGTTTGTCGCCTGTCATTTCGATATCCAGCGTTGCCCGTTCGCCCTCGGTCCTGGCTGATTGAACTTTAAGGCCACCGATGTTGAAATTATCGATGGCCCCCTTTATCATAACTCCATCCTCGTGGATTTGACCATCAAACCCACCGTTCTTGCCGAAAAACTCCACCTTGCCCATGACATGTATTCCCCTTTCATAGCGGGTCCCAAGGGCCACGCCCCCAGTGGACATGTAGAATTTGACCTGACGGAAAATGAGGAAGTCCTCTCCTCCGTTCAGACTTTGTAGCGACACGATGTCCGTCATCTCTCCAGCCAGTTGAACAATCCTCGATATGTTGATTTCAGATATGTCGATGCAGATGACCTGCTCTTTTTTCAACCCGCCACTAAGGACCATACCGGCATGGAAGTCTTTTCCAACGTCAATTGCCCCGCGAATAGACAGTGTACTGATTCCTGTTAGGACGAACAATCCCGGAGTTTTCACCTGATGACTTACTCGGGCCCTATAACCCACACTGTGGCATATTTGATTCCAATGCCGACACCTAATTGCGATATCACCACCTTCTCGTTCACCCGGAATGGATTGATCCATTTGTCATTCTTATTCATATACCTGTTGGTATGTCAGTGCCAGAACGTCTCTGGACCTTGTTGCCCAGTGAAAGAACCTACAGCTCGCCACCCGCGCCTAACGCTGATGCTTTTATTTTGCCGGTAACTCTGATAGGCCTTTGGTCATCAAACAACAGGGTTAATGTGGTAGACAGTTCAAGTTCTCCTTCAGTCGCAAGAATTGTGGCGCCAAAATCCCCAAGTATGGCGTGCGGATCCAGTGGGACCTATGTATTCATCGTCAGGGAAGATTATTGCTATCACACATCCGCGTGGTACCCCTCTCACCTGTAGCGTCTTGGGCAGGTCAATGCTGATTTCAAGGCCTTCTGGTGTAAAGGCAATGATCAAAATCAGGCCATCAATTGGCTTATTTTTGTTGAGCTGTTCCAGGGCCTCAAAGCTCCGGATGGTCGCACATAGTTGTACACCTTTTCAGTCAGCCACGTCAGACCTTTGAAGGAAGACGATGCTATGGCTTACCTTTCCGGATAGGGTACTTGTAGGACTCGACGGTCTCGAGAACACCTGCATGTTCAGGATGTTCGTTGTCCTCATCATCCTTCTTGTCCTTCTTTTCCTCCGCATCTGCCTTTTTATCAGTCTTGTCAGTCTTGTCAGTCTTTCCGTTGCTCTTCTTATCCTTTGGTTGCACGTCGACTATCTTGTTATCCCTTTCTGTTTGCTTTCCATCCTTGCGTCCTTCTTCTTTCTTGTCTTCTTTCCCGTCGTCGTCTTCTTTTATCTCCCTGTCCTCTGACGATGCAATAAGCGCAATATTGTCTAGGTGTAGGTTCAACGGTGAGTCCTTGAGCTCCGGTACTAATTGTGATAATGTAAGATTTCCGACACTGCCAAAGGCAAGCCAGTCACGCTTCGCCTTGTCATTCTTCCGTGCGATATAAAGGCCGACAGATACTGTCACTTCATTGATTTTAACAACGCCGAGAATTGCAAATTCACTCTCTCGTTTTGCCTTCTTCTTCGTCCCCTTCTCATCGGACTCTTTAACGCCCTTCTTCGCATCCTCATCCGCCTTGGAGTCTACCCCAGCTTTGGTAATTGACGTTCCTTCACCCTGGTCGGGATTACCGCCTTTCCTCGCTGTACTGGGGGCCTCGCTGATTGATTTCTCGTCATTTAACTTGTCCTCTCCAAGCTTCTTGTTCTTTTTGCCGTGCTTAAACCCTATGAAAATGTGCATCCGTGCCTGCTGAATGGTGACAGGGGTGTCAGGAATCTGGTAGTCAGTCAGGGCTCCTGAAATAGTCAACCCATCGCGGCTGAGCTCAAGTAGAGCGTGCGCACTAGCTTTCCCATTGAAAGTGACGTGGCCCGCCAATAAAAGGGATCCTTTCCAGGTGTGCTCTTTTTCGATGACGTTATGAGATAGGTTGAGGTGGATCTTTTTAAAGGTGATCTCGTTGCCCTTAGCCTCTTCCGTTTCATCCTTCTTCTCTTCTTCCTTTCTCTTTGCATCATCCTTGACCTCTTGTGCAGTCTTTTCTTTATCTTCTTTTTTCTTTTCCTCTGGCACCTCTTGGCCCAGGATCTGGGCATGTATCTTCTTGAAGTCAGTGAGTGAGAGATCACCCACTTCAGCATCCACAAAGTTTTCTACTGTCTCGGTTGTTAGACATATATTATGAAGCTGGGAAAAGCCATGGGCCACTTACACTTGGAGAACTTGCCCTTGGCCTTGAAACTCCCCGCGCCGAGCTTCGCCTCGGCAGATAAGTCAAATGCCATTGTTTTCCCAAAATTCCCTTGCTCGAACGACCACCTCAGCTCGGCTTTTTTCAGCTACAACGGTTAGTACGGCAGATCCCAATCGAAATGGCGTTCTACCTACTGAGACATTTTTGACACCGTATATATCTTTCCACTCGTCACAATAAATGACCACGCTCCACACTCTCTTATGCCTACCATCCGAGTGCTTCTTCTCTTCGGGCTTCTGTGGCTTACTCTCTCCCTCTGTTGGTTTCTCCAAGGACTCCTCTCCACCAGCATCTTCTGTGCTGTCCGCAGAGAGAACTTCCTTAGCAACCGGCACGGAGTCTTCGTTTGCTTTATTGGTGTCACTGCCTGATTTTCCTGTTGTCTCCACCGTATCAACCTCTTTCTTAGAGTCATTCTCCTTCTTCTTCTTCTTCTTCTTCTCCTCCCCGCCACCCCCGTCCTCTTTCTTTTCTTCTTTCTTGTCTTTTTTTTCATCCTTCTCGACCTCAAAGTCTCTACCAATCCTAATATGTAAGTCTAATGGTGCGTTGGCATGAGGCATTTTGATGAACGACACAGTTCCGAAGAACCCAAAACCATAGTTATAGGACTTTTTCACTTTGTCCTTCTGGTCCTTGTTGTCTTTCTTGTCATCTTTGGATGGGCTCGTCTTGGAAGAATCCTCTTCCTTTTTTCGGCATCTGCATCATCTTGCTGTGGCGGACGGGGCTTAGTTACTGTGATTCCAACCGAAGGTAGACTGAGAAATGTCCTTACCAGACTATCCGTAGCTGCAGGTTCGACCTGGACCGTCGACGCCTTCTTTATCGTGACTTCAGACTTAGGCTCATCATCCTTCATTTTCGTTTGCTCATCGGTCGGCTTTTCCTCGGTAGCCTTGTCATCCTCATTGTTCTTGTCCGTGTTATTGCCATCCTTTCCTGTTTTCTGTCCCTTGGATTCCTTACTCGCCGCTTTTGTCGCTGTAAGCTCCAGACCTAGGGTTTTAAATTGCAGAATGTCTCAGGTTTGGCATCCAAAATCATCGAAATAACCTCGCAAGACAAAGTTTTCCACCTTAGGCCGCTTAGACCAGTCCCTAGTCTTCCCAAGTTCTGCACTAAGATGGATTTTTTGGGCGTCCTTTTCTCACCAAACATCTTCTGCAATGCATCTGTCACCCATTGTAGGCTACCTTTCAGCGACACATCAACCTCCAGTCGCAGGCCAGGTGGGAAAAAGTGGCCGCTTTTCTCTTCACAGTACGTGAACTCGAGATTCTCAATCGGTAGACTTTTAATCTCTTCACTCTCGAGGAATGGGAGGAGCGTCCCCAACGGCTTACCTAGCAAAGCCAAGCTTTGTGGGTTAATCTTTACCTTCTCGCGAGCCGGTTCCTTTTTCTCTTTATCTTTCTTGCCTGCCTTGTCCTTCTTGTCCTCCTTGCTCTCTTTTTCGTCTTTCTTTCCGGTCTTGTCACTGTCAGCCGTGATCTCCAGAGTGTCCTTACCTTCAGCTCGGGCCTTGGGCCCAGCTTCTTCCTCATCGCTCTCATTTGATTGATCCTCCCCTTCCTCCTTGCCTTTTTTGTCGCCTTCTTTCTTGTTTTTCTTTTTCTTCTTATCCTCCTTGGTTTCGGGACCTGAACGAGAGTGAGGGTTGAGCCTAGTGTTGTGGCATCTGGAACCCTTACCTTTGTACTTGTAAAGCTTCCCTTTCAACCCTTTAATGCCAAAAAGATTCTCAATATCCCCCGAAAGTACGTATCTATCCATCTCAGTCTTTGCAACTTTGCCTTTCTCTCCCTTGTCTTCCTTCTCTTTCTTCTCACCCTCCTTCTCAGTCGCTGTGCCATCGCCTTCCTTCTTCAACCCCTCCTTCACAGGGGCCTGTGTCTTCCGTTTAGCGGCCGTCTTACCCATATTTGCAAGAACAGAAGCAGCTGCAAGTCGCGAGATGTTATCACTAGCGCTGTCCCTCCTCGGCTCCTCCTGATCCTCCTCTTCATCCGGCATAAGCAAAACCGGAATACTCATAGCCCCGCCTTCCTCTGGATCTCGACCAACAACGGCCAGAAGCTCGGTCGTCTCCTGCCCGACCGCCGTGATGGGCAAAACGGGCAGATCCCCAAAGCCACCCTCCCTGTTCTCAGGGACGACTAAAGCGACATTCTTGACGACTGCGCCGCCGACAATTATCTCGCCCAGGGACCCTGGCCCAGAGTCGGTGGACAGGACATTCTTGGCCATCCGTCCCCAAGCCGTGGACTGTTCTTCATCGCTCTCAGAGTCCCCGTAGACAAGACCAGGAACATCCGTGGGTGCTTCAGCTTCGGGATTGTCGCGGAACCTCACCTGCGCGTTTCGGATGATCGATTCGAAGTGGTTGCTTAGAGGCTCGAACGCGATGTCCTCCACTTCTTGCTCAATCTCGCCTTCGGGGAGCTCCAGCCTCCCTGGCGCGAGATCAGACATGGTGACTTTGATTTATTCGAAATCCGTTTCTGGTTAGAATGACAATGGGATCTCCAGTATTCTTAATCACCAGACAGCCCGCTCTTCTTCCCAGTTGGAACGAAAGAGAAAAAAGTAAAATTTATGTGATTGACGCCTCTTATGTCTCATTGACCGGGCTGCCTCTCATCCTCATCGACTGATGGAGAGTCGCGTCGCGGATCCCAGCTGGACGAATCTCCGACGATTACTATATACACGATTATGGAAGTTGGGCCACGACCCACCCCGTACATCGAATGTTGGCCCGACCTGCATCTCTCACGGTCACCACGTCAGGAACTCAGATTCCATCACGCCAGCCACGTTCGGGCTTTGACCTCCTTTGCTCCTCCGAGGCCACGCGAGAGATCTGGCAGTGGCCCATCTACGTCGATCTATCGATCAATTAGGATTGCATTCGTCGGCGTCGCCGCGATGTTCCGGGGAGGCACCAATCATTCCTACAGCAGGGAGATTATCGGTGAGATGGCGAAACACTAAACTATTAAGCGATCTAACCAAATCACCACACTAATGCGAGTTCTGCGGAGAAATCTTCCAGGCGATGGGCTTCGGCAAGGAGAGTCGAATGGTGGGGTCGATCGACACTAAGCCATCCTCTCTCTGGTTGAGTAGTGGATCCATCATCTTACTACTGTGGTAGAGTACCGTGTGTGCAACTGCCAAAACCACTGTTGCCACGCATCACCGGGCGACTATAGTCTAAATCTATATCTTAAGGTCAACAGTAACTAAGTAATACTTTATGTATTTCAATCTAGTAAGATAGATTTCGCACAGGCCTGGATTAAACTAACTAAACTCTACATAGATCCGAAGCGTTGTTCCTAGATCTCGAACCCGAGCTCTAGGTACTACTTAATATATATCCACACCGTCTTTCGATGCGACTAACTTGAAGCTAATCTCCAACCCGGCGATCTCTGGTTTTAAACCAGTTCAAATGAGTGAAACCGAATTCTGATTTTGCCCAAGACTTTTTACGCAGCCCATGCCAGCGCCACACGCGGACGGATTCCATTTCTCCGTCTCAAGTTTCCACAAGCATTAGCGCGAACACAAAAAGGCCCTGCACGAGTACTATTACCACTTGCACAATGCAGTACCCCTCCTGTAGAGTCAGTCCAAAACTCTGTATCCGTGTAGTGAATTGTTTCTGTTGAATCACTGATACTGTGGATCACAAAGTGAGCATTGGGGTCAATAGAACTTGGAGATTCTGTCGGCGAATAGGGCTTGCCATGGCATCTCTGGCAATTAGGTGTGCGGCCCTGAGGCATAGTCCACTTTGTTTGCACTGTTTCCATGTGGTTAGGCTATAGTTACGCCTTCTTCCTTCCCCCTCACGCGTACCTAGAATTCTGCATATGATAGTGCCAATATAATTACTATTGAAAGGCTGTCGCATATATGCTAATCATGGCGGTCTATGTACATTAAGTGTCTAGAGGTGTGTCTGCGCATACATTGCTTGCTGTTCAGCTGTCCGTTGAGAAATGGGTCATGGGTCTTGGATGAATAAAGAGATTTTGGTAGTGAAAAAGGCTCTAGACCGCACCACAGGTGAATGGACTGTGGACATTGCCAGTGCGATAATTGTTTCTCTGGGAAGATCTGTCAGCACACATCCATCCGACACAGGGAAGGAAACTTACTATATCCTGGATACTGGAATAAAGGCCGCCGACCAACACGACGAGACCGAAGATGAACACAAAGAGGTTCACAATGCTGAGGGGAAGGTTTTCCCGCGAGCACCAGCTGCCCTTGCGAAGGAGGAAGAACCACATCACCGGGGGTAGATAGAACGAGAACCCCGATGTGAACAACGCCGACGTGATCGAGAGTAGATCGTCGAAGAATGGAACCGCCTCTGCAATCACCCAGGCCAGGATCGTGAGGACCGTGATGAGAGCCAACCAGGTAATCCAGCCCTTGGTTGTATTAACATAACGGGTCACACTGTTTTCGTAGATACGGCCGTGGATCAAACGCCCTGCGACAATCGTTCCGATCGCGCCGGAAATGAAGATCACCGGGAGCGCTATGCCAAAGGCAACCTTGCTCACGAGGGAGCCAGCGGAGAGGAGCGCAGGCGATTGGACCTCTTGGCCGACAAAGGCGTAGATGGTCGCTCCGGTGACGGTATAGATTACGATCTGCAGGATACCAAGGGTCCAGATCGATTTGGTGAAGTCCTTCGGGGTGTGCATCTCGTCCATGAAGGAGAACAAGCAGCTGGCGAACGTGTACGCAAACACAATGTTGCTAATGGCAATAAAGGCATCCGAGAAGCTTGGATCACCCTGTGGAAGGGCCGACCAGTCGACCTTGGAGAGTCCCGACTGAGTGCCTTGGATACCGGTGGCTATGATTGTGATGCCAATAGCGGCCACGATCGATACAAAATCAATGTAGCCCAGCCAAGCCATGTCGGCAAAGGATGACGGGATGGATAGTAACAGAAGAATCACGGCAGAAACAATGCTGAAGACCACGGAGCAGACATTGTTGCTATCCGTGATATGGCGCCATGCAATCGTACCCGTTAGGCAATTTGACCCAGTGAGGAAGACAAGCTGCAGGATCAACATGAAGGTGAACAGTTCATTGCCCACACGGCCCATTAAGAGACCACCGGCGTCGCCATAGTGTCGGACGCCAGGAAAGGCGAGTTTCACCTTTCCGATGATCCAGGATGTATAGATGGCAATTAGCCCAATACCCACACAACAGATGACCCCTGCAACCATTCCCAAGGCTGCAAAGGCGGACGGAATTGAGAGCGCTCCCAGACCGATAGCTCGATAATCAGCATGATCGTGAGGCGTTTCCAGCCCAGACGATGGTATTTGGCCTCACCGGCCTCGATGATCTGCTGCTCGCCGTCGTCCAGCGCGTCGGGCAGCACCTTGCTATCTGGAGACCAACCATTGGGTTTGGGGGTGTCCATCTTGCCCACACCACCGCCATTGCCTTGACTGGCGTCTACTATTTCTCTCGGGCAGCTCATAGTGAGGAGAGCTGTTGGGAGCCTGTTCTGAGAGGGAAACGGGGAAGGATGCCACACGTAAATCGTAACATTGGACGTTTAATGAGCAATGATAAATGCAATGTAACCAATCTCTTCACTTTTTTTTGAGTCATTTTTGTTTTTTTTTCAATCTGGGGTACCTGGTCATAGATTACCACTGTTGGTAAGGTTGAAATCGGAGTACATTCCGCATGCGGTCTGCAGGGATTCAATCCAATCCCATTGGCCAGTGCCTGAAAATGGAATGACTCAGCGACACCCATCAGCCAATGACAAAGAATCGGGAAACCGAGTGGTATCCGGATTTCCCTAGTGGTTACTTTCGGAAAATGTCCAAGAAAATTCTGTCGGGGATCGACATGAGGTTATCAACGCGATTCGGCGTTTACAAAGCTTCAATCTTCATGGGTCTATGTTGTGCGGCTCTCCGTAGAGCAGTGCAGTATTCCCTTCCTTGTATTTCAACCACCTGAGCTTGACGGACTCGAATTTACAAACAAATTATTCATATTGCTAGGTTCGCCTTGGCTTACATGGATTGTGTGTATCCGCAGCGCCACAAAAGTCTTACATTATTTTATTAGTTACTTTATGTGACGTTGAAGTTCGGTTCGCGCTCTGATTGGTTAATGCCCTTGCGGCTAAATACTAAGGATTGCGACTAGGGAAAAAATCTTAACCTCGGGCCGGGCCATACTATTTCCCCTGGCCGGAATCCTGCAACAGGGGCGACGAATCGATCAACGTATCCCTGGGATTTAGGAGCACATATGGAGTATGGAGTAAGAATCTCACAAAAAGGATTAAGGTAGTTTTAATGACAGCCCTAAATATCCCATACCCGCACGGGGGAGGGCATAAAATCGCTCACTAGCTTCCAAATCCTTCTCCACATGTGCAAGCTATCGGATTGCACCACAACTTGCGTGTTGTCGTGTGCGACCCTCTGAAAGATCTCCAGTAGAACAGAGTCATCATACCCTCTATCCAAAATATCATCCATCCCCTCGAAGATGAGCATTGTGACTGCGTCAGTCTTCAACCATCCACGTGTAATACACTCCCATATCCGACCAGGTGTCCCTATGACTATATCAGGGACCCGCCCCATCTCCGACCCTTGGAGCTCGGCAATCTTGTCATGGGCATCATGGAACCCTCTAGGACAGCAGTAGACTTTCACCGATGGCATTGCGGACGCCATCATTCGGGCGATACTCTGCACCGTCCATGCTAATTCAAACGTCGGGCTTACAAACAGGGCTTGGCATTGGGTTGGAATGTCAGGCGGAGCAGCTGTATTGATCCGTTGGAGGATGGAGACCACGAGGTACATCCGTTTAAGAGAGAACGGGCCTTGGGCGAGGACATGGTGACCTGTGGGGCTGGATTCAACAGGCTGAACGTATGCATGTCTTGCGTCGGTAGGTCAAGAAGATACCTTGAATAATGGGGTGAACTAGTGGATAATAGTTTGGGAGCTCATCACTAAGACTCCAAAGGCTCATGCCCTGCAGCAGCTCCGGTTTGAGAGCGAGCTCCTGCGCGGTCGCTAAGATACTAAGTTAGACACATGTCTTAATCACACATGGCATCCAAAAAGGGATATGTATACCTTCGAAGCTCTTCCGTGCAGAAGGTGAATGTGACATCTGCTCTGTCGGTTCCCCAATCCAATATCTATATTCTAGTATGGTACAATTCTGCCTCTCCCCGCCAATACTCACCGAGGCAAGAACAATGAATGCGATAGATACCAAAAACCTTCCGACACGTCGTTGGAACTCGATATACGAGAAACCCCATGATGTTTGTCATGTTTGTTGGGATGTCCGAATCGGGCGGTGTTGCATTCAATCCATGGCACCCAGCTCCTCAAGCAGTAATCTCAGCTTAGATGATGGACTGTTGCCTTCTCGGCTTGAGGATATACCAGGTGCTATTCTCATACTCGTCTTTGATGTGTATCGAAAGACAGTCGGACTTACCCCTCGGGAATAACTACGGCAATTTCCTTTCCTGTCAAACCCCGAGATGTCTATAGATGTACTGCGAATGCATATAAACAATGTCAAGTCAGATTGCATGTCCAATCCTCACCCAGCATTCACCAAGAGACAAAGTGAGAAACAAGAACAGAAGCTGAAGCTGAAGCCATGGCCGGACTGAAAGTTCTCATCTGCGGCGCAGGAATTACCGGCAATGCCCTTGCCTTTTGGCTGTCAAATATGGGCCACCATGTCACGGTCATCGAAAGGTATTCGACCTTGCGTGCCACCGGCCTGCAGGTTGACCTCCGGGAACCAGGGATCACAGTCTTGCGACGGATGGGCCTCGAGCAACAATTTCGCGCCAAGTCCATTCGGGAACAGGGTCTGGCAATTGTAGATCATACTGGCAAACGCAAGGCATACTTCGCCGCCAATAGATCCGGGTTGGGCATGCAGAGCTTCACCACTGACTATGAGATTATGCGAGGCGATCTCTGTCGGCTATTATACGACGCCACCAAGGACCGCGCAACGTTTATCTTCGGAACAACGGTCGAGAGCTTCACGCAGCGGGAAAGTCATGTCGACGTACAATTTTCTGACGGCAGCCACGGCCAGTTTGATCTATTGGTGGGTGCCGATGGGCAAGGCTCGCGCACACGCAAGATGATCATCGGATCCGCACCAGACCCGTTTCACCCACTGGGGGTTCACATAGGATATTTCACTGTCCCACGGGAGATTCAACCTGGGGAGGAATACAACGCGGCTGTATATATCGCTCCCGAGCGGCGCTTTATCTTCACCCGGAGACATAGCCCACATTCGGTTCAGGTATACCTCGCGTGCAAAACCGAATCAGATCGACTGGATAAGGCACGCCGAAACATTGAGGAGGAAAAGGATGGCTTGGCGGAGATCTTTCGGGGAGCAGGATGGCAGACAGACCGGATTTTGAAGGAACTTCAGAGCGCGGATGATTTCTACTGCGAGCGTCTGGGAGTGGTCAGAATGGACTCATGGTCTGCCGGCAGAGTCGTCCTAGTCGGAGATGCGGCGTATTGTCCATCAGCGACCACCGGCATGGGAACGACCTCAGGCTTAGTGGGGGCTTATATCCTCGCGGGAGAGATCAGCAACTTTTCTGAAGTGGAGCTCGAGTCAAAGGATCGTCTTCTTCTCGCTCTCAAGGCATATGACGACACGTATCGACCTTTTATGTTCCAAATTCAGAAGGGGATCGAAAAAGGCTCGACATTCTGGGACTACACCCCATCTTCATCATGGGGGATTGCCATGGTACACCTTCTCCTATGGGTAGCTGCTTTCCTACGATTGGATATCGTCAGTCAATGGATCCTCCGTGAGGATGCAAGCTGGGCGTTGCCGGAGTACAATCGCATGGATCAGATTTAGTCTTGCGTTGCAGGTTCGGGTCTCTTCTAATGTTGCTTCTTTTTTTCGAAGCAAAGTGCAACTTTCTGTTTTATTTCTAACCTTGCAGCACATTAGTGTATACAGTCTTTAGTTGCTTTACCCAGATAGTGGGGATAACAATGCTCTAAGGATTTCGTCAACTCATCGTAATATATAGCGAGGAATCAAATTGCAGATTATAGCTATTCAACTTGTGAAAAAGATCCTTACAGTCCCAGTTCGGCTTCTTTCCAGTCAATTTCCTCCTCCCCTCCATTTCACTTTAAAAAGGAATTCCTTGTACACCTAGCCTTAAGATAACAACTCAAGTACCTCCTATCACAGTTTGACCTTGTAGGTCTTTCAGCTTTGCTCGTGCGCCTCTCCAGTTATCTGTCAGATCTTCTATGGCATCTTCAAGTGTTCTCTTCTCTTCAAAGCCAGGGCTCAATGTGCTGTCGTTGTCTTTGCACAAGGTCTCAATGCAGGTATCAAAAGCCCTCCTAAGGATGCGTGCGTCCCATCTGTCCCGACGGATGATAGTATAGTCGTTTTCATCATTATAGTCCACCGGTACGGGCGGCTCCTCCTCAGTCACTGGGTCCACATCGAGAAACATCTTGGGGTAGTAGAAGGCTGCCCACTGAGGGAGCACGCAGGTCATTTCCCAATCAATGACAGCAACAATGTCATGGCTGATTGGATCCAGGATGACATTGTTTTGATTGAGATCGTGATGATAGAGTGTATGGCCTGTGTCGCGGTCCGTCGGGGGAAAGAAACGTGTAATCAAATCCTGGGCTGACTCGCATACTTCTAGCATCTCGGGTGCCTCCTCCAGGAGATCCTCGTCACAGTCCGAGTCAATGTCGCTAGCATCAGATTGTGCGATCTCAACCCCACTCTTGATCCAAGCGGTCTGCATTTGCACCTTTGCGGTTAGATACTGGTGAGAACTGGCGAATGGCCCACGGTGGGAATGGATATAGAGTCGTCGTTTGAAGAAGAAGAATGGCAAAACCATCGGCCCGACTTCTACCCCTTTTCCGAGATAATCGGACATGAGCTTGATCTGGCCAGTGTCTTCAGTAGTGCCGCTTCTTGAAGAACGGGCGTTCGTGCCCTCGAAAAAAAGACTCCCGACGTTGTCAAAGGGTACAGCTCGTAGCTCAGCGGCGTATGCTGCTAATTGTTTGGAGATTTGGACTTTCGTTTCCATAGATATTGCACGCCACCTTTGCTCGAGTGGGACACCTTCCACCTTCTTCAAGAGAATCCATTCATAACCGAGGGCATTCTCTGATGTCGAGCTCCATGCCACGACTTCAGGCACCGGAATGCTAGTCTTTTGGCGTAGGAAAGCCAGGGTAGCAACTTCACTCTCTGTTTTGAAGAAGGGGTCGACTGGAAGGGTGACGCGAAAAAGGAATTTCTGCTTTTGATTTGGGACCACAATCTCATAATTCTTGTTGAATGACCCTTGGGCAAAGAAGGTCACATCCTCCACTTGCAGACGCTTGGACAATACTTCCGAGGCAATCGAGAGAATAGTGGAGACTGCTGGTTCCGAGGGCCAAACTGGCGAGGATCCGGCGAAGGTTGTGTGCCATTCTAGACACGGTTTAGAGAGATGCGAAAACGCCATTTTCCTTTAGATCAGAACTGATATATCGCACAGTCCACGTCTGTGGAAGACAAAGAGTTGCAGAAGGATGTTCGCATGCGGCGAACATGCTGAATGAGTCAGATCTTAGTCATCATGTTACTCAGATCGGTAACTAGTAGTCAAAGAGGCTGTAAGAGTCTTTACATGGATTGCTTAGAGTAATCAATTAGTTTACCGATCTAGCATGGGGTAAGGATGTACCTGGCTCCAACTGTGTTTGTTACGGATTTACGCCAGGGTAACTACAATGCTAATTGATACCTTAGTGTTCGCTTGGCTAGTAGTATGTACTAGTAGTGTACTCCGTCTATACTTGACACAACACCTGGATAGGTAACGAGTGCAAGCTGAGAAAGAAGGAAAATAACGATAACAAAAGGACATGTCGAAGTAGAACTAAAAGTTGAAGGGGCACCTTCTATAATGCGATACGTTCCATGAAATAGTTAGAACATACACATTATTTCATGGTAGTTGGATGCACTCTGTGCATCTTTGCGAAGTGCGCTCTTTACTTCAGATTCCACACGCCACCCACGACGCCTTGAAGTTCCTTGCCACCGTTTTCATAACTCTCAATAAGGCCTTGCTTGATTTGAGCCCACGTGGCAGTGGCGTTCGCGTCCACTCGGGCAATTATCTCATTTGGCTTCCTCGAAGTCGTAATGCTGCTCCTCTGGCTTCCGGTCTTCTGAACCGCGAGGCGATGAATGAACTGGCCCTCGGCAGTATTGCGCTGATTTTAACATTACCTCTATGCCTCTCACACCAATCACCCGATTCCAAACCCTACTAACAGGGGCGGCGAACTTACTCCTTGATAGTCCAGACGAATATGCTCGCCTGTATCGTTGTATAAAGTCCATTCATGATCAGGGAAATCGGCTGGATTGATTGTGAATGTCTCCAGCCAATTTTTGAAGTGCCTTTTGCCCATGGTGGCCGCGGGTGAATTTAGCTGTAGCACAAGCTTGAAGTGAGAGTGAGATTTTGATGTGTCTGAAGCCTTGGGGCGGGTTTAATATAGACAATCACCCAAATGTAAGCCCCTCCTCCCTGTAAGACAATTTGCTTTTGCCCACTGACACTACGAGGCCAATAGTATTTAAGTGTTGGCAACCTGGTCTTGGAGGCACGCGTATACTGTGTCGTTCATCACATCGTAGCCGTTGATGGACCTGTCGTCGAGGTCCATGCCCCGACAGCCACTATCTTGTAGTCAGATCTGTTACCCAATAAACGCAAGCAGGGTAGCCAGGTATTATAGGTTCAGGTGCATTCCAACAAGGCTGTGCAAGTATGACAAGTGAGGGGAAGGTGGAGAAGGCAGTTCTGCGGATGAAGATACCATAAAGCACCCTTGTTCTAGGCCGGTGATCCCTTTCCAGATCGGGGTTCCTATGCATGCGACAGCTCCATCCAGCAGAGAGGAGATGTCACCAGTGGGCATTGAGAGGGAAAAAAGAAAAAGCAAAAATACACAAAACTTGGGTATGGTATCCGCTCATCTGCAGGGTTATTGCCCACTCGGGTGCTTTGACCTCGATTGAACCAGACAGGGTCTAGCATGCTTCATTCGCCCGTATGCCAGACTATAATCTGACCTAAGCCAATTTCACCCCGCCAGTCAGCAAAAGCATGATATTTTAATGTAGCAGCTACTGTTTACTCTACGAAAAGGGTATCTTCACTACAGTAGGGAGTGTTTGATCCTCACTAGACTCTTAGTTGAGGCTACGTAGCATACATACCACCTTCAAGAGGGATGTATGTACTTCGGAGAAGCATGGGGCCTTCAAGCCCCAACTGCCTACAATTTTCTGACATCCCTATAGACACCTATTGATAAGGTATCCTACTAGGTGAATGAAAATTCAACGAGAATCGCATCCAAACCGCTTGGGCTCCGTCTTTGCTTTGTTTTCACACATAGAGCATGCATTAAGCAGATTGCTAGCCAGGCAAGCCTGAGGCAAGGTCTTGATTTAACGTTGATTTTCATTGGAGCCTTAATCCTTAGAATTCTTCTGGGCTTCATTGCATCATGTATCCTCTATTGAAATTATACCGCCCGATGAGACACTGCGCTGAAATGTGATTCTCACAGGGTACTAAACTCAACTGAGCAACATTTGGAGACCATCAATCATTTCCCTGGCACTGTTAGATTTAGTGCTGTCTTTTGTCTGACTTCCACAGCGGTGACCACCTAACAGAAGTTCAATATGCGACATGCAGCTACCCAGGGCGACTGTCTTTCGTGTCGGCACGACAGTCATACTAGGGCAATCTAAGGTCAGCAACGCAACCACTTCCTGAATACGCCCGACTATTATGTCTCGGTACGTCTGGTAAATCACATTGATTAGTATAGACAAACACAATAACAAAAGTGACTTACTTCAGCGGCAGACAAATTACCCGCAGCGATGCTCTGCTGCAGCGCAGGAAATGCGCTAGATTGAAAGTAATACGGTACTCGGGGGATAATCAGATGATGACTGGATCCCGGTTGAGGGTGAGGGTCGGCAAACAGCCGCTCGATCTCGATGTACTTGTGGTTTACTTCTCCAGCCTTGCAGAGAAGCTCGGGCTCATCTGGATGAGCTGATATCTGGCTACCCAGATAGTCGGCATACGCATCAAATGCCAAGGTCGCTTGATTCAAATCACGAATGGCTCTCTCCATAGAGGAGAGATCGAGGCCTGGCAGATTCACTGATTTCAGAGAGCCTTGCAGGAGAACGGCGTATTCGTTGACCGTCACAGGGATTAACACGTCGCTGGCAAGAGCAAAGACCGCAAGGGACCATATCTTCGTTGTAGTTAGGTGATAATCACGGTTCGGATCCCCATAACGATCCATCCACTCGTCCGTATCGTAGAGAGAATGATATGGAAATGGAGTATCCCCTTCCCCTGCTGAGAATCCAAAGTCCACGCTTGACAAAAGAGCTGTTCCCAGCAGGATTGACCCGTCTCCACCCGTTCCTAATGACACTTCTCCGCCCCACACGTCGAGCATAGTTTGGTTCTTAGCTTTTGTGTTGGGAGCCAATACCAAGCCAGCACCATAACGCATTGCCCGCCCAAGAAGAGGGCTTCCTTGTACATGGAACTTGCTACCTGCACCAGCAGAAACAACATCCAGGTATGCGAAAGCACTGTCGTTCAGCCACTGGTTCTGTTCCCACCAATCTTTTGTACCCGGCAAACTGAACTCGAGTCCCTCGAAGCTGGCTATCATGATTGTTCTAGAAGGCTGCCACCCTTGGGTCAACGCTGTGCCAAAGCTCCTGGCTACTTCATTCAGGGCGGAAGATCCACTAGAGCCATCACCAGCCCCGGGGCCCCAGGAATCGCGATGGGTTCCCAACATAATAACCTCATCTGGGAATGTGCTGCCTGGAATGGTGCCGATGACATGGTGCACGTGCCCATCGGAAAAGTTCGGTTTGTTACATATATTCAGCACGATGTTACTAGGGGACGGACCGACATTATATTGAACGTTTTTATAACCCAGTCCCCCGCCTTGCCATCGCTCACCAAACTCTGTGGCAGAAGGGCCATAGCCGTTCAAAGCCCGAAGAATTGGAATGGCATCAGCAAATGATATGGGCATGGCCGGCACGATTGATGTGGAGCCTGATTACGCTACCGAATTAGTTGTTTGAGCCATCCATTAGGTAGGCGAGTTAGAAAAGAACCCACGTGCCTTCAAAGGTGATGACCCCACGTTCGATCATGCTCGATGGACGAGCTGGACCTTCCGGAAACGCCGCATATCCATTGGCTTCAGTGATATCACCGTCCAGCTGGGGATCAGTGTACACAATCAATCCAGCGAGACCATACTCTTCTGCGGCCTTCATCTGCTCTTGGCGATGGACTCCCATATGAAGTTGTCGCAGAAGAGACGACCCAAAAACGGTCTTGACGACTGCAATCCTACCCCGGACGGTGACATGCGCCTTGATCAGATCGTCATAGTCCTCACGTAATCCAAAGTTGGCAAAAATATATTGCGCTGTGACATTGCCAACACCTGCCCATGCGAAAAAGCTCGGGATGAATGGTTTCAAGCCCTGGCCTGCACCCGGTGCAGTATCCTCGATTTGACGCGCCTCTAGAACTAAGTGATCCTTGCGACTGAGATCCAGTAATGCAACACGATGGTCGCCGGGATACGTCAGGTTCACTTCGTGAGTAGTGAGGTTTGTCTCGATGCCAAATCCCTCCCACAAGTCTTTCGTCCACTGACCCTGTTCAAGCCCTTGGCCAGGAAGATGTGATGCGTTTGTGTAGTAATGAGACCACTCCCGTATTTTCTCTGCCCGAGGAACGCTAAGCAGAAGATCCTGCACTGCGTCGTGGGAAAGCGCCAATATCGGCGAGAGCGAGCAGAGCAGGGTAGCTAGGTATTTGAGGGGCTTACTGGAGGTCATACTTGGTCGGTACCTACGAAGCTGTAGAGTATGGGTCTCTAGCAAGGAGCTACGATAATGTACTCATAGGAAGGACTCAGACAAGTTATAGCAAGGGATGATTGTCTTTGAGGCGGAATATCGGTGAGTCCTCTGGACGATGCATGGCATGCCGTTGAAGGGAGGAATCCTTGTTTGCTGCCGCCAAGACAAACCCCCTGCATGAATGTGTTTTGCGGAGGACCGAGAAGATGTGTTATCGACACCATATCAAGCTAGGGTTAGCTATGTATACCTGATGGCTCCCTCCGTATTGATTTGTGGCGAATCTCTCGATATGACCAAACAAGAATGTCCCAAGATGGACAAGCGTGAGCTTAGTCATACAAAGAAATCTCGTAAGAAGCCGAGGCATCTTAATTGGTTCTTATCATATAAAATTCGAGCCGCCTCGGGCTCTTAATCTCGACGGAGTACTCCGTCAACCTCGCCTAGTTAGAAGGTGTGGACAATTCTCTATCCCTTTCTTACTGACAAACTAAACTTGACAAGCATGGTTGAATCGGAAGAGAACCGAAGGGCATCCTGTCACCTGCAAGTACGTCTACGCCTGTTCTGCGCCGCGCCCGAGTCGCTTGTAGGGCCTGTAATGCCAGGCGAGTGAAATGTGATGCGGCTGATGGGCAGCCCTGCTGGCATTGTCGCACTCGGCAAACGCCGTGCGAATTGATTGAATCGAGGCGAGGCAAGTATGTTGGTCTTGGATTCTACGGACTAGTAGCTAGGATTCCCAGTCAAAGTTACCAACACTGCTAGGTACACTCGGCGGCACACCCGAGCTCGAGATGGGAATCGCTCTGCACGGCCACAGGAAATCAAGGATCCATCTGCCGGTAAGCGGTCCCAGATGACGGTAGCAGTGGACAGACCCATCGATTCGGGCCAGACGGGTACGATCCACAGAACAACCGAAGGAGGAAGAAACGATCGGGGCAATGGCGTTGAGATACCCGGTGTGGGAATAGCCGGCATTAATGCTAGAGACCGATCCCAGAACGGCCAAGAACAGTCGCCTCCTCATTTACAACCGCCAGGCGAGCCTACGAGTTTATCGTACGTCGTCGAGGTGGTCTATAGTCCCAATGACGGTTCCACCGAGCCCTTGAAAGTGCATTACCCGATCCCGGCTTCTATTGCAGACCGACCAGATACAAACCATGCACCACGTCTTGAAGAACCGGTCTCCTTGCAGGAGGCTTTCATCATGCCACCCCGCAATGTGGCTGACCAGCTAATCCAAGCATTTTTCTGCAAGCTCCACCCGGCATTTCCAGTGTTTGATCGACAAAGGTTCACACGGTTGTACCATCAGGGCCAAGCCTCTCCACTTGTTCTGCAGACTATTTTCTTCTTGGGATTCACGGTTGGCAGTGAAGAGCTAGTTCACACGGCTGGCTATAGTGAGCGAGCCACGGCCAGGAAAACACACTACCTTCGGGCAAAGGCATTATACGATGCTGACTACGAGAATGATCGAATGAATCTTGTGGCTGTCCTTCTCCTCTTTGGATTTTGGTGGGCTGGCCCTGAGGACCAGAAGGACCCTTGTCATTGGATTGGATGCGCGATAGCTCTCGCTCAATCGTTAGGAATGCACCGGTATGTTCAGTCATCTCCCTGGCAAGAATCTAGGCTGACACTATCTTAGCACGTCGCAGTCTGCGATGAGCCAACCCATGAGGTCTTTGAGGAAGCGGATTTGGTGGGCTATATATGTATCTCACCACCAGTTGCCCTTTTTTTGGACCAGGCTAACCCAGCTAGACGCGTGACCGACATATCTCCGCGGCCTTCGGCCGACCCTGTCGCATACGGGATGAGGACTGTGATATTGAAGCCCTCGATGAGGATGACTTCAAGTTTGACGATGACTATGACCAGACACTCATCCCCGTCCAAACGAGTTTTCATATCGCTTATACCCTTGAAATGACAAAATTAGCTACAATACGTTAGTCGTCACCGACCCACTGGCCTCGACCCCTCAGAAAGCTTACGATACCTATCTAGTTAGCGATATCCTTATTGGCGAGTTCAGCCCTCGTCATGCTGCGCTGGACAAATATGATACAGAAAGGCTGGCCGGAAGACTTGCCCAGTGGGAATCCCAGTTGCCGGATCAGCTCCGAAAGACGACTCCGGATGGATCATTGGGTGCACCTTTCTGGGCGTCCATGATACATTTCAGCTATCAGTACGTGTGCAACCCTCCTCCATCTGTCAAACATACACTAATCAAATATAGAAATTGCCTCATCCTTCTGTTTCGACCCAAGGCTATCGAAAATCTGTCTCCAGCAGAAGCCGAATGTGATGTCCGAGGGCGCATGGCTGCTGACACCATCACCCGTCTTGCAGAGGACCTTTTAGGTGCCGGGATGATTAAAGAAGGGCTAGTCCACCTGTAAGATTATGGCCATTCCTGTGCTGTAAGAAGGATCCTTCCTCCTAATACATTACATAGCGTCCCAGCTCTGTTCTCTGCGCTCTCCGTCCACACCATCGTCATCTGCCGGAAGGACCCCATACGCCGTCAACTGGCCGAGAACAAGTCGCGACAATGTCTACTAGCATTGAGCGAGCTGGCCAGCAGTTGGCCTGTCAAGATCTGGATTGCTAAGGCATTTGTAAACCTGTTGCGAAGGCTGACAGTGCAGGGCTCTGCCTCGATAATCAATGTGTCTTCCAGCATTGCGAACAATCGTAGCAACGTAGCGCTCTCGGCTCGTTCGAATTCATCGGGGCTATACCAAGCTCATAGTCCTAAACAAGCTATATTGGAGAGCTCCAACAGAAATGAGCTGATGAACCAGACTAGCTACATTCACGGACCACAGCTTCGAGATCTTTATCCATCTGGGAATTTGCCACAAGGAGCTGATCACATTGTGTATAGTTCCTTCTGGGCAAGTTACCTTGACAATACGTTCGACATGGACCTACTTCTACATAACAGTTTAGGGCCAACGCTAGCTGGGCCATTAGACGGTTTGGATGCGGCGGAGGGTGCAAATTCTCTACAATTTTAGAGTACGATTCTTTCACCATTTGTTCGCATGTATTTTATGTAAATCATATATTACACATGGAATTCAAAATCTTATGGTGCTCTGAGGGCAGGGTGACCACCTATTCTCCTACTTGTAGCGGATGTGAGGAGGTGTGATGGAAACGAACCACGTTCTCTAGCAACGTTCTAGAATGGTATAACGTTGGCTAACGTAATATTAGTAGACCGGGGCCTCGTTATATCCCTTTGGCTCGACATTGCCCTATCAAGCAGGTATATCCTCCCGATACTGTGCACCCAGGGCACAGGAGAGTCTCCGGAGGTGTTTAACCTTCAACCATATGCAACAGCTTCTACAACGCCAAGCATTTCTGTGAGTAGAAGGTTCATTCCACAGCCACTCTTGGTACTTCTGTCGTCGCGCAACGGGATGGACTCTTTAACTGGCATTGCGCCGCTCTGCACTGCGTCCACTGCCTCCCTCCTCAATATGACCACACATAGGTGAAGGACAACTAGATGCCGACAAAAGCCGAAGTCGGTACCTCATTTAGCGAATCTGCTCTTGGCTCTCAGCGCCTTTCCGTATTTAAAAAATAGCCACGGGAACGGCATCATGACAACTGTCAGAAATGCCAAAAGACTAGTTGCCCACTGATAGCCGAGCTTGTCGTACATTTGGTTACCAAATAAGGGAAATGCAGCTATTCAAACTATCGTCAGCAAATGAGGACAATAGACTTTCGCTGGCGAGGCCTGGTTGCGACTGAGACCTACCGGCAAATATGCACCTAGCGAACCCATTAGCGGCCAACGCGGATGCCGCGTATTGTGGGTAGGCGTCGACCTATGTTCACCGTGAGCATTTCGTGTCTTCTGGATCCCCAAGGAAGGAATGGGGTGGGAGCGTATGAACATACAAGAAATGTAAAGATGCCAGTGAATTCCAGCAACAACCTGCTCCGTTATATTAGGTTAGCGCAAAACCATGTAAAAGAATTGCGCAATCTCTCCCCCGAATCGGCAGACATGATAGACACATGCCACCAATTAGGGAACAGGCGCAAGGTGAGAGATTGGGGCCTGCCAGGTACTTACCCTGCTCCAAAGACAGCCGATCCGATGATGGGTACTATCCAATGAATACTCGCATAGGTAGTCCAACCGAACCAAAAAAGTCCAATAGGTATAAGAATGCCACCGAGAATAGCTGGAGGAAGTCGGTATTCCGGCTCACTGCATCCAGGTTCTTTGGCATTGTTGTTCATCAGACGTCCCCGAATGTTGGACCAGACCGGGGTCATCGCGGCAGCGAGAGCCATCCCAACGATCATTCCCACAAACGTCAGTCCGCCCTGCCAAAGGTTCATGTCATATGTTGTGCGGAATACCCTGGGAAAGGTGCCGAAGAATAAGTAGAGAATGCCTAATAAGATGGCCGAGTAGATGTCCAAACAGAGGCACATGGGTTCTAGGAAGAGAAGCTGGAATGGTCGCAGAAGTGAGACTGCGATGATCTGTCCCCATGTCTTGGTGTCATTCTCCATCGGTGCTCTATAATTATCGTTTCCGGTTTCTTGGCGAAGTGCTCTCGCCTTAGCACGTAGTAGGATGGGGTGGTATGTCTCTGGTACGAAGAATATCATGCAGACGAGCAGCACAGCGGACCAAATAATCATGATATAATAGGTCCACCTCCAATCTAAGTATGAGTTGATGAAGCCCCCCAGCACAGGGCCCAAGGATGGTCCAATGAATGGTACGCATGAGACAAGCGCCATCGGTGCTTGAATCTGATTCTGTGAGAATACGTCTCCAGCAGTTCCTCCCGCGACGGAAAGGAAGGTGCCTCCAGTGAAGCCATTGAAGAACCGAGAAACGATAATCGTCTGGACATTCTTCGCCACGGCCGATGGGATTGTCCAAATTAGAAACATCGACCACGCCACCAGATAGATGGGTCTGCGTCCGTAGTGCTCGCTCAGCGGCCCAGTGAGCAGTGGCCCTGTACCAATCCCCAAGACGAAGGACGACAGCCCTACGGTGGAGATCAGCGTGGACGTGTTAAACTCAGGATCCATTTGCGTATATGTAGTTGTGTAGATTGAGCTAGTGCAAGTCCTACATCCACCTGATCAGCTATCATCTTGGCAAACTAACACGGTGAACACCGAGCAATAGAAGAGAGGCCTACACGCATAAGGTTCCGGTACAGACAATCAACACAATCACCCATTTTCTCGCCGACGACATGCTTCGAGGGCACATCGGGTCTTGGTCACTATCGAAAGAGACCTCGAATGGGCCATGGTCCGTTCTTGCAAGGCGTCCCTCCACACGAGCATCGGGGTACTCTCCGCACTTTTCCTGCGAAAAGCGTCCGCTTCCCCAACTGCTCCTAGAATTGGAATGGTTAAATGTAGCGCTTGTGGATGACGTTGGAGGGGATAGATTCGAGCATCCATGTCCTTCTTTCTCGAGAGCCAATATGTGTTGGTCGTTGGCTTCATGGGTGGCGCCAGAAACTCTTGCCTGACCGGCCATCTCCGTTATCGTATCCATATCCAGGGCGTTGGGTATATGGCGAAGATATCATCAGACGATTGATTCCAACTTTTGAGCCTGTTGTTTATGTATTATCCGCCCAGAGTTATGATTTACAAACATTACTTTAATGTCAGGATCATTGGAGGCGACCCAAATTAGAAATAGAAAAACAATGAACGAGTGAGTGATAGAGCCTGATCTCCATATGAAGTACAGAAAGCGAAACAGGTGACGAAGAAGCCTCGGTGTTTCCCAGGAAAATGTGGAGCACAACCGAGATTGTGATAAACACTTTTCTCTCTACTGAAATGCCGAGAAGATCCTACAATTACGTAACAATTCTGATGTCTGTTGCTGCTGTCGACGGGGGTCTACATGAGGTCGCGAGTAACACCAGTCAGCCCTACAGTCCCGGCAAGCCGAGCCTGGAATAGCATCATACTGGTGAATATTTCTTTCTCTTCGTGGACGCGCAGAGTCAATTACCCCGCCAGCTGTTACTACTAAAGGGACATATTTTATGCAACGGATTGTTATGTCCTCCTTACGTAAGGCATAAAAATCTAACTATGAGTTAACGTCATCGGACGAAGTGAGGTATTGGCGGATTCTCGAGGATACCCTATGCTACCCATATCCATAAATCGTGAAGTTGATCCTCTGTAACATTAGGACACTTAGTCAATACTCTCACTGTGCGAGTATTGCGAAAGTTTCGCCCTTATTCTTCCGAGCGCTCGAATACTCTCGCCTAGGTTAACAGTATATGACTTCGCCCCACTTGGCTCCCGGCTAAAAGCATCTCATCTACCGAATACATGGTGGGACCCTTAGGATAAACTGTACAGAAAGATCTCGGATATGTCGTGGGAGGGCGCGCCAAGTCTGGAACATATATGGTCAACTCGGCCGACTGGAGACCATTGAATTTGATAACGCGCCCTGATCCACCTTTAGCTCCGAGTCTCCTAACAAAAGTATTTATGCGAACCTGTGGACAGCGGGGTACTGGATCACTTCAAATTAGCCAGTATGAGCGAATTTCATCGAGAGGAGCATATCGATGCAGCCATATTACAGCATCACTTGTCAAGGCGAGCCGCAGAGAACTTCGAGCACCGAGATGTCTGGGGTCCACGAGAAAAGTCCATGGCCAATCCCTGGTCACCAGAAAACCCCGATGGGACGTAGGTTCATCTGTTGCCAATTGGTCTGCATCTCGTAAGAATATGTTCTGACTGAAAGTGAAGCATCATACTTCGCCTCGCGGAGAATAGCCTTCTGCATGACGAGATGGGGCAGTTGATAAAGGAGCAGGTTGACAATCCCGTCTCATAGTTCTCTAGTTACACTTTCTCATTTCTCGTGGGCATAGATCACTGTCCTTCCCTTGAGTCACCTCACCTATAGCACAGGCCCACGAGGATCACGTCGTCTCCGGCGTGCCGCAGCTGCATTCTTGAATGAGGACTTTCACTCTCGCCAGACCATTACGCAGGACAACATCTTTATCACACCTGGCTTGGCCAGTGCCGTTGACGCCTTGACCTGGGCCATTTGCAACGACGGAGATGGCATTCTCATTCCACAGCCATATTACAATGGATTCGGCTTTGACGTTTTGAACCGAAGTAATGGTCAGGTGATTGGGGTTAAGTACGAAGGCGTCGAGGGATTCTCTGGCTTGGATGATTTGTTCCGTCCTGATGTAAACAAGCGGGCTCTGGAAGTCGCTCTTCGTGAAGCTAAAAAGAACGGTATAGCCATCCGTGCTCTTATAATCTCCAAGTAGGTGACCCCGTACTAAAGAAAAGTAGTAAACTGTCTACTAACAACAACATCTTAAGCCCACACAACCCTCTGGGACGATGCTATGTCTGTACTCCCTCTCGCAAACCTGACTCGTGAACTGTATATCCGCTAACTATTATCCAGCCTCCCGAGACTCTTCTAGAATTCGCCTCTTTCTGTGGTAGAAACCAACTGCATTTCATCTCCGATGAGATCTACGCAAAATCAGTCTTCCCCAATACTGCGATGCCGAGCCCGACGCCGTTCGTGTCTACTCTCTCTCTTGACCTTCGCGATGTCATTGACCCAACCCTGATGCACGTACTTTACGGGGCAAGCAAAGACTTTTGCGCGAACGGATTGCGTCTCGGAGTCGTGTGTACCAATAATGAGGGGTTAATTGGCGCAATGTCTAGCATTAGGTTCGTACTGAAAGCTGTACCTTTTCCTGGAGGCTATTCCTGATGCGTGATGGGTATAGTATGTTCTCTTGGTCACCGCATGTCCTTCAGGACGTCTGGGCAGCCATGCTAGAGGACAGACAAAGACTGGAAGACTTTATGCTCAGAAAGTGCGAACTCATGGCAGAGAACTATCGTATCGCAACGTCCTTCTTCCGGGAGCATGGGATTAGCTACTACGAGATGTGAGTTCCGTTGTGTGTAATCTTGGGCCTAGGCTAATATCCTCAAGGAATGCTGGGCTCTTCATCTGGGTCGATCTACGACATCTGCTTATACCCAAATCGTTGCGGCAACAGAACGATTATAGCGAACTGAGAATGACTTCTCCTGACGCTAGCATATATAAACAACGTGAGCAGAAGTTTGCAGATATATGCGCTCAGAATGGCCTTATGATTACCCCCGGTAGTGTATATGCGGCGGAGGAGTTTGGGTGGTTCCGGCTTACATTTACGGTGGGGAAGAATGCGTTAGAGGAAGGGCTGAAGCGTCTTGAAAAGTCTTTGAGCGCAGCTGAAACGGATATGCAGTTTTAAATTAGGGCTGTTTGAATTTTAAACTATAACAGGGAAAGGCCGGCAAAGCCGCTGGAAATGTTCGTCACCTGATGGATGTACTAGTAAATGGGATAGTTATTCTGTCACCACGATAACGCCCACATCCAGGGCCAGCTCTCCATGCTATGAATGTCTGCTTCACGGCCAAAACCTCTGATAGCAAATAGACTTAACGCCAACACATTCTTCCGGCATAGGCTCCTCACTTGGGGCTATTTGCCGAAAGATATAGCGTTCCCCTTGGAGTGCGGCCTTGATCCAGTATTTCCGCTCCACCTGCTTCGACTTATCAAACAGTGATACAAGCTTTCCTGCAACGCCGCTCCTCTGAGGTGTAGGCACGATTGTTTCCTGGACAATAAAATAGCATTCTTTGACGAAGAGCTCATTCTTTGGGTGCATTAAATACACAAGGGCCTTGCCCTCGCATGCGCGTAGCTCTCGTAGATACGGCCCCCGAAGTTCGATGACTGCGATGGGCTGGAAACGCCCATCTGGGGTCCACAACTCCATACGTTGCTCACCCATTTTTAAGAGGAAGGAGTAGAACGCGAAGAAATCTGTTCCTGGGTGCATGAACGATAGATCCTTGTTCAGCAGGTCATCTAGTGTCTTGACCATGGAGTCGTCGCATCCCCCTCTGTAATGCCAGTCTGGATAGAAAAACACGTCAATTGTCTCTGCCACGGATTCCGCGTATGACGGAGGATGCAATTCTGTTGTTGTTGGAGTGGGTGGTGGTCCCATCTGCGATTGCTGCTCCATTTTGCCGACAATAAATGGGACCATGAATGGGATAGTAAAAAAGCAGGACGTATCCTAAAGTTAGACGTGGGGGAGAAAAGGTGGACTAGTAAAGGCATGCTTGAGTCCTACATATTAGCTAGAACTCTATTTAAGATGTTGTAACTAAGTCTTATTGTCCCCTATCACAACTCTTTGTTTGTTCATATTTGTGGTCGACTTTTGGTTCATAGTGTCAATTATACGGGAACCATACCACGTGTGGTAAATTGCCCAACCATGGTGCTTACCAGTGACCGTCGAGATTGCAGTAACGGAATACTGTACATCGCACTCTCAGCCAAGCTATGACAGTTGGAGTAGTGGAAGATATAATTAACTCACTGTATCATGTCTTTGTTTAGACAAAGATGAAGGAGATTCACAAGGTCCGAGCCACGACAAGGTGGTGTCTTTGTCTCTTGCTTTATATCTGGCTTTTAGTCCTTGACAGTATATGTATATACGCAGTACTTTCCAAGGCTTTCACCCTGGAAAATGCACAAGTGTCTTCATTACTGCTCCCATTTGGAGGTGGGACACATAAGAACCTCTCTGAGCCTCTGAACGCAAGCGTTTACACTTCGCACGACCTCAGCCTCTGACCCTTGGAAGGCATTGATGGAGGAGTAGTCGTATTCATCTTTGAATATACACTACCACAAGAGGTTAAGGTACGCCATCTCGAAAGACTTCAAGGTATGTGGGGATTTGACCGTCTAAGCCTTTGACAAGGGCAAATTCATCTGCGTTGTCTCGTGAGTACTTAGTAGCAAGCCAGGGTGGGAAGGTGGAGATCAGAGGGCCTCGGCCTAAGTGTTGAAGTACCCGAAGCTGGTGAACTGGGTGAATTCGCATTCTGCATTCGATACCGTGAAAAAGAAGCTTCAGTTAGGACAAACACAGGGAGCCGAATAAGAGTTTAATGCTATCATGCACCACAACTGGTGAACGATCGCTTTTTGTAAGTTTCAAGGCTGGAATATCGAAGCATCATGCGTTATTATTGATTACTCTAGATACTTGGAGACCAGGCAGCAAGATCCAGGTTTTGATTGCTTAATTAATTAGACAAGCACGTGCTCGCACTGCGCTAAAATGAACTTCACCGACAGAAGCACCAAGAATACCCTGGTAGCTCCTCACCCAAATCCCAAGCTTCAGCGTAGAAATGGCTTTCAACGTCCTCACGACTAACGCGGTCGACCTGCAGCGGCTACTCGAAGAGAACAAGATCACGAGCGCCGAAACTGTGGCAGAGTACTTAGCACAAATCGATCGCTATGAGCCTGTACTCAATGCGCTTATCTCGCCTGCCCCGCGGGACAAGGTCCTCAAAATCGCCCAGGCTCGGGATGAGGAGCGCCAGAAAGGGCAAATCCGGGGCCCGTTTCACGGAATTCCTATAATTTTGAAAGATAGCTTTGTCACAGCGTCAGAGCTGGGCATGAGCACCACAGCTGGATCATATGCGTTCATCGGAGCCAAGGCGTCAAAGAACGGAGCCATCACTCAACGGCTGATTGACGCTGGCTTGATTATCTTGGGGAAGGCGAACATGACTGTCAGTTGACGTTTAGCTTCCTGGGAACATTATTGGATTGACCGTTGTTATAGGAGTTCGCTGGTATGAAAATGACCATGATGATGCCCGGTTTGTCTGCTCATGGTGGTCAAACTCTATCGCCGTATGTTGGGAAGATAGAGGATGATGAGAAGATACTTGGCCACTCAGTGAGTAGATGGAATTACAGATGTTCTTCATCTGTACTGATCCTAAGCAGGCTCCTGGGGGTTCATCCACTGGTTCTGCGGTCGCTGTAGCCGCTGGGTTTAGCCCTCTTGCAATAGGCACTGAGACCATAGGTTCCATTGTGACTCCGTCAACACGCGCCGGTTTGTATGCGCTCAAGCCTACTACCGGGGTCCAGGATACTACTGGGTTATACACCATGACGGAGTTTTTCGATAGCCCGGGTCCTATGGCAAAATCAGCAGCTGACGTTCGCGTTCTTTCTGAGATTCTGCTCGGTCGCCTGTTTAACTCTGTCCATTTGAGTTCCTGGGAAGGTCTTTCGCTAGGCTTCCTGGACCCAAAAGAGTGGAGCATGTCGCCGGACTTTTGTACGCAATTTGAGGGCACCGCAGAGCAAATGGTACGTCACTATCGCTTCATCAGTTCAGAGCTCTAACCGTTGATTCTAGGTAGATGAGTACGAGGAGACGGTATCCGCTCTACGGAACGGAGGCTGTCCTCTTAAATACCCAATTTACTGCAAGGATCCCTCAGTTTTACCGAATACTACATTGCCAGTCGCATGTAGGTTGTTGCAGTTTAAGATGAAGTCAGGATGGCTAACCACTCCCAGATTGGGACTTCAAAAATGTCTGCATCCCTAATTTTATTCGCTCGTTTGATGAGTGCGCTGTAACAAGCGTTGCAGATATCGTCAAGTTCAATAAAGAAAACAGCGAAAAAGCCCTCCCAGCTCGTAGGTTGACAGAGAGGGCACAATGTCACGGTCTTCGTGAAGAGTTACTAACACAACGCAGCATTCGTCGAGCAGAATGATCTGGAAGGGGCAATGAACACTGTTGAAGAAAAGAAGCATATAGATGAGATGAAACAGAACCTTCGCAGGGCCGCGAGAGATATTCTGGATGACCTATTTGATAAGGAAAGAATCAATATCCTGGCAGCTCCGGGAGACTCCCCACTATGTGTTCATGCTTCTGCTGCAGGTAACAACTCATCATGTGTACGTTTGACTCGTCGTTGCTAATATAATCAGGGTATCCTGTCGCCACGGTCCCGATAGGACAACTTGGCTACAATGGCCGGCCGTTCGGTCTATGTCTGGTGGCTAGGGCGGATGAAGAGGGGACTCTATTGCAGTTCATGGGAGCGTATGAAAAGATTGCTAAGCCTCGCCCGCTTCCGAAATTCTGAATCACCGTGGTAGGAATTGCCAGGGATGATAACTGGCAAGACGAATGCCATATCTTATCTACGGGAATGGCCGGTAGAAGACCTCAGGTGGGTAAGGTTATGCTGATAGGTTATCAGCCTAGAATGTAGAAGCAGGGGAAAGAAATGCAACAAATTGAATTATACTCATTCATAAAGGGTTTCTCAGACAGTAATTAAGATATATAGGTGCATCGTGGTATCAATATATTCAGCAATGCGTTGCATCACGGGGATTGAATCCGGGGCTTACACAGATCTAACGCAATAACGGAATGGTTTAGTATAAAACAAGAAATATTCTTATCAACAGATTCAAGTATTATGATAATAGGCCAACCTTTTAGCCAACACTATTTGCTAATTCCAAAAGCCCAGCTCAGTCAAGCTGCTGGACCTCTCGCATATAGTTCCATTGACCTAGCGAGGAAGGATCTAGTGCCAACATCGGCAGCCTCTCAGAGTGACGACACGACGATAATGGTTTCAAGTGGGATATTTAGCAACGTAAGTATCCTATGGGATGCAATTTCCTTGTTGTGGGTTATAACATAGCCCCTTGTCTTTGCTACTATTGTACATACCCATAGGCTAGGTTACATTCTCTAGAATATACGCAGCACGGCGGGTGGGGATAATCAACCAGACAGAGCCAATCCCCCCTCATTCAGTTACGGAATTAAACATCTCAGGTGGGTCATTATTGTCCGTTGATCCCACCTCTTCGAGGATTCCTCAGTGGAACAGCATTGTGGTTGGCCTGGTCGTCTATGCTCGCGTCTCGGCGTGGGGGCCTTACATTGTACACTATGTCAATTGAACAACATTTGAACAACATTGCTGCATTGATATAGGCATTGCCGATACATTTAATATAAATATGCGTACACATTCTACCACTTCCCTGTTAATATCATCTCTAATTAATTCCAACCGCTCTTTAGCTGATCCAAACCAGACGACCAGATTATCCCGCATCATTAATAACCCTAATGTCAAGCTCAACAAGAGACTACATTATAATCGGCGGGGGGCTTGCCGGATGCGCACTTGCCAGCCGGCTTTATGAAAAGAACAACTCACTCAATATTCTGATCATAGAGGCCGGAGCCAACGCCGTCGGCCACCCCCTCACCGGCGCCCCCCTTGCGTGTTTCGGTGCCCATCATTCCCCACTCGACTGGGCCTATACCACGGTGCCCCAGAAGCATCTTAACGGCAGGGAATGCTACAACAGCGCAGGCAAGGCTCTTGGGGGTAGTTCTGCCACGAACTATGGCACCTGGACTCGCGGAAATGCCGCCGACTATGACCGCTGGGCGAAGTTAGTCGGCGATGATGGATGGAGTTACGAAGCCTACTGCCATACTTCAAGAAAACCGAAACACATTTCGATGGCACAAAGGCAGATCCGGCCACGCATGGTACCGATGGACCAATACACAATACTTCGGTCTCTGCTAGTAGCTCCGACAGGAAGTACGGTTTGAGGGAGCCGCTGCGGGAGGCTTGGGCCAGGGTCGGCGTGGAATATGTTGCAGACGCAAACGCGGGATCGCCGCTAGGGCTGGGGGAGTTAGTGGAGAATTGGCGTGCAGGCCAACGACAGATTTCGAGTGAAGCATATGGTACACTTAACTGTTCCGGAATTACCGTCATGACCGACACAATGGTAAAGCGAATTATTCTCGAGGATCGGGATGACAAGAAAGAGAAAGTCGCAACGGGAGTAGAAGTGGTAGGCGGAGAGAAACACTTCGCATCACGAGAAGTCATTGTCTCGGCTGGTGCATACCGCACACCCCAGGTGCTGATGCTCTCTGGGATTGGGCCGGCAGAGATCGCAAACCACAATATCACGCAACTGGTCAATGCGCCGGGCGTCGGCTGCAACCTTCATGACCACTTCTCGTTTGTGCGGTGGTGGAAACTGCGGCATCCGGAGCAAGGCTTGTCCATGGGTACTCCGTTATGGAAGAACCCAGCGTATGCGTTGGGTCTCCCGGCTGACTGGAACGTCACTGTGCAAGCTCCACGTGAGGTGTTGATGGAAGCATTGACTGCTGACGGTGAGAGCGAATCGGCTCTTGGGAAGCATCCTTATCTTGCCCCTGATTCCTGCCATGCTGAGATTCTCATTGTTTACGCCCCTGCTGGTGCAGCTGTTGCGGGTGCTGATATCCCGATGGATGGCACCCATGTTGCGTCAGCTATTCTAGACATGGTCCCCACTTCGCGAGGCCATGTTACCATAGCGTCGAGCGACCCAATGATCCCGCCTCTTATCGATCCAAACTATTATTCCACTGAAGTTGATCGTGCGATCCTTCGGGCCGCCATTCGACAGGTAACACAAGTTCTCCGAGAGACACCTGAAGGCAGAGCGATGATCGAATGTGAGACGCCGCATCCTGGGTTTAACCCGCTAGGGCCCGACGCCACAGACGAAGAAATCGACGCTCAAGTAAAACAAGGGGGGAATACATTCTATCATCCCGCTGGCACAGCGTCAATGGGGAATGTTGTAGATACTGAGCTCCGTGTGAAAGGCGTCGAAGGTCTCAGGGTAGTCGATGCCAGCATCATACCTTTGCCGATAACAGCACACTACCAGGCAGTTGTATATGCAATTGCAGAGAAAGCTGCAGATATTATATCGAACTAACACAAAACTTAGTAGTCAATTACACTAGTGAACGCAGTTAATTAGTTCATGAGTTCCAATCAATATTGAATAGCTACAGTAAATAGAGACGGGATATTGGGTTACTAGACTAGAAGAGTGCAACACATTAACAATTGAAAAAAAAAGAAAAACAGGACAACAGGCATCACGCATCCAGAGGCTGTTAGTCGACCTTTTAGATGCCTAAAAGTAGGAGACTTTCCATTCCGATGTTGAAGCAAAAACAAAAAGAGAAGCCGAACGCGGGGGTCGAACCCGCAACCTTGAGATACCGTGACGACTAAGAGTCTCACGCTCTACCGATTGAGCTAGCCCGGCTACTTGTTGAAGAACGCATTCTTTTTTGACTACATAAGGCAAAACTAAAGAAAAGCCTACTACGTGGATGGACAAGTGCATTCCTAGTAGATATTCATCCCCATCCGCATGCCCTACCATACCTACATATAGATTGATGGATGGGGTATATTTTGTCCCTTAATGCTGCAATAAGGCTGTCGATAGCTTATTCATGCGTCAAATGCATGCCTTTGTTGCATACTGGTGTGAACAGTGTTGTACCTAGTACTCTTCGCTTCCGTGAATTATATATTTTGCTACCAAGGACACATTCATCTTTTTTATACATTCCCGGAGGGGCTCAATCTTATCAGGCTAGTGGATGCTTGAATACTTGCATAACACCCAGTTACCCATATTCAATAAGTCCTGTAATATTGTCTTAGAAGCTTCTAAATGTCTATGATGCGATGTGACTGTTTGCTTTCGTGCTCCATTCCCTTCCAAGGCCAATACCAGGGTTCATCCGCCACCAGGTCGGCAACACCATCAATAGCTTTTAGTAAATCAGAAACTCGATATCTTTGAAGGCCATGAACCTTGGAATCACGAAATGTGATACCATTCATAATTAAAATTACTGCAATCTTCGGGCGACTTCGCCTCGCCTGGGTGTTGCGACGGAGGTACTATGTCGGCTTTATACCATTTACCAGCTAACACCCGGTCTCATTCATTTACCGACCTGGGAGTATTTCATATGCACAGTACATCATTACACACAAACATAGCAACTAATCGGTGCAGCAACAGTACCATAGCAGTACAAATCCATAATGAAATACCTCGGCATGGGAACATAGTTTTTCCCCACCAGTTTCGCGCCCCGCATGGATGCGCCCAGCCCAGCAACCCAGAACCGATCCGCAGCAATTATTTACCAGCCACGATGAAGACCTTACTAGATGTTGTAAAGGATTGCGATAAGTAAGCGCTCTCCAAAAAACCCCGTATAACCCCGCTAAAAGACCGCTCAGCTTTCCTTACGCGGAAGATACAGATTCCGCACACGCGCAAGTACAGGCCTCGCTATGGAAATTCTATCTCCCGGAGGATCCTAGACCGCACGGTCTCTTGATTGATGCTGTGGTAGAGCAGATGCCATGGACAGCAGACTTCCGAGTGCTTCCTGCCCCGCAAAAAGAAGTGCACCTTATTCGGCCCGAGGGCGCCAACTGGCAAGAGAAATGCACGGAGATCATTGAGCGACAGGCGGAACTTGCGCGTGAGAAAGGAGTGTTTCCTAAATTCGGGAAGAAAAGACACGAGCAGTTCCCGATTGTCGGTGCTAGGTTTCCGGTGGGGGTTGATCGAAGTTTCTTCTCGTATCTTGGTATCATAGGCCGTGGGGTACATATGACAGTGTACACCCGGACGGAGGCTGGGTTGAAGTTCTGGATTCCGCAGCGACAGTTTAACAAGGCCTATGGGGGTATGTTGGATAATACTGTGGCGGGTGGGATGGCCATCGGAGAGCAGCCGTTAGAGTGTTTGGTTCGCGAGGCATCGGAGGAGGCCGCGATGTCTGAGGATCTGATTAGGACGAAGGCACGGGCTGCAGGTACCGTGAACTGGATCGGTATCAGCGATGAGCGATCTGGTGGTCACCCGGGGCTCATCAACCCGGGGGTGCTCTATGTTTATGACCTTGAAGTCGACTCAGATATGGTGTTCAAAGTGGTCGACGACGATGTATATGCCTTTCATCTGATGGACACGAATGAAGTGAAAAAGGCCATGTTGGACGGTAAATTCAAACCGGCCAGCGCGAGTGTTCTCGTGGATTTCTTCGTTCGGCATGGTCTTATTACAGCCGAGGCCGAGGAGGAGTATACGGAGATCGTGTCCCGACTACATCGGAAACTTCCTTTGCCAACTAGTTCACATTGACAGAAAAAATGGGATTTCCCCGCATCATGATCGATATTTAGTGCTTGGGTGGTTGAACGCTTGTATTAGTACATAGGCCAGTACTTAATTAAGGACGCACTACGGAGTACATTGGGCGCTGGGGCTAAGCTGGGTTAGACGCCCTGCATGGATTTCATTGTACTAGAAAGTGGCCGGCGTCTCACGAAACAATGAAAAGGCTTTTTATAGCACCGAACACGAAAAATTCCCGCGATGGGACGAGTGGAGCGACCGCGCATCCCGTCGGAAGTGGAGGCTGGTCACCAATCACTGCGCCAGGTGAAATGCTTAGCTGTTGGGATCATGAATCCTGCCCCGCTCAATGTCCTGGATTCACTCCGTTGCTTACTGTTCCTTTCGTGCTCGAGACTAATAAATTCCAACGATGACCTGCTTTTATCATCGGCTCTCCTTGTTTCTGAATAGCACTTCTGACAACATAGCCTAATTAACTACACTTCGACCCCAGAAAAAGGTCCGAGAACCATAGACAGCATACACCATCGCATCTCACCATGTCTCAAACACCAAACAAGCAAAACTCAATATGGAACAAAACAAAAGTCATCGGCAAGAAAAACTTCGACAAAGCCTGGGATGCGCTGGACAAACTCGGGCCCCCCGTTAACCGCCTGACGAACAAGCTCGGCTCCGAGGCCTTCTGGCCCATGACACTAGACAAGGAAAGCGAGAAGGTAGCGCGCATTCTGCAGAGCTTCTGCAAAGATGGTGTCTATGTCGAGGAATCCAAAGAAAGCACGCCTGCACCGGAAACGAAAGGAGGAAAACAGGTGATCGACAAGCCGCGAGGGAAGCCGAAAGTGTTAAAGAAGATCCCGACCGAAGTGATCCGACAGGCGAAGGGATTGGCTATCTTTACGGCTATGCGAACGGGGCTATGGTTCAGCGGTGCGGGCGGTAGTGGTGTTCTTATTAGCAGAGTGCCGGAAACCGGTGAATGGAGTGCGCCGTCGGGGATCCTGCTGCATACCGCCGGGTTGGGATTTCTGGTCGGCGCAGACATCTACGATTGTGTGATGGTGATCAATACGTATGAGGCACTGGAGGCATTCACGAAGGTCCGGGTTACTCTCGGAAGCGAGATCAGTGTTGCTGCTGGGCCAGTTGGAATCGGCGGTGTGCTAGAGTCGGAGGTTCATAAACGGCGAGCCCCGATCTGGACCTATGTCAAGAGCCGAGGATTTTATGCGGGTGTGCAGATTGACGGAACGGTCGTCATCGAGCGTATAGATGAGAACGAACGATTCTACGGTCGAAAGCTGCCCGCCAAGGAAATCCTGAGTGGCCACGCCTGGGTCGACAATCCCTCGGTGAAAATGCTGACGCACACGGTTCGAGCGGCGCAAGGTGATGTACAGTTCGAGCAGACACCCTCGGGGGTTAACATGGCAACGGGGCCAAGTCCCAGCGATCTTCCATATGGAGATTTTGCGGGTACTCAGATGGATCAGGTTCAACCGCCTCCAAATCAAGGTCCACAGTACAATGCTGGACCAGAGTACAATTCTGGACTGCAGCACAATGCTGGAACACAGCCTACTGCTAGACCACAGTACAATCCTGGATCAGAGTATAATACTGGACCACAACCCAATGCTGGACTGCAGCAGAACCCTGGACCACAGTACAATGTTGGTTCAGACTACAATGCTGGGCCACAATTCAACCCTGGACCACCATCCAACGCTGGATCGCAGCATAATGTTGGACCGCAACCCAATGCTGGATCACAGTACAATGCTGGCCCAGAGTATAATGTTGGATCGCAGTATAATGCTGGGCCACAATACAATGCTGGAACACAACCTAATACTGGATCGGAGTACAATCCTGGACCGCAACCTAATCCTGGCCCAGGGTACAATACTGGGCAACAGTCCAATGCTTGGCCACAGCACAACCCTGGATCACAATCCAATGCTGGACCACAATCCAATGCTGGGCCACCATACAATACCGGACAAGCTGGGCCTGCCAGATACTATTGATTGCTATATTAGAAGGTGCTTAAGTTACTGTGAATGAATATTCGGAATCCTGTTTTTTATGAGACTTAGCTATTAGTACAATTGCGCACCCGGCCAACGAGACATACCTTTGCCATATCTGAAAATCTTATATTCGTATTACTTTTTTTTCTTAATGCGTTGATATATAGTTTCTCTCATGAAGATGCCGCGACCAGAGGAACTCGATGTGATTGTAGACTGCCCTCATTGGCAAGCATATCCACAGATAGACATAACTATAGCACACAACTGAACTTTGGGGCAAATGTGAGGATAGTAAATAATATAAACTGCACCTGAAGATCGCAAGTTCATCCATACTATATCATGTCCATGCTCCGGTGGACTGGCAACACGTGATATTATGGTCAGTATGTACAGTATGATCACTAACACGAGTCAAGCATATCAACAAGAGCACCCTTCTCATCCTGGGTAATAGTCAAGTTATACACCGACTTGACTCGGACCCACATCTTTGCATAGGTGCAATAATACGAAGCTACACAGTTAGCGCGCGACCAGATAGAATATTGGGACGAACTTACTCAGAGGAGGCTTCCACTCCTCCGGCCCGTCATCACTCTTCTGGCGGTTAACAGTGCCTGTCACTGCAATTAGTTGTGGATTCGTCAAGTCATTGGCAAACGCTTGACGTTGGTCCGTGGTCCAGTCTGCCGCTCCGCTCTGAAATTTCATTAACCATTAGATCAGAATCCATCCATGTATGGACGATGACAGACTTACCTTCCAGGCATTGGAAAGCGGAACAACATGGTCGATGTCTAGATCGCTTTTATCCGTCCAAGTCTTTCCATCGTACGGCGACAACCATGTCCCACTAGTGGGAGAGCAAGAATCGTTCTTCTCGACATTCTCGCCATCGCGAGCAAGCACGACCTCACGCGTATCACATGAACTTTCGTAAAGTGGTTTAGCACATTTATCCCCCAAAAATAGATGACAATACATACTGGCCCTGGCTGATCCAATGGGGAAACTTATCCCGGTCATAGCCATCCTGCGGGCCCTGCGCAGCGACTGTTAATCCAGCCAATTCATTCTCAGCCGTGGTTGTCGATGGGATTCCCGGGGGAGTTGGGACAGGCGCCGGGGCAGGGATGGCATTCACGAAGGGCAGGGCCAAGAGGGCCAGGACGGTGAAATGGACCATGATGCGACTGGACCAAGGAAGATTGTTGGATATAGAAGAAACGCACTGTTTACACGCACATTGTGGCTGGCGAGCTTTTAAATATGCCCACTGCCGCGGCGATCAGCTCCATCCCTTGCATATGGCTTCATCTGCCGGGTGTAACGTGCTCAAGCCAGTCAAAACACCATGTGCCCGGCCGGGTTCTTGGCGTACATGAGCGCATGCAATACAGTAGCACACATTCTGCAATGCCGCAACGCCTTTGGCCGCTGCTAGGGGCTTGGCTAATTTAGTACCTGGACCGCCCTGACGATTCCCCAAATGGGAGGTCTTCAGGATATTGGAGCGGGGTGCTTATCAGTCCCCCTTTGCATCTCCGGTGGTTGACGACCACGCTCGGCATGGAGTAAGGCTGATTCGCCCATGGACAGGTAGAATGGGGGGGGATCATCGCTGTCAGGGTGGTCGGCGTGTTAGATATACATTGATCCGCCGGAATCCGACGGAAGAACAACAAATGAAGCCAAAGGCAGAAGATGATCACTTATTTCTTCTCATAACAATCATACATTTCATGAATTATCAGCACATGGTAATCTGTAATTTAAAGTCCCAGAGCCTTCAGGATCTCCTTTCCAACGCCCGTCGCACTGGCCGGGTTCTGCCCGGTGATCAGAGTCGCGCCGTCGGAGGTCTTCGAGACGACAACCTTCTCGCCCCACGGCTGATCGGCCTTCACAAATTGACATCCGGGGATCTTGTTCATCTCAGTCTCGACCAGGTATGGCATGAGCTCGGTCAGTTGGGCCTGGTCTTCCTCGACGTTGGTGAAGGCGGTGACGGTGGAGTTGGCGAGCAAGGGCTGGCCGGCCTTGGTCGTCGCCTTGATGAACACGGTCGGGCCGTGGCAGACGGCGGAGACGGGCTTTCCAGCGGCAGCGAAAGCCTGGATCAGGGCGAGGGAGGTCTCGTCGTAGTGGAGGTCAAACATGGCTATATAGCGGTCAGTGCGATCCCCTCCGCCAAAGTGAAAAATAAAAGGGCTCCTTACGTCCATGACCACCGACATAGAAAATCGCATCGAATTCCGAAACGCGGGGCAGGAAATCAGCCAGCTTGTGGGTATTCTTCCAGAGCGACTGCTGCTCGTTGAGGAATTTCGTCGACACAGGATCGCTCTCGAACATCTTGACCGACGAGGGGTCGAGGGGGGCCTCACCACCCTTGGGGGAGGCGACGGTGAGCTCGACCTTCTCATGAAGGACCTCCCACGGGTGGGCGAACTCGGGCTAGGACTTCGCATTAGACCTGCTCGATCGACAGGCGTACATGGCGGGGTAATATGTACATACCAGGTACCATCCGGTGGCGTGGTCGCGGTCAGGAATCTGGGCCTGAGAGGTAAGAACAACGAGCACCTTGGGAGCCATTTTGTCAGGATGTGTGAGTTGTGTGGTTTTTCTGCGCGGACTCGTCAACCCTCCAGAATTGGGTCCAGGTCGACCTTATATAGGGTACGGTGGGGCAGCTGAGATGGATGACATCACCTCCCCTGGAAGGTCCTGGACTCGTTCACATACTTTATTTTTGAGCATGATTGTTTCTAACTACTTCTGCACAATTCCACTACCATGTATGGGGTCAGGGTTTTGCAAAATACGGTTCCTAGATCAACGTGGACGAATGGTCTACGAGTTCCTGAATAACCACACAATCGACGGTGGAGGAATTGTGTAAAACACTCGAGACAGCCAATGGGACCCTTGGGGAAAAGTAAAAGCGAGCGCTAATGATTCTTATCGTGTGGAGGGACCCACGAGCTACCGTCTCTTCGGCAAATAATCTCCCCGGCTCGGCGACTATTCATTATTAAGTTCAGTAATCATCTATTCTTATGTATTGAAGGGCATGGATCAACAACCTGTCGAACACAGCTGCCAACAAGACGGCACGGTTGTATGGAATTGACTATTTGACTGCTTTCAGTTGTTATCCATGTGTGATATCACACCTAGGCTAGTAAGATAGTGATTTGACTTCAGTGCTGCATTAGCCTTGATGAAACAATTCTTAGAAGAGCAGTTCTACTTATCTGGGTTGTATAAAGATCAGTGATTGTGTTTCCCAGCTTACCGATTAACGGTGTTAGTTTTGTATCGGGAGAATAGAACTTGTAGTGGCACTGGAACCATTTGAAGCGTTTGAAATTCGTAGTAACTACTAAATCACTGGCTATTGAAACAAGGTCAGCAATGACAGCAAGAAGAAACGAATCATCGGCGCCGGTCTCCCTCGAACAGGGACAACCTCTCTCACTGCAGCACGCGAGATGTTGGGATGCTTAATATGAATCACTACGTTGAAGATCAAAGTCGTCTACATACTGGGTTCGATGTAGCCTTGCTGTCCTACAACAACGATGCGGATGGACCTGGCTTAGATAGTTAAAACCAACTAGCTTTACAAGGGATAAAACTAGCACTGGGCCTATGTTCTGACAGGTTCCCAGTTCCATACACAGGTACACTGTCACTAGTAAAGGAACAAGATTACAACCCCAGGAGAAGCTGCCATATGCAACGGATATTTACTGTGTTTTCATCGTGCATCAGGAATTCTCCTTTTCCCAGAGCCGTCAGCTTGGCTAGAATGCACTTCCTGCATAGCTCAAAGGAAATTCATTACATACTCCTTTTCAGCTGGCGCAGTGGGGTTATGGGCACTTAAATAATATATACAAGCGCCTGCTTAACAGTAAGAGAGGTGTAGAAAGCCCTTAGCTTGGGCCTGTAGATAAACTTAATCACTGTATTGTCTCACCAAAATCAAATCACTTCTGCTGAACCGCTGCTTCCCTGCCTCTGGATCGTACCCACTGTTTGATAGTTTCGAAGTCTCGACAAGTATGCGTGCGCTCCGTCTCCCCCAAGAGGGTTAGATATCTCCTGCCTTCTCGCATCTGAATGACAGGTTTCAGGGTAACCGGGGTCAGATCTCCCGAGCACATGATCGTCTGGCGCAGCTGATCGATACAATGATCTAAAATTGTTCCATTAGCCCTATCATGTTCATACGAGGCCACAAAATATCCAAAAATAACGTACCAACATGCATCTCCTCTACTTCCACCGGGAGAGAATGGTTGTGGCCTACGGATCCACCAGGCCTGATGCGTCTCCTTAATATGTCTAGACAATGCAATGAATGCAGCACATCCACACCCCCATAAACGCCGTCCTGAGGGACAACGACGCTTTTTGTCATCCTCTCGAGTGGCTCTAGCTCAGACTGGGATGTATCTTCGTTCAGCTCCTCGATCTCTTGTTGCTCAAACAGAAAATATCGCTCTCCTATCAATTCCTCCCAAGACGCATTAATCTCCCCCGGCGGATAATTCCCCGTATATCGCTTCTCGCCGGGATCGTCAACGCGATATAAGGTTCCGTTTTCTGTGGCCCGAATTGCAGAGCTGAATCTCCGTTCTTCCAGCCGAATATGTGGCTTTGCATCGTCAAAGTCTGTCGAGAAACCGGTCTCGTAGGTGTCTCTGGTGGGAGTGTGTTTCGGCCAGATCAGAAGGAGAAACTGGACAATTGAGAGTATGGCAAGTGAGTATGCTATACATTTCCAACGTCGGACTGGCGATGGTGGCTCCTCATCGAAGTAGTCCGACTCATCTGAGAGAAGTTGTCGCTCGTCGTCTTTGTCAATGCTTGTAGTGGCTGCCATGACCCTTTCTCGAAATGAAGAAGTTGCCGATCAGCTCGGAAGGACTAGAGCCAATGGGCATAGGATAGGTGCATCCCAAATCCAGCTACTGGAAGATAAAATAGACCTGGATGATGATGCAAAAGCCGCGAGAGTATGTAGTCTTTTCATCGCCCTGTAAAGAGGATAGCGAAATAGCATGTCTCAAGTTCGGGGTGGAAAAGTAGAAAGGGGAGGTTCCCCACCCCTGCTTCCTCAGAGCGCCCGTTAACTACACTGAACTTATTGAAGGAATGTGGTCAGAGAAGGGGGATATGATATGCACCATTCACCTCCCCGCTAGATCTACGTACATCTTTCCTCCACGAGAATTCGACGCAAGGGGCTTTGCTTGTCATTTTTGTAAGGCACGCGGCACCTTGGCCTATCCAGTGCGCTACTTAAAAGGTTCTCGTCTTCTAGGGCCCGCGGGTATCTTACGGAATCCATCCCTTGTTTAAGACCCATATAAAATGGAAAATGAAGTGTTGACGGGAATCTGGTATTCATTAGATAGCACCCACAGACTTTGGGACGCATCAGGAAATCATGTTGCTCTTCACCAATCTAGCTTTGAACAAACTAATAGATATGTTTCCTTGAGTTGACTGATCATATCTGACGAAGGGCCCGGCACGGGCATAAGGTCTATCATATTGATATGCGGTTGTGACTTGGCATTCCTCACGATCCCTCTTTCGGAATTGACTAATAAGGATCGATGCCAATCTCTGCTTGCTTCGGGGTGCGTGACATAACGGAGGCCAATCAAAGACCAGAAATGTCAGTAGCTACCATTGGAGAATATGTCTTTCTCTAGTCTCAAATGAAGGAGACTGAGGCTCGGAACATAAATACTAGCTGGATAGTATGTCAAGGGATACTTCTGCCCTTCGTTCCATATTTTAATCATCCGTGCCATTGGAAACCACGATTGATTCCCGCTATAAGCAATTTACCAGGTTAGTGTTTTGGGTATGTGTTTCTTTTTCATGGAGGCATCTAATCCAGATAACTCAAGATAATTGAGAACGCTAATACGCTATACAATGCGGTCATTGATTTTCATCTACGCGGTTATTGCTACCGTGGCTATGGCTTCTCCTGTCGAGTTGTCGAGAGATCATACGCTGGTTATACGTCAAGGCGTCGTCGAAGACGCGGTGAGTATCGACCCTTGCGACATGACTCATCACTATTTAGATTCAAATGGCTAATATATATGTTGTTAATCAGATTGGCGTGGGTGACCCACTGACATATCATCATTCTTTGAATACTCGCAACTAACACATAAGACATATAGAACGTATTAGATGTGAGTATCAGGACTTCCGACAGATATCTATAATATATCATTACTTGGATACAGAGAGCTGAAATATGGAACATAGGATGTCACTTTGGTAAGTATCGACTCTTCGGCAGAGGTCCATGATCCAGGGCCACTTGAAAACAGGAGCTGACATGTATGGTCTATAGTCGATTGCATGAATTGGTGATGCGAACCCTCGACATAGCGGCTTACAAGCATCTAAAGTCAGACAGCTGACATATATGATATGGATAGTCACTGAACATCATGCCAAGATTGCCGGTTTCATGCCATTCCTGAATCTGGATGGACGTAAGTGGAGTCTATTCCTCGCAGCTCCTCATTCCTCATTAATTAATGCTCCATTATCTCAGTTATCCTTATCAGTGGGAGGACGCTTGACGGGCACTGAACCCAGTGGTGTGTGTGTTTCGGCTTGGGGTTGGGTTTTGACCAGAGTAGTTGCAAGCAGAATGAGCCTTCATATGACTTTTTTGCTCTGCTGCTTGGTCATATTTACTTCTATATTCTATAATATCTTTTTTGCTAAATTGAATTTAATGACGATCGCCTTTACTTTCAACTGACATGACGTGAAGATGTTTTTAAGGTCCCTGGCGGCCCCGTTGGCTTTGCCTTTGAGATACTCTATCGAGAAGGGCATCTTTGAATGTGCAATGGTGAGGGAGGAAGACGGAGAGGTCCAGGCAAATCGTTCTTCGTAGATCGTACACGCCCGGGTTGGTGTAGTTGGTACAGTTCAAAGCCCAAGGGCAGCATAAGAACAATCGTGAAAGCGCAAGAGAAAAGGCTAGTTCCGCGATGTCATGGAAGTATGGTACGGACGAATAACAGACAAGGGGTACTAATATTATTACTATCTAATGATAGAGAAGAGAAGCGGCCAAGAAGTGTAAAAATCACAGGATGACCATAGCCATCAGTCACCGAGAAGAAAAAGAAAAAAAAGAAAACGATCAATTTGAAAATCACTATCCAACAGGATGTTTTCTCACAACTGCCAAAGATTCGGGGTCACCAGGTAGAAGACTCACATATCGCCCAGATTCTGCAAGCCGACAAGCTCGAAGTATGCCGACCGCTTCTGCATCAGCTCAGCATGGGTTCCACACTCGATGACGCGGCCTTGGTTGAAGACATAGATCATATCTGCCTTTTGCACCGTACTGAGACGATGCGCCACGGCGATCGTCGTGCGGCCTTTCGCTGCGGTATCCAAGGCAGCTTGCACGAGCTTTTCAGACTCTGAATCGAGAGCCGAAGTGGCCTCATCCAGTAAAAGGATTCGGGGGTTGCGGAGCAATGCTCTCGCTATTGCAAGACGTTGCTTCTGGCCGCCTGACAGCATGCTGCCCTTACTACCAACGAGGGTATCGAAGCTGTTTGACAGACTGATGATGAAATCGTAGATGTTGGCGGTCTTGCAGCATTGCACCATTTCATCTTCCGTAACGTCGTCGCGGTCCGTACCCAGCATAATATTCTCGCGGATGGTGCCTTGGTAGAGCGTTGGCTCTTGGCTGACCAGTGCCAGATGGGAGCGGTACTTGTTGATGTTGAATGACGAGATATCTTTGCCGTCGACATAGACACCGCCGAGAGCTGGATCGTAGAATCTCTCTACGAGGGCAATTGCAGTGGACTTGCCACATCCACTAGCTCCGACGAACGCAACGTACTGCCCGGGCTTGACGTGCAGATTGAGACCTCGCAGAACGAGCTGATTTGGTCGCGTCGGGTACCTGAAGTACACTTCTCTGAACTCGACATGGCCTTCTATACTCTGGACCATCTCCCCATCACGGCTCCAGCTATCGATTTCCGGCGTCCGATCGAAGAGAGCCTTGAGACTAGCAGCAGCGTGTCTGGCTTTGGCAATATCCGGTGCAAAGCTGAAGACGGTCCCTGCAGACTGCGCCCCGAAAATGACTACGCTGAAACACAGGAAGAATTGGAACCTGAAGATACGGGTTAGAACCAATAGGGCGTCTGTTCGGGGAATTGCCATCTACCCACATAGAATATTCGTGTCGGCCAAACAAGGTACCTCCATACCAAAAGCCGAGAGCCATGCAAAGAAATTGAAGCGATTGAGATGCCGCGTAAAGAATGGATGACTTGAGAATCGACCACACTAGCCTACGGCCTTGTGAGAGGAGCTGTTCATGATAGTGATTGCAAACGTCGCTCTCACGGGTCAAGGAAGCTACGGTTCGGATGGCTGAAGTGGCCTCGCAGGCATAGCTTGCAGACTGTTCAAAGGCTTTCTTCTTCTCCTTCTCGAGTCGGACCAGCATGGCCAAACGGAAGTACCCACAAGCGAGAAGTAGGGGGATGGTGGACATACACACTAAACTAAGCTCCCACCCTACGGCCAAACCAATGGCGCAGGAAGCAATTAAGGTGGTGACCATCAATAAAATCGTCATCAGAGTAATTCCAGACAGCCCAGCCAGGTGGGAGGTCTCAGTGGATAGAAAAGAAGTAAGAGCACCAGAGGAACGTTTGTCGAAAAAGGCAATATCTTGCCGGAGGATATATCGAAATGCTTGGTCGCGAACCCGATGGGTAAGTCGCTCTGCGCAGTAAGAGAACGCAGTACCCTGACAGATGATAACGAGCAGCTGCACAAAGGCGAGCATCAAATACATCAGTGACCAGAAGTTGGCTTGTCGACGTATCTCAGAGCGTTCTGAAAGAGGAAGCGAAAGGGCTGTAATGCACTTGGCGAAGAAGACAGCTTGCGTTGGATTACATCCACCCCAGATCGGCGATAGTAAAAGACCAAAGACCATATATTTCCATTCTTTTTGTTCAAACCAGCGATAAACCGTATGAGCGTGAACAAGGTATAGTTATCAGTAATGTCCTCTTCTCCGTCCTTCGCAGGTGTCGCCCTGGATGCGGCCCTTTCTGGTCGTGTCTTGTCCACCTGAAGTGCATCAGGGTCTTCTCCCTGATCCTCTTTGTCTAAGCTGTAGCGACCTTTCTTGAAATCGAGTCGCCGTAAATCGTAATTGGTTCCAGGAAGTATGGAATCTTCATCCTGGTTTCTAGACTCTTGCTTCATCGCGATTCGCTGAGCCTCGGCCAAGTTATAGTAAGCGCCTTTCTTCTGGAGAAGGTCATCGTGGGTGCCCTGTTCGACAATGCGTCCGTGGGACATCACCACGATATTGTCCGCATTCTTGATAGTAGACAGTCGGTGAGCAATGATCACGGTGGTTCGTCCCTGAGCAGCTTTGTCGGATGCAGCCTGCACAACGCCCTCGCTCTTCGTGTCGAGTGCGGATGTTGCTTCGTCAAGTAGCAGAATCTTAGGATCGCTGACCATGGCTCTAGCAATGGCAATGCGTTGTTTCTGACCTCCTGAAAGAAGGAACCCTCGTTCGCCAATGTCGGTGTCATAGCCCTCGGGAAGGGAGGTAATGAAGTCGTGGGCCTGAAAAGCAAAGAAGTCAGAACATAGTATCGTATATGGTACGAGCAAAGAGGGTGTGTTTAATGCAGGGCATTATGGCATTTGCCTTACTTACGTTTGCCATCTGCGCAGCACGTTCGACTAGCTCACGAATTGCTTTGTCGGACTCATGCTCGTGCGGTGTTCCGATCAAACCGTGCCTGATATTGCCAAATATCGTCGTAGCGAATAATGTCGGCTCTTGGCTCACCAGTGAAATTTGTTGTCGCAACCAGCGTAGATTCAAGTCTTTGATATCATGGCCGTCGATGTGTACGCATCCACCGACAGGATCGTAGAAACGCTCAACCAGCCCGACGATCGTACTTTTTCCAGAGCCTGAAGCCCCAACAAGCGCAGTAGACTTGCCTGCGGGGATCAGTAAGCTCACACCATCCATTACAACAACGTCGGGGCGGTAAGGGTATATGTGTCTGATATTCTTCAGTTCCACATTGCCTTGCAGTTTCTCCAGCTTCTGCCCCTCGGTCGATGTAGGGTCGAGAGGAGAGACACGATCAATGGTTGCGTAGATCTTGTTGGCTGCGGCGACGGCCGAGGTGATGGCCTGGACATTGGGTGTAATATTCCCGAGGGCAAGAGCCCCCATCATGATGGCCATCTGAATAGTGAGGATTTGCGATAATCCAACGGACCCATCCACAAGGAAGCGGGAGCCCATCCAGAAAGACAGTCCGTAGTTGAGGTAGATGTACCTTGAAAAAAAAGCAAGTCAGAACACTCGGCTGTTTGAGGTAATTCAAAAACCGTCAATTGGATGGCGAGGTACTGTGACACTCGCTGTACTTACAGAAAGAGAAAAGCAAACATTGAGCTGGTGGTGGACTTGAGCTTGAACCCGGACCTCTCAGCTTCGACGAGATACCCATCGTATCGTTGAGCCAGCTTCTCTTGGGTATTGAAGGCAGCCGCATTTCGGATCGAGCTGATGGCCTCTTCCGCAACCGTCCCTCCTGCAGCAAAATGGGCGAGGTATTTCTTGCTGAGCTTGGCGACGAACGAACCCACGGCGCCCAATGTAACAACGATGGCAGCGACAGTGGAACACAGAATCAGCGTGAGCTTCCAGTATGTGACGAAACCAATCACGAACGCGGCCACAAAGGTGGCGACGGCTGTCAAGGTCAATGCCACTTTCTCTGAGATACCCTCCTGGACAAGATTGGTGTCTGCTGTGATCCTTGTGGTGATCTCACCCGCGCCGAGCTCGTCGAAAAAGGCAATATTCTGCCTCAGAATGGCGGCCAAGAACTGCTGTCTGATCTTTGCCGTGATGTGTTCACCAGCATACACGAAACCGACCGTGGCCAAGTACACCATCACAAACTCGCCGACAGCGAGGTAGAGGAAGTAGAGAGAGAATCTGGCAAGGTCGCCGGTAAATTGGCCTTCACCTATGTCGCCCAGTAGGAAGCTGCGGAAGGTGCCTGCAAGACCTCCAAACAGGACGGTCATCAGAGGCATGAGTGCACCGCCGACGATTGCTGCGAGCGAGGCGATGACCAGGATGATCTTGTCATTTCGTGTCGCATAACGATACAGCGTCAGATAACCGACGGTGGTGGCGGGCTGATCCAACTGTCTCTTGAGGATGGCCTTCTCGTGCTCAGACAGATGCTTGAACGGATCACCATCTTCCTCCTTTCTGTCTGCATCTGCCGGTGCTGGGCCGACTGGGTTCAAGGGAGGGTTCGCGGGCGTGGCGTTTCGGCCTGCCTGGACAGGCGCGTGCTGGTCTCCAAGGTCGCGGCTCGGCATGGTGAGGCAGTCCAGCAATCATTGAAGGAGGCAGTGGCAGTCATCTATGTTGGTCAAGTCAGCCAGGAGTGGAGTCAGGGTGAAAGTGAGAGGATTCTTCGACTGTGTTGCTGCCTTTCGAGAGGGGAGGATGAGCTGACGGTTCGCGTTTTCTTTGTTTGGAATCAGGGGGAGCGACAAGGATCTGGAATATACAGTAGCCTGTTAAAACTGTCGTATTGCTGTGGGTCACGACCCAGTCTTATAAACACAGGTCTACTGTGGTAGGGTGATTCTTCCCTCCAGGTAGCTAGTCTCGTCCAATCTCGCGTTTGATCGGCCGCTACGAACTTCTTTGTCTGATTTCTTCGACTTGCAAATCCGGAGCTCACCACATCAATGCGCGTCATCATGGTTGGCGACAGCCTGGCGGGCCTCACGCTGGCAAGTGTATTAGGAAAAGCGATTGTTGTTTTTGTATTGCTAGAGGTCCGAGGTTCAAGGTTGATTTGACCCCCGACGGAGCATCGATTGGGCTGAACGACGCCGCAATGCGCATCCTGGATCGGCTAGGCGCAGCCAAGAAGATCATGAATCATACAGCACCAATCAGAGCATCTAGTGTTCATCACAGCGAGGGTACACGAGTCATACTACTAGTGTTCACTTTCGCGACCTTGAAAGCCTGGTGGATGCTCCAGTCACAGGTTTTGATTGCGATCACGCGGTGGATAATGGTCAAAAATCGGATGAACGGAGATAGCACGCATGAGGACACGATGAAACTCTGATAGGTTCTATACTTCAGGTAAAATCGCAACGATGCCTCAGTCTCATATAAAATGAGGACAGAATGCTAGCAGATTTGGTGCAAAGGGTCTAACTGCTTTTACTTCTTCGTAGAGCATGCCCCGTGTGACTGTTTGAATGCCAAAGGACTCGGAACTTTAGTTTCATTATGATCTCGTTCTTGAGCCTACAAATATCTCCCGTTGTTAATACTTCCAGTTTATGTCGCGCGTGGTGCTGAGAACCCTGTAGGGCTTCAGCAGCGAGAGACCTGTCCAGACCTAAGTAGATACCGGTAATCAGCCAGATGGAGTCCCTACTTTGTTAGTTCTTGAGGCTTGTTTGATGTAGATTCCCAGTATGATTGCGGATACGAGTAGGGTGTGAGGACGGCTAATTAAGGCATATGAAATGTTCGGGAGCTATGAGCTATATGCGATGGCTAAGATGGGATAGAGGAGTTATGGCCGTTTCCCCTAAGGCTAATTCAACGAGCTTCTTTGTTGCTTGTTTATGGAGTGGAGTGCATAGGCTGATGCTTATGCGGGCTTCATTTGCTATGGTTACTTCAAAAACGACCTCGTCACCTATCTACCCAGTATCAGCCGGCTCTTCCCAAACCATCGAGTCCACATCGCCACTGACGAAATTCTGGTCGATGTCGAAGGTTCGATGCAAATGATACAGCAAATGTACCAGGAGATAAGGTCCCTGTGACGTAGCGTTGCTCACCCACCACACAGCAACTTTCAGAGGGCTCAGCTTCCAGGATATTACTAGGGTCTTCGATAGCGTGTATGGATACATTCTTAACATTATGGAAGTTGGTACACCCAGTTCTATCATCACCTTCCAACGAGGCTGTGTGGTCCTTCCACTTCAAAGTACCACTGACCAATCGTTCGCAAAGAAACCTTATGGGTAGAGGAAAATAAAGCAGCACTATTTGTAGATGCGGAATTTTTTTTTTTCAACGGATCTCTGTCTCTTCGACGTCTATTTCTACAGTTTTCAAAATACCTTTCTGGCTTGTACGGCTGTCCGCGATGGAAGTCGCATCTCTGCCATAATAAATGCCTGGGCCTTCGCGGGTGCCAATCCTATTATCTACCAGTCGCGAGCCACGGCATTGCCATTCATGTAGTTCATCCAGCTCATTGAATTCCATTTGTGGTATGATCTCTCCGTGGCCATTCTTCCACCCCGGCCCCCTGTTGGAACTCCACATTTGCCTTTTGAACAGACTGTGTCGGTTTGATCTGCTGGTGCTTTTCACCTCACTACCAATGACAGTGGTGACTTTCCCCTTGACATGGCGGAAGAACGATGGGACTGCAGGCAACGAGCTAGCAATGATACCGGCACTAATCTCGGCAGATCTGAGGAATACCATCGTTGTCAATAAACTCCATCCACAGCTGGAAGGGAATGTAGAAGCTTACGTCCAGAGAAACTCAGGGAACCAGTCGTATGTCCTATCAGATGTGTTGTTCTTCTGCACACTGATGCTAATGCGCATAGCGCTTGAAAGGCACGCGCTGGGTATTCGGTCAGCGCACTTGTTAATTCGAAGCTTCTCAAGCCACGGCGCATCGCCTTGGTACTTACAAGAGGCCAGCGGCGAAGATGGCTGAAATACCCAATTTCTGAGTATTTTGCATATGTAGACGCCAGACAGAGAATATGGGTAGTATCAGTAGCGAGAAGTCTGAAATGGTATTCAGGATAGCGGTCGCCAAGATCATCGCATTCACATTGACACAATACCCATGTACATCAGGGTTCCAGATTTTCTCGCGAGGCACGCACGCAAAAATCTCGAGGAGGGTGTCCGTCAGGTAGAATGCGGCGTTGAACCAGAGAAGCCCGTGGATAAAGATGTACATCCAACTTTTCTTGGCCGGAGCAAAAACGCGGATGTAAAGCAATAGGATGGACAGCTTGGTGATGAATATCAGGGGGCCGTACATGATCTGCGACGCGTTGGCGAGCTGTATTACAAGACTGATCAACATCTGCATAACAAGATAAAGCTTCGAAGGTAGAATAGTCCTACCTTGGCATATTTCGCCAGATCTTCTTTAGCAACCTCTGCTACATGGATACCGCTACCCACTTTATCGGCTTCCAAAGCAATAATAGCATATCCTATAAAGCACACCTAGTCATGGAACCGTTAGCTCTATCTGCTTTAGCCTCCATTCCTTTCCACCTTTCACATTTTCTGCTATATCAACACAGCTACGCAATTAGAACCACTCACCGAAGCAATGAGGCAAGTATCTGTCACAATCAAAGTTAGCCTGTGGTTTCCTGCTCCTAATATCGGGCACATACAGTCTTCCCAGCTTGCAGACCGCCTTAAGAAGAACTTCGTATAAATCCTCATAGCCATGACTAGAGCACTTGCAGCAAGGCAAATTGATTGACATACTATGTTCCATGGCCTCGAAGAATCCCGGTAGCTGAACGATGGGGCATCCTGCATGTCTGCCTAGCTTGTTCGCAGGACACTTGATGCAAATGGTTCTATAGCCTTGAAGTTCACCTTACTATGTTGAGAAAAAAAGAGATACAAAGGGAAAGGTGTGCTAGGGATAGAAGCACATAGCAAGATTGACAAAAGAACGAAAGGAAGTTGCCTAGGGACCAACATTCGTGCCATATTTTGCAAAGGTGATGCTACAGACCTACTAGTACAGCAGAAATTTACTCATTGACTAGGGATCACAGGGTTGACATGATCCTGGAGTGGTAAACCGGGTCGATTTGGCCCGAATAAATTAAAAGAGAATTGCTAGGGTGTTAAGTTGTTGACGTGTAGGCTATGGCACCTGCATATTGCGGCTGGGAACGGTTGTGTCTACATCTTTCGCCAGACGACGAATATTATACTAATGAATGGGGGCCCTAAGAAAAATACATGATTGGGTTCAAATTACTCCGAGGCTAACCCACCATATAAAGGCTTGCGAGGTGGGTCGCGCCGAAGGATTGACACCCCTCGCACTCTTTCCACCTTAAGCTTCTCGGTGGCTAGCGAACCCTGCAAAAGGTTACATTTTGCCCCTGCTTGGTTAAAAGGTTAGTGTCGTCTACAAGGCCCAGTTGTGGATCCTCCAAAATGGCACCATACTTACATTTCCGAAGAAAAACATCACAGGCGAGAAGGGTCTGTCGCCCTACGTATGGACTGTCCAGCCGTAATAGGAAGCCGTCTAGTAGGCAATGTAACCCTATTGGCAATTTATAGCATGGCACTGAAAGTAACCATGTGCCTATAGCCCGGCTACACTGATCCTCGAGTCTTACCAGGATATATACTACTAAGGTAGGGCCATGTGTGGGTATATCGCTCTCAACGACTGGACCAATAATGCGCAATATAATCATAATACCCGAAGAGTATATCCTGACTTCGCCTATCAAAAACGAATTAATTTACTAGAGTTGAACTATCAAACATAATGCACAGGGGTTCGGCTTAGAGCCTCAGAGCGACGCGTCAACACGCCGATCGCTAAAAGCCTTCTCCCAGGCCTCCTCGAAATCCCGCTGCACATCGTGCCCATAACACCAGGCTTGTGTTTCTCGGTCGGTCATGCCGTAAGGGCTTTTCTCAAGCGGCATTCCTTCCACCGAAGGCCGCATGGCATTGTCTCTAGTTTCCTGCTCCGGGCCATCGCAAAGATGAAGAACTCTCCCGTTAGCAAGGCTTGCCTGCTGAACTTGTTTCGTCCGACAACTACGTAACTTTTCAACCAACTGGAGTACCAGTCGAAGATCACGCTTGTCAGTAACATATGTTAGAGCTTTGCTCAGTGTAGCTGCATCCTCGACGGCCATGGTGACACCTGGAATGAAACAGATGATCGAAGATTAGTCCCATGACGATACAGCATCAAAAAAAAGAAGCGTAGCATACCCATCGATAAGTATGGCACCATAGCATGGGCTGCATCGCCAATGAGAATAAACTTTCCAGAGTCAGAAACCCATTTATCGAGAGGCTCTACCTCAAAAAGGGGCCAATTATGAATTGACTTTTTCTTTTGTACAATCTTCATCAACCTAGAGCCCATTGTGTTAGTCAATCACTAGTAGGTCAAATGTTGCTTTTAGCGCATTGCATAGTCATACATCGGATCCCAATTATGAAAATACGACAACATCTCCTGGGTTAATTCTTCCTGTGACATGTTGGAAGTGTCACTCGCATCCGGGTGAGAGAGCACCAAGTTTAGGCGAGTTCCATTGGATATCATGTAGGTCATGGCGGAGCAGTTGTTTCCTAGCCTGAGAATTGTGAGCTCCGAACTAAAACATTGTTTGGACGTTAAGTTGATCAGAACAATACCAGAGGTTGAGATTCGGATTAGAGACAATCCATGCTGTCTCTGGATCCGCCAGGAGATCTGAGACCTCGACCATAAGTCGATACGCAGCAACACCCGTCTTACGAGGGCCTCCTTTTTCGGTGGTTCCTAGTAGCTTCGTCCTGGCAAACGAATTGATGCCTTTCCATCACTGTCAGTTACTACGTACATCTGTTTCATGGTAGACACGTACCATCAACTGCAACTATCAGATCGGGACGTACGATTTCGCCCGTTGCTAGTGTAATTGTTGGCGCATCCATGTCGTAATCCACAGCGCGACTGGAAGTTCTGACATTGACGCCCTGTTTGAGAGCGTGCTGATAAAGCACACTGTGCAGCTCAGCGCGGTGAATTACCAGATATGGCGCCCCGAACCTCTTCTCAAAATCTGGATTTAATTCAGTCCGAGCGATAAACTCTCCATCTTTCCATCGGCGCATGTTCAGTTCCCAGGGTAGAGAGGACTTTTGCCAGAGGTCCTCGTTGATGCCCCACTTGAGCCAGTAACGAACACCGTTCGGTGACATTTGTACACCAGCACCAATCTATGCACATTTAATCACTTTCTCGGGGATTGGGTTTTCATTCAGGCAAAGCGTACCTCCGATAGCTCTGGCGTAGACTCATAAACTGTGACGTGATGTCCATCTCGAGCCAGGGCAATGGCCGCTGACAAGCCGCCAATGCCAGCTCCTACAATTGCAATATTTAGCTTGACAGCTGATATGCTCTTATAGATTGGCTGATTCATATTGTGGCATGGATTGCTCTCGTCCTTAAGATGATAAAACGTATTGAACCCGAAGAAAAAGATTGAACTTTTCACAGTCTAGAAACCCCTTGATTCGTTGCCATTTTTATAAATTCGTGTTAAAGTTCAACCCCACCGTGATCTCGAACCCTTGTTGATCTTGACACGACCACTGCACACTAACGTGATATCCATGCTCTACCCACTATTATTGTGACGTTAATTTAGTATTAATATAATCTCACAGACTGTGGCCCGCAGTTACGCTGGAAAGAGCTAGACTTCGGCCGGAATGATTATAATAACATTGAGCAAGGCGGCCTTAGCCTTTGTAGCAGGAGAAAAACCGCACGTTGGGAATTTGTTGTTTATACTTGAATTTTCTGTTACAAATGCCGACGTTATACCCGCTTGCTCGTTTATTCTTGTCTAGTATTTTGGTTTTTGTCCAATTGCAGCAGTTTTGAACTGCTCGCACGCACATCCTTGTTTTGCCCGCGGTGGATCGGGGTTTTTGGACAGCCTACCCTGCCATTTCGATTTTTCTTAGACTTCTAGCGTCTTTCCGCTGTGTGACTGCCTTCTCCTAGGCCTCAATACTAAAGGGCCTCACACACACGAGAGCTGCATGCAGCAAGATGGCGGTTTATAATATGAGTAAGTCAGGCTCATCTGTCCCTCGAGGATTTCTCTGCTCTAGCATCCCTCTTTAGCACCTAATCACCCAGCTAGAATACTGACAGTGTCATAGAGTCCGAAGACGATGTCACGGTCGATTCCAGCACTACCAGCGAGGAGTTCGCCGACGGTGCTGTCTCGGCTATCAACGAAAAGCGGTTGATGTTCAAGATCGACGCCCATGTTTTGCCAATTTTGTGTGTCTTGTACTTTCTGGCCTTTCTAGATCGGTGCGTTCCATATCTGTAGCAAATTGGCTGCGTCTGCCTTCTTTCCATTGCCCCTCTTTATACGTATACTTACGCTGCTCCGTATCAAACAGGATTAACATGGGCCATGCAGTTGTGTTTGGCCTTGAAGAAGATCTGGGAATGGATCCCAAATCTAATCAGTTCAACACGGCGCTGACAATCTTTTTTGTGCCATACGTGCTGCTGGAGGTCCCATCAAACATCGTCCTTAAGAAATTACAACCCCACGTTTGGTGTATGTCCTTTCCGTGCGAATCCAGATCTATGCCACTATTCAACTGTGCGTAGGAATACGGCTAACACAAAACGACAGTGGCAGGATGTATGTTTTGCTTTGGTATTCTGACAATTGGTCAAGGTTTTGGTGCGCTGTCCTGCCCCTGATTGATTTTAACGGTAATGCATTTTTTAACACGCCCCACTGAATAGTGAAAAGTTATGGTGGTCTTCTAGTGACACGCTTCTTCATCGGTGTGACGGAATCCGGAATGTTTCCTGGGTGTAGGTCAAATCTGAGTGGCAAACCGAGAGGATGACCTAACCAGCGTCCAGGCTACTATCTGATTGGAATGTGGTACAGGCGTCCAGATGCCCTTCGCCGATACACATATTTTTTCAACTCAACGACGCTTGCGGGCGCACTTGGAGGGCTGATAGCTTATGGCACAGGATATATGCAAGGGATGAGAGGATATGGAGCCTGGCGTTGGCTTTTCATAATCGAAGGAGCCGTAACATGCTTTGTTGCCGTTCTTGCTTGGTTCCTTATCTCGGATTTTCCCGAGCAAGCCAGATGGCTGACCGAGGCCGAGCGGCGATGGATGAAGAAGAGAATGGAGGTTGAACATGGGGACGAGTCAGTGGGGGATCCCATACGTTTCACTGACGTGGTCGAGGTCATCAAGGACTACAGAATCATCTTGGGCGCACTCATATATTTTTCTTTTCTAGTGCCATCATATGTATGTGATCCTTCTACTGAGTTTCCTAAGAGACCTTTCTTTCTCACCATCATCTAGTGTTACGCATACTTTTCACCGACAATCATCAAATCTTACGGTTACAGCACTCTTCAGACGCAATTGCACTCCGTGCCTCCGTTAGCGATGGCCTTTTTCCTTTCTCTCGGGATTGCATTTGCCTCCGATAGACTACGCCACCGCTATCTATTCGTTGTCTTTAATCTGCTAGTTGCAATCGCCGGGATAGCAATCCTGCTAACAGTCCACGATAAGCCTCGAGTCCAGTATGCCGCGCTGTTTCTGGTGGTCTTCGGCCCGTACTGCGGAATGCCTGTCGCTATCTGCTGGTTCACTATGAATGTAGGGGGTCACCGGCGGCGAGCGATCGGTACAGCGCTCCAGCTCGGGTTCGGTGAGATCGCGGGCATAGTGTCGACGTTCCTGTTCCAGGCCAAGGACGCGCCATACTACCATACTGGGTACAGTGTAGCCATTTCCTTCTTCACTCTGGCCGCCTTCTGGTGCACTTGCTATTTTTTCGCGTGTTGGATGGAGAACCGCAGACGAGATCGACAGATGGCGGATGCGGGCAATACAACCGACGCTACAACGGCAGGGAACGGCGACTTGGATGTGTCATATCGATACATGCTGTAGATCTACGCAGTGTGAGGGCGGGGATGGTGCAGAAACGAGATATGGGCTTGGAAGAACGCTCTCTCGAATTCCAGTGAAAAAGATCTAGATGAATAAAGACAACTAATTGTATAATGCTTTACGCTTTCTATCTTCAGGTTTGACTTGGTTGCAATAATTGGTAAATTTTGCTATGGCGCACATGTGCCCAGAAGATAAAAAGTGCTATATATAGGCCCTGGAAACCAATTTCAAATGTGAGGACTGAAGACAGAGTACCAGTCGCCAGTAAACAGGTTTTCATACGAAGATTTCTGAAGCCAAAATTCCAGGCTGTACCCCGCTGATTCTTTCCTACAGTCTACGTTGTTATCCGAACTAATGAACCATGATATTTATTAACCCGAGCTGTACATGATCCAAGCGCATACGTCTATAAGATGTGGCAAACAGGGCTACCACTCAGTACTTCAACCACAATTGTAGACTCACGCGGGTCTACCAAGAGTTTTCATGGTTATTATCAATAGGTACATAGGGTGCATAGAAGAGCATCCCGCCAACACCTTCTGTATATTGATATCCCCTTGCACAAACCACTTGCGCACACTTGACGAGAAAAATGTATCTACCCATTGAGAGGGCGATAGTCTAATCGCACCCAAGGTTGATATCGCGTTTACCTGAATGATTGGCACAATAAATCCCTTGAACCCCATTTGCACTGTTCCAAGTATAGACCTGTCGAGCACCAGAAGAAAAACACAGCAGTAACATATTAGCTAACTGACAAGGAATGGGAAGAGACAAAGCAACGCGGATGGATAGGATATAAGCAATAACTTACCCAAGGTTAGTCGGATGAATGCTTGAGCATCATCCATACCCCATTTTTCACCCTGTATATTCTCAGAAAGGATGAAAAATTTTAGAAGACCTCCTTCTACTGTGTTATATGCCAGTGCATGGAGGCCTCGACTTGCTCCTGTTAATGCCGTCTGTGGCTGCTTGCGCAACCATGTACTGTGCAATTTCCATTCTCCCGACAGGGTCTGGCCGCAGATAATAATATGATCTCCTTTCGTAATGGCGAACGGATCGGAAAGAACAACTTCGGCTTCTCTGTTTTCTTGCGTGCAGTAGCTACGTGGTTTCGCCATGTGCGTCATCCAGCTGTCCCATCTATTTCTCCACAGCACTAGAGGCAGTCATGTCAGCGACAATGAGATTAAGAATATCGTCAATAAAAGAAGATCAACCTTGTTGTTCAGAGTCCGACCTGTAGATAGGGCGTTGGCGTATTCCGTCAACTTGACGGCGTGTGTTACAGCTGGTTGGTTTGACTCCAGTGTACTCCTGTTCAAGTATCCATTCTGAATCGTGGCACCAAAAGGTAACTTCGTACCAAGCTGCGGTCAATGCTTCACGCATCTTTGACCTCATTCCTAAATGAACCTGGTCAGTGACGTCCCGTTTAGGGTACTGGGCCAGTGACCTTCAATTTGATCAATGATTTGATTAGGTTGGTCACGACCATACAAAATCCAGAACAGATTCGTTCTAGAGTGATCTAAAGGTGACAATTGAACCGCCGGATTAACAAGTGTAAGGTGTTGTCGAAGACGTTGCAAGACAGGTCCCATGTGATCCAACTATTCATCCGTCAGTCATTTTCCCTTACATGCGGTGATTTTCAAACAGACCATCATGACGATATTAAGCCATGCTGTTTCCATCACTTTCACCCTCACCCTGCTACATCCACATCGGAATTTAACGCCCCTTCTGTTACGGTCCCAGCCAGTGGCATGTCCGTAATTGTCGTTTGGATTGTTGTTGCCCTCGTATAGCCCTGTCTCTTGATTCACATGTGTATGCTCATCCCGCATGATGGTAGGTTGAAACGTTCCGAATTCAGTTTCCCACTCGTGATCCTCACCGTCACGACTATAGAGCACCTTCAATGTATCGTTGTTGTATGCAATGTGTTTATCCATCGCGGTAGAATCATCCAGTGGCGGTAGGCTACCAGGTGCGACAGGATCGGCCAGCGATTCAGCATTGCAGGATTGGAAGCACAGTGCAAAGACAATCAATATCTCCCAGACAGACCATGCCTGCGAGAAGCTGATGCACCTCATGATTGGAAACGCTTTTGGGTGACAAAGGGAAAGGAAAGAATGTTGGTGTCGATAGATGTTTTCATGGACGTTAGAGCTGAAGTATCCAGGTATAAGTACTCTTCAAAAAAGCACCACCCAGAAACAGTATGATGACTACTTTAGAGGGCTTGAGAGCTCAGACTAAACCATAAATGAGCAAAAGCCTGTCGTCAAACCATTAAGAATGCCACCGCTGGAAGCCTAGAACGCCCAAGGGATTATTTGCCCCGTTCTGAGGGTTACAGAAAAATTGCCCAAAGGAAGTATCTCAATTCACATATAAGTTTCCTCTTTGAGTCGAGTTTAATCCCATATATCTTTAGAACATATAGAAGTACAAGACACCGAACCAACGGGCTGCGGTGGTGTTGATGACGCGGTTATAGTAACGCAACTGATGTGTCAAGGCTGGGGGCTTTGACAATATCTGAAATCTGGCCCATGATGGGCGTTATGTGAAACGCAATACCGTACACCGCAAGAATGCTGGGGAGACAAAAGGCCTTCGTTTGAGCTATATTCCTACCAGTGTCCTGGTAACGGCTATTATATCAGACCCTCAGAGTTTATATCCGCTCGCGGGGCAACTGCCTGGCATCCGGGTATTCTTTGTTAAACCTGCTAAGTAGCGGACTAGATTGCCTAGGATCACCGCGTGCGTTACACTATTAAGACTATGTATTAACCATAGGATCGACATATAATAATATATTGGTCCCGGAAAGGGTCTTAGATGTGTTAAGCTTCCAACCGTTGCACAGCGGGTCCATGGGCGTTATTTATGTAACATTCTGCAGCTACATGGAAACTTTGAAGCATTGCAGTGACATATGCTAGGATCCGTTTTACGCCAGGCTAGTACCCACTTGCAGGGGTTATGTTGTCCCAGGGGAAATGCTGCATACATTACGCGGCGTCTATATGCTTTTTAGATCAACAAGCAACCGACTTATCAGAAGTATATGCTTATAACCCTAGAGTGTAAATAACATGAAACCTTATATACTAGAATTCAGTTGGATATAGAATTGTAGATATAATTACAGTTTTAGATATCTACTATCGCTATGCAAAGATACTGGCTTTAGGTAAAAGAACATATGGAAATGTATATGTATGTGGAAGAAAACTCGATTGGTGATATTGTGTTTTACTCGTGAATAATCAGAACGAAAAAGGGGGGAAAGCTTAAGTCCATCATCAATCATGTGTGTTCTCAGTTCCCTACTTAAACAAAAGGTAAAATAATACACGAAGGGTAGTCGGGGCCAAGATGAAGGGTGTGAGTCCCATGCGATGCAAGCTCTTGGAACTCGTTGTCTTCCTTGAACTCACCGCGCAACAGCGGGCTATTCCCATGTACCTGCACCTGTATACTTTCGCCAGCCTCGTACTCCACACCCATAGCCCATATGCCGATCTCCAACTTTACTATATCACCCGGTGTGATATATTCATCACGGTCATGTGGATGGAAGGGGTAATTCTCGAGCAAGGACCGGGAGCTGTCAATGGCTCGGCGCGACGCACGAAGGATACCTAATGATCCAACATGAAACATCAAATTATTCTTATTTTGAGCAGGTATGTCGTCGATGTTATCTTGACTGACCCCGTGGTGTGCAATCGATGACCAGGGAATGTTGAGGTTCAACAGAGCTTTCCCATTGGCATCCAGCTTGCGCACAAGCACGTACACATCCATGTCATGGAAGTCGGGGCATGACATGTACACGACTGCTTTTGGAACACCTGCTAATCGTGTCCGGGTATCGAATGTGTGCGTGAAGCTGGCGCAGTCCAAGTACTTTTCCGAATTATAAGAGACTGATGCTTCTGCCTCCGGTATGTCGACGCTCAGACGCCCACCAGGGTGGAAATACATTTTCCGGTAGTCGGTGCGTGGGATGGGGTAATCCTCTTCGGCAATATTATACAGTGGCTCTTGGTTAAATCGTAGGATGGTGGTCCGGACCTTTGGAGTCTTCTCCCAGTCATTGTCTGCACCGTTTAGGTAACGGTCGAAGAACCTTGCAAGGTCATCGGCAGAGTCCTTGCAATTCCAAATGTCGTACCATTCCTGCCATGGGCACAGGCGAAGCCATTTCTGTGACGATTGCACCTGCAACCAACCCCGCAATGAGCCCATGGTGTGTACAAAGCTTGTGTAGGACGCGGTGATATAGGTGGGAATGTTAATCTTGGCAATGTCCGGTCGTTTGTCTTTCCAATACAAGGCGTCGGCTTTGGGGTAGCGCCGATACATTTCGTGGAAGTCCTCCACCCCACCGTGTCCCTGAATATTAGTGTCGATAATAAAGTCAAATAAACCGGCGTCAAACACTCCGCCTCTGACAAACTGTTCACGGTACAAGTCGCCACAAGCCTCCCAGGGAGCAATTGCCTTCAGAGAAGGCGCCGCAATGCGGCGATGAACCACTGAACAATGGCCAAATGAGAGTTACCAGCCAAGCCGACACTCCCGTTGCACCACGGCATCTTGGCCACGGCCTCGATTACATCGTATCCATCCTCAGCCTCCTGCGTACCCATAATCCCCACGGTGCCTTCAGAGTCACCGGATCCGCGAGCATCGACATTGATGATGGCGAATCCACGAGGAACAAAATCAGCAGGGTCCGGGCCCTCAAATTTCTCCAGACCACTGAGTACCCCACTTGGTATCCCGAGACCCCACGGTAGGAACTTTAGCATGGAAATACCATTGAACTTCTTGCCAAATGGACTCCAGGCTAGGATGGCGGGCACGGGTTTTGTAGTGTTGGCAGGACGGTAGATGTCGCAGTATAAAGTGCTCCCATCACGAACCTTGACTCCTACGTCATGAGATGCATGGATGTCACAAGGTAGTGGCCTGGAGCCATTCTGACTCCAACCCGCAGGAAGCACTTCCTCACGAAACCCGAAGGGTTGGTAATTATTTCGGCCCACGGAGGGCTTGTCAATTGGTCGAGTGGCGACAGGGACTGGTGACGGCATTGTTGGAGAGATTATGTATGCTGGATGCTGACTCCTGTTGTCTCTTGGCCAACGTCCTCCCCTACATCTTTAAGTCATGAATCTTACCAGTACTGTGAGGAGCTTCGGCAGGGATATTGCCTTCATGATTCCCGTTATGGGGAAGTTTTGAGGCTAAAGAGGGCGTTCGGGCGAGTTCGGCCGAGATCGGCTCAGCTGGAGAGAAACACTCGGTAGATGCCAACTCACTGCCGATATAGACAGGAAACACTGGAAAAATCACAAGATTCACTCTCTTGAGTTCTGGAAGAGTTCGGCCGTGCTATTACTTCGTTGGTAAAGATCTCGGATGTGGAACGTTTCCTTTATAGCCGAGAAAAAATCGTCATAGGTTTAAAGTCTGTACATACGGTCCACATCCCCAGAGTCTTGGTAGAATATCCGTTTATTTCAATAATCTCATTACTGCTACTCTTCTACTCGATAACTTCTCCATATACACGACAAAATTACTGAATTATGGCGCCTTCTCGCGTTGATACACTCGAGCCTTTGAGTACACCCAACCCTCTGAAGACTCATCAAAGCGCAAAGCAAGAAACTCATTACGGTGACTTTCGTGATGACTTCTTCAAGAATGGCTACACAGTGATTAAGGGCGTTCTGAGCAAGGAGCGCGCGCGTGAATACCAGAGCGAGGCACTCGACTGGCTGGAGTCATTTAATATCGGATTCGACCGCCATGACAGAAGCACTTGGAAGAAAGAAAACCTGCCTCAAAGCTTCAAAGGTGGAATGTATCTTCACTTTTCCGCGGCACATGAAAAGTACATGTGGGATGTTAGAACGTAGGTTTGCTCAATAGACCCTGGCCAAACATTCAGATGACTGACACTTTGCGTCCAGCGAACCCGGCGTTATTGAGCCATTTGCGAAGCTGGGGAACCGATGAGCTGGTTGTCTCTTTCGACACCGTTAACATCACACTCCCTCAATCCATCGTTGGTGAATATGATTCCAAGCCTTGGCCTCACTGTGACCAGGCTCCAGAGCGCAAGGGATTAGCTTGTGTTCAAGGCATTGTCAATTTGTCCGAATCTGGGCCGAATGACGGTGGCCTCGTCGTCATGAAGGGATCCGCCCCGCTCTTCGATAAGTTCTTTGAAGAGAACCCAGTGACGGGACCCATGCCATGGCGAACTGCTAAGCACAAGGACTTCCATCCATTTTCTGACAAAGATCTGGACTGGTACCGCGAGCACGGCTGTGAATTGATCAAAGTCTGCGCTGAACCGGGTGACTTGATTTTGTGGGACTCGCGTCAGATGCACTGGGCGCAGTTTGGAGATTCCGACCTTATTCGCACCATTGTCTACGCAACATATACACCGGCAGCCTGGATGTCGGATGAAGACCGCGCAGCAAAGAAGAAGCTATTTGAGAATTATGAAACTACCACCCATTGGCCACATACCAACCTCTACACTCATGGCAAGGCAACAGTCAAGGTGGATGGAGAGGAAGTACCGGACCCCTTGGAAAGGGATGAGCCTCTGACCAAACCAGTGAGGACTGAGAGGTTGTTGCAGCTAGCTGGTGTTGTTCCCTACTAAGTTTGGAAGCGTTGGAAGTGTTGGACCTGTTGAATGATATCAGATAGGAGATTGTACTGTATATTCAGTTATTACGTATTCAATTTAGCTGTTTTCCATGATATGATCTTTGTTAGAATGCTCTATCAAATGCACAGGGTACAATAGGTCTTAGTACGCAAACCGCTTAAGCTTAGGATGATATGATTGTAGGATTTACTTTCCAAAAAAATTCAAACTCAACATGCTAGATTAAGAAAAATTAGACGTTCTGGTACCATACTTTCATAAATAATGTTTTGAAGATTACTGGTGGGCAAAAGCGACACAGTGGCGCATTAGTGGCCACAAGGCCTTCAGTTATTACCTTCGGACGACCACTTACCGTTACCAAGCTGTGTCAAGTGGTAAAAAAGATAAGACTAACTGTTTTAATTATTGAAGCATGTCGCCCTCACAGGCTAACGTGCGCCTAGCGGGTACGGAGGGGCAAAACTCGGTCGAGCTCGGGTGAGTCTTAAGTATGGCTAGCCCTTGCTGTCAACGGTAACCAGCCGTAGACGGGACACGGACCTGCCTCGGCTCCACATTCGCTGTCCCGGTCCTAGTAGTTTCTGGCGACCTTAAGGGCTGCTGGTTGGTTTCTCCGCGATCGGCTACCGACCGGTACTTGGGTTCCCCACGGGGACCCCGTGCACGCAGAGCGGCGCTATAGAGGTGCCGTAAAAAGGTGTCTCCCAATACGCGCGAGGATATTTCCAATGGGACATCTACAATCCCTATATTAACGGTGCAATCACCCGATATCTTCTTCAGAAGTTATAGAGTAGCTCGACATAACATATCAAAAATGGCGAAGGAGGTCGACGCCGCGCATCATGAATTTGCTATTACAAAAGACTCGGCGCAGAATGTCCCAACAGGAACGGTGAAGCTAGTCGAAGATGGAGAAATTGTCTTAATTCCAACTCCTTCCCCTGATCCAAGAGGTAAGACGCACACTCAACTATGATCGCCTACTGTTTCTCCAGCCATCGTTGCTGACGATAATGAGATCCCCTCAACCTACCTCAATGGCAGAAATGGGTGATAAGCAGCACTTTAGGAGTTTGTAAGTTTTGATCTTTTTTTTTCCTCTCCTTCATACAACTCTGAGAAAAATTGCTGTGAGATAAGAGAAATATTGACCGCACGGTTGTTGCCTAGTTGCTGTGTTGAGTGTCCTCATGACCTCTGGGATGGGTCCCATCATCACTACCATCTCGGCCTATTACGACGGTAATCCCAGAACGAACGATCTAATGACATATCCAACGTTGTTCATGGGACTTGGAAACGTAATCGCTGTACCACTCGCCGAGGCTGTGGGACGTCGCCCAGTATTCCTAACCTCTGCTTTAATACTGACAGTCGGGTCAATCTGGTGCGCTGCGAGTGATAGTCTGGCCTCGCATATTGCTGGACGGGATGTGCTATCTTTAGCCGCTGGGCAGTCGGAGGCATTGTGTCCTCTCATCATTCAGGTACTCCTCCCATATCCGGATTCAATATACACAGAGCAGAGACTGACATTCGGCTGCACCCACGACATTGTAGGAAATTCACTTTGTTCACGAGCGCAGTAGCAGATTAGCATGGTTCAGCGCTATCCAATCTATAGGTAGCGCTGCCTTGACCATTGCTACAGCCTACCTTGTTCAGAGCCTAGGGTGGAGGTGGTGGTACGGCATATTCGCTATCATTAGCGGCGTTCTGTTTCTGGTCTCCTTTGCACTGGTCCCAGAATCTTTGTATGAACGGCCTACCGACGCTTTCGATGGTCAAGTCCATGTTCAGCATGAAGGCGAAGACCTGGCCATTGTTCGCGCAACTACAAAGCGCAGAGTCGAGTTAGACTTCACACGGTATCAACCGCGTACATGGCGGCACAGCCTAAAGATCTTCCACGGTCCCGCAAAGTGGTCGGTAGCGATAGAATGCTGGAAGCACATGCTGCAGTGTATCTTGTTCCCCAACATCCTGTGGGTCGTCTTGATGAACAGTGTCGTGCTCGGGATCTATGTGATCATGGTCACTGTGTTCGGAAGCATTCTTACCGCCCCGCCATACAACTATCCCGCCACAGCTTTAGGCCTTGTCCAAGGAGGCCAGATAGTCGTCTCAATGATCCTAGTCCCTGTTCTCGGATACGGTGGAGACAAGTTCCACGAATGGATAGCAAGACGCCGCAACGGTGTGGCCGAACCCGAGTTCCGCCTGATTCCCATATTACTGCCTGTCATTGTGGCACTCATCTCATGTGTCATCTTTGGTCACGCTGGTTCCGACCCCTATCACTGGTCGCCGTGGGCGATCACAGTCGGCTTTGATGGGATTTACTTCGGATTCATTGGTATCATTCTCATTGGATACACGTACTCGCTTGATAGTTATGGAGAGCGAGCAGGGCCCATTCTGGTGCTGATCTGCGCAATCCGTGGCTTGATCTCCTTTGGAATTTCTTTTGGCGTCACTGAGTTTGTTACAGAGGTGGGTTATAAGCAGGCATTGAATATATGTGCTATCATCATGGGAGTTGTCTCGGCTTTTGGCTTCGTTGTTTTCGTCTTCGGTTCAAAGATTCGGTTCCTTACGATGAAGTATGCTGTTGACAAGAAGATGGCTGAGATTTAATACATGGGGAATAGGTTTCACCATAGCTCTGCCCCAGTTTGATAGCTCGAACATTTCCTTTATGCTACAAGCACTAATGAAGCATGTTCTTCTTAACTAGAATTTTATGAGTACGGACTGTTCATTATTGGACCATACATTAATACATATTAAGCTCTCTGTTCTTCGTTCATCATCGATACCAGACGTAGAGAGGAAAATATAGATTAGCACCTTCATATCATATGCTCCGAATGTTGTATTTTCCATCTCTAGATGACGTGAATAGTGCATAAGTACAGATTCTGGTGCTGTACACAATTTACATAACCATTAGACCGCTTAGGATTCTTTCATGAAGTCATCAAGAGGAACTGAATCAAGCCATGGCATCGACATATCAATGAGTTCCAAAGAGGATGACAAATCGCCAAAGTGAGGTAGTATTTCGCTCCACCCAGCACCCGTTGTAAAGTCCCATTCAAAAGGTACTTCTGACTGTATTGTAGAATCCCCGGATAGTCTACTATCAACCCCGTGGCTACTGCTCGGAGATGACGGTGACGTGTTTCCCGGGTTGTCAAAACCTGGCTCGGGAAACAAATACCCTAAGGTCGCATCGGCATCTGGAAGGGAGGCCCACAAACGAGGCGACGCTGTTAACCTCACAATTTTCGAGAGTACGAGTCGGTTGATTTCTTGCGATGGATCTATGATATCGTATAGATGGGACAGCCGCCGAAGGACGAGTAATGCGCCGTGCCGCGTCTCTGTGAATGACTGCTCGAGCAGACTGATGCTTAGTCTAACTAGCTCCCTTTGTTCGCTCAATTCGGGAGGCGATCGATACTTCCGTAGGCATATCAGATCTATAATAGTATAGATTCCTGCGGTTATTATGGACGCCGTCACTGCCCAGAACTTGTGGAAATGAAGGCATGGTGCGTGTTGCCTCCGCTGAAGAAGTCGTTTTGCAGCTAATATCCCATGCTGGAGGACATCCCTCCCCTCTTCGTTGGGGGTTTCCAGGATGTGAGGCAATATGGCAACACAGAGATGAATTCGCCAGCTATCTAGACAGTTGTGGAGTAAGTATCTTTGCACTGTGGTCCAGTTGGGTTCATGCCCTACCACCTCCATTGTGGCCTCCAGGCCTAACAATGTGAGGTGGGGTGGGAAGGATAATGAGACGCGATCTAATTCTCCAAGAGTATCTTGTAGCACTTTTATATCCCAGCTTCTGATGGATCCGGCGTGGTTCTGTATAGCAATGGCCAGTTGAGCTATTGCTCTATGATACTCGAAGACAGAGGGACGGCTCGTCCCTTCATTGAAGCTATGTGGTGAGTCTGGGGTAAAGGTTCCATCAATAAAGGTACTTTGGCCTTCTTGTACTTCCAATACTGTTGTGAAAGACTCTGGGTGGATCGTTGTCGGACGTGACCACACAGCTATCCTACGTCGTGTTAGCGTTCCTGTAGCCTCACTGGCCAGGTATACAGCCTTACCAATCACAAACCACCAGCGTCCACCACAGTCTTCGAAGCACATTCTGCTGGCTTGAATTGGACTCTAGGCTGTCCATGTGTGTGCTCGCTGTTCCACGGTCATGCTCAAGACGATCGAGCCCAATGAGTCGAGCAACATTCACCGCCGTACCATGCAGAATATATTCCTGGTCTGATTCACCGAGATTCTTATGAATCACGTTGAGAATTGCCAAGGCCTGGACGGTTCGCAAGCTTGGCTTGCCCGTGTAATTGGCATAGTTCAACTCCTTCAAGGCAGCAGCTCGCCAACTACGTGACAACTCTATAGATCCTCTGCCCAATGAAGACCGCACGGAAGGATCTCGGGCTGAGAAGCTTTCATAAACCAACTGGAGGTTTTGTATCTTCCCTTCACTAATAAAGTATACGCCAACCTGGAAGCTGGTCAGATCGCTGAAGCTAAGATTGGCAGAAAGACTTACGGCTAAGACACTTAGATAGACCGCGATCCAGGCATGATTCCTGAGACTATTCCCTTCGTTTGCGATCAAGCTATCCCAGAAAGCATCATGTTCTCGTATAAAAACCGATGAATCTAGGGCACAATGAACCCATCCCAGCTCTCTTAGAGAGAACTTGACGATTACCTCGCTCCAGTGGCGGGCGGGCAGACAAAGCATTACATGATCGTCCCACGGGCGAGTACTATCAGCATGGCTTTGGCCTGGCTCGACTGATAGCTGAAATGGCAAGCGCTGAAACTCGCTTAAGATACTCTCTGGGGACTGAAAGTCCTCTACGGCTGCTGTACGTCGGGGGATATTTGCCTCCACTTTTAGCATTTCCGGTCGGGAGAGAACGGCCTCCAGCTGCTTTATTCGCATTTTAAGGCTTATGTTCTCCTCTAGGAGCCTCGACGTGGTGCCAGAGGTACTATCGTCTGACACATCTTCGTCCACTGCACTGTCGTAAGAGATTAGACCCATTAGACCAAAATATATATTCTTATTTGACCAAGACTCGAGAATATTGCATTGGGGGATCTCACACCGTGACTTTCCCGGCAACCTTAACAACCTCTCGCATACAGGCAGCCGACTCCCCTCGTTCAATGCATTTGTCACACGGTATTCTCTTTGAGCATTTCACTTTCCTACGGGTGCATTGTATACATGACCGAGGGACCCTCTGAGTCTGTCGCATTTGTGGTCGCATGGTTCCGACACGATAAGTACTGTTTAACAGACAGTCTCAGGCTCCTGTCTAGAGAGCATCAGATCTGAGTCTGGGGTGACAGTCCTCGTTGATTAACGATTCATATCTTGCCTCTTCACTAAGCGAAGTCTCGGTTGAGTTCGGGTGAGTTTGGTCAGCTGACCGCAGTCCGGCCAATCATGATTGAGCTTTCTAATCCCATCTTTGGATAACTGGATGGCAACTAAAGAGACACGATAAGAGGATTAAAGCTCGTGCATCAAGCTTTTATATCCACATTACACTAATACTGAAAAGATTGGGCAGGGCCAGGCT